ATTCCCAGTCTGGACAAAAGGCATTTCAAAACACACCTGCAAAATCAGCACCTTTTCTGCCCATTGCTCCCTTCATCTTTTCCCTACTTTCTGCTTTTTGGAGAGGACTATGCTTTGGCATGGCACACTTGGGCAATGTTGGCACTTTTCCCTAAGTGGGCAGAGACGTCAGGATCTGGCATTCCCTGGGGAATGGCCTCAGCTGCCCTTTGGCTCCTGCACACCCTCCTCTGCTGCAGCCTCCATGGGCTCTGATCCTGTGCTGCTCCTTGCACCCTCCTCCCTCCTCACGGACTCCAGCAGATTGAATTTAAGAAGGGTTGAATTTAAACTTCAAAAAGATGGAAGTGCCTTCTATCTCCTTACTGATCTGGATTTCCCCTCTTCTCCCAAAGTGGAGAAGAAAAAGGGCCCAGCTGACAGGGAGCTGTTGGCTTGATGGACAAGAGGCCATCAAAGTGCAGCCTGGGCTAAAGCAGTTGGACTGAAAAAACCTCCCTTCACTGCATAGTAGAGCAATATTTTGAGAGCCATCTTTTGTTGTCTAGTGAATTAACAGACCTATGGACCAACAGTTAAGAGGCTGTTCTTTACTCCCACTGCAAAGTGACTGAATGTATTGCTCTGTTTTTTGAGGGGTAGACCTGTTCTCCTTTTCTAGGTGGGTAGACCTGGTCTCCTTTTTCTATGGGTAGACCTGGTCTCCTTTTTCTATGGGTAGACCTGTTCTCCTTTTTCTATGGGTAGACCTGGTCTCCTTTTTCTATGGGTAGACCTGTTCCCCTTTTTCTATGGGTAGACCTGGTCTCCTTTTTTTCAATGGGTAGACCTGTTCTCCTTTTTCTATGGGTAGACCTGTTCCCCTTCTCCTATGGGTAGACCTGGTCTCCTTTTTGGGGTGGGTAGACCTGGTCTCCTTTTTTCAATGGGTAGACCTGGTCTCCTTTTTCTATGGGTAGACCTGGTCTCCTTTTTTCAAAGGGTAGACCTGGTCTCCTTTTTTAAACGGGTAGACCTGGTCTCCTTTTTTAAGCGGGTAGACCTGGTCTCCTTTTTTACTATGGGTAGACCTGTTCTCCTTTTTTAAACGGGTAGACCTGGTCTCCTTTTTCTATGGGTAGACCTGGTCTCCTTTTTTCAATGGGTAGACCTGTTCTCCTTTTTTCAACGGGTAGACCTGGTCTCCTTTTTTAATGGGTAGACCTGGTCTCCTTTTTAAAGCGGGTAGACCTGGTCTGTGATTGCTCAGTGTCGCCGTCTTTTGGTTACCCTTGCTACTGCACCCCTGCAGGCCAAAAGGGACATGTTTGGGGAGGGAATGGACATTTTGGGGGAAAAACCAGGGCCACAACAACCCCCTGCAGTGCTACAGGCTGGGGACAGAGTGGTTGGAGAGCAGCCAGGTAGAAAGGGATCTGAGTGTGCTGATTGACAGGAGGCTGAACATGAGCCAGCAGTGTGCCCAGGTGACCAAGAAGGCCAATGGCATCCTGGCCTGCATCAAGAACAGTGTAGCCAGCAGGATGTGGGAAGTGATCCTTCCCCTGTACTCAGCACTGGTGAGGCCACACCTTGAGTATTGTGTTCAGTTCTGGGCCCCTCAGTTCAGGAAAGACCTTGAGGTGCTGGAGCAGGTCCAGAGAAGAGCAACTAGGCTGGTGAAGGGACTTGAGCACAAGTCCTGTGAGGAGAGGCTGAGGGAGCTGGGGTTGCTTAGCCTGGAAAAGAAGAGGGTCAGGGGTGACCTCACCCCAATTCTGTCCCACCCCCCTGAGCTGGGCAGCTGAGGCCAAGGCTCACCTTCCTCCTGGCAATCACTGTCTCAGCATACCAAGGCCTATGCAGGGCAGCACTTGGGAAAACTTGGGAAAGGCAACAGGAAAATGGCAGTGCCTGTCAGAAAACGAGTGCCCATGAACACACCTTTTAGACAAATGGAATAACATCACTCTCCTCCAAGAAACACAGGCCAGGCAGGGCTTTCCAGCCCAGGGCAGAACAGGCAGGAGAACTGCAGGGAACACAGGGAGACACAGGCAGGCATTGCCACTTATTCCCTGCAGCCCTCTCTGCACTTGGGGCTCCTGGCTCTTGATTTAGAAAGAACTGGGGGGGGAACAGCAGAGCAGGAATGCCCCTCAAAAACAGGGGCCTTGGCACTCTGGAGCATCAGAGGAGGGGAGACATGGAGGGGAGACATGGAGAGAGAACAGGAAAGGGGTTTGTTCAGGAACGGGCTGTCATGTCCAGCAGTGATGGCAACTGCAAACACAGGATGCTGCAGGAATGCAGAGGGGGAGCACGGGCCTGGCTTGGATGGAGCCTTTTGCCCTTTGCTCAGGGGCCTCAGCTCCACCCTCTCTGAGAACAGCAGAGAACTGCTGCAGGGCAAGAGTTCATTTAGGCACAAGTCAGTGATGCAGCTGCTGGGCAAGGGGAAGAGGGGAGAGGAATGGAGAGGAACTGACACCAAAATCACACAATCACCACTTTATTGGGACAGTATTGAGCTGCAACACAAAGACATTCACAGCAGGCCAGGGTAAGAGGTGCACACAGGACCACAACACAGCAACTGGGCTTGCAGGAACACCCTCTCCTCAAGTTATGGAGCCAGGGGCTGATCCATCCTGGGGGACTGTAGAGCACTCAGGCATCAGGGTCGAGTCCTACCTGGTCACTGCAAGCAGTTCAGCCCCAGCAGCAGTGGGAGTTTCTGCCTCTCCCTCCAAGACTATTTGGGACCCAACAGCTCAGTACAGTAGAATTCTATCTTCGTGAATATTTTACAAAGTTGAGCTTCAGGAGAACTGAGGCACTTTTCATTATTCTGTGCTCTTCCAGGGCTGCACTTGCCAGGATCCTTTGGGCACGAGGAACCTTCCAGACTGCTCCAAACCTTCACGGCCCACTTGTTCTTCTTGCCCCAGTTGGACCGGCTCAGTGTCCCTGCAGAAAGAGAAAATTCAATGATTCTCTCTGAAATCAGAACCTCCCCTGCTTTGCTTTCCCATTCCATGTTTTGTTCCCTACACAACTGTAATGAGTAGTAATGGTTTAATTTACTCATCAAATTAGTAATAATTGTTTACTCATTAAATTGTAGTGCATGTTATATTCTTATATATATATATGTTATTATAATCACTGTTCTGTTACGGGTAAGAGACTGTAAGTTGTAGAATGGTTCATTAATCTGTCAGCATTGTAAGCTGATGGAGCCTCTGGTGGTCTAGTGGTTAAGGGCGCAGCGCTGTCACCGCCGAGGCCTGGGTTCGATTCCAGGTCAGGGACACTCCTAGGCAGGTGGAGCTCGTTAGCCCTTAAAGGCAACCCACCTACGTCCTAAGGACCTCGATGCCACCGTCCAAGCTCACTTGGCCCCGGCAGATGAACCTTAGGAAGGGTGGGCTCAGTTCTGCGCACACTGTGTCTCACCTAAAAAATCCAATGCGCAGGCTGGAAGGTGTAAAGACCTTCCCCGGATCTTCGCTCGTGAAGACTGGCCATTATTATTGTAAGCTGATAAGCATGTAGTTTGCAGTTCTTAAGCTAGAATGACAGACTATTGTGCCTTGTTAAGTAGATATTTTTGTATCTTATTTTTCTAAAAAGCTTATTGTCTCACAACACGCATAAAGTAACAAAAGGAAGGACAAGGATCCAAGGGTCAGAAACCGAAACGATACAGAGTATCCAAGATGGACATCTGGAGATGCCTGCACACTAGGCCTCAAGGTCTAAGGACTGATTGGAACTATAGAGGGAAAGCACCTGGCAACTAAGATGAGCAAGGAAGGAGAAGCCAACCAGAACCAAATTTGCAAGCTCAGATCCAATAAGGGGACAACAAGTAACAATGAGAGGGAAACTAATAAGAGAATAAAAATTACTGGTTTTGCCTACTGCGCTTGTGGGCTGTGAGTGGAGCAGGGGTCTCCCTGGCCGCCCAGCATGCTGTTTTGCTTATTTGCATTTTATATAAATCTTTAATAAATTTTATTACTGTATTTCAGCTCAGTTTCATTTTACTTATAACACAACCGAGGCCCTTCCGGGTCTTGCCAAGTGGCTGCCGAGGAATCCGACCAGAGAACCTGCCAGGGAGCCATGATCCAGGTACCTGAGGTGCTTGCCCCGGCGAGATGCTCTCACCGTTACTCCTTGAGAGACTCCCCGGAATTGACTGCTCCCCTGCAGAAGCTCCCTTCAAAAAGTGGCCCAGATAACCACTCAGCAGGGTCCACCCCTCGTCATCCTCACTGCCCACACCTGGGGCCGTCGCGCTCGTTTGTCATCCTCACTTGCCCACACCTAGGGCTGTCGCGCCCCTTTGTCATCCTCACTGCCCACATCTGGGGCTGTCTCGCATGGGAGAGGACAGAAGGGTGCATGGAACCACAGGCGAGCCAGGGAAAGGGGCCGGCGCCAGCTGAGGGGCGCTGCCGGAGCGAGCACGAGGCAGGGGCTGTTCTCAGGCGGGGTACGGGACCTGCGCTGGCTCGTGGTGCTTCGCTCTGGGCTCTGGGGTTCTTTTGGGCTGGGGTTGGGTGCGGGTTTTGGGGGACTGCGCACACCCTCCCCTGAGTCACAGCCCCGCCCCAGCTCGCTGCACCCTGCTGCACTCCCCGCAGCCCTTGCTCAGCTGCGTGGGGATTAGTGCCTCCTCTGAAGGTGGCAAATGTCTGTAAAAAAAAGACTAAACATAACCTTAACCCTTCCCGCCATTCCCATGGCAACACTCCCATTCCCACGCCCCGTTCTCATGACAACAATTCCCCGTTCCCATGGCAACCCCGCCATTCCCACCCCCTTCGCGCATGCTCCGCGCTCTCCACGCGCTCCCATCCCTCCCCGCTTACATTTCCCATCACCCCCCGCGGCCAGGGAGTGTTCCCAGTCCTCTCCCTCTCCGGGACTCCATTTCCCAGCACCCCCGGCGGCCAAAGGGGGCCGGCGCGTCCTACGGCGGCCGGCGAGGTCCGTTCCGCGTGACGCGCGCCGTGCGCGGACGCCAAGATGGCGGACGATGAGGGCGAAGCGCGGCCGGGGGCGCGGAACGGGGCCGGGGAGGGTCCCCCGGGCGGGCCCCGCGTTGTCCGCATCGTCAAGTCCGAGTCCGGCTACGGCTTTAACGTCCGCGGGCAAGTGAGCGAGGGCGGGCAGCTGCGCAGCATCAACGGCGAGCTGTACGCGCCGCTGCAGCACGTCAGCGCCGTGCTGGGCGGAGGGGCCGCCGACCGCGCCGGGGTGCGCAAGGGGGACCGCATCCTGGAGGTGTGAGTACGGGGGGGCCGCCACCCCGCAGCCCCCCGGCCCGCACAGTCCCCCGCGGCCCTGCCCGACCCCCCCGCACAGCCCCCCGGGGGAGGGGGGACCGTCACCCCACGGACCCCCACACACTGCCCACTGCTCTCAGAGCCCCCTACACACTGCCCGACCCTCCCGCAAACCACCAGACCCTGCCCATCTCCGCCGTATACCTCCAACCCCCTACCCGATCTCCCCTGCACAGCCCCCCCACAGACGCACATACACACCTCCCCAGAGCCCCCAGACCCTACCCGGGGAGGGGGCGACCGTGGGGAGCACGAGGGAGGTGATGGAGGGGGTTTTGAAGGGTGTTGGGGGGGTCCTGAGGGTACTCTGAGGGTCCCTTGGTGAGGATGTTGTGAGGAGGGGGGGATGACCCCCCCACCCCTCACTGAGGATTTGGGGGATGCCTGAGGGGGCCCTGGACTGAGGGGTCCTGAGGAGGGGGGGGGGGGGTGCTGAGCCCAAACTGAACCCCCACCCCTCAGTGGGAGTTTGGGGGGGTCCTGACGGTGCCTTACTGGGGGTGTTGTGAGAAGGGGGGATTGAGGTCCCACCCCTCACTGGGGCTTTGTGGGGATCTTCAGGGGGCCCTGGATTGAGAGGTCCTGAGGACAGGGGACTGAGCCCAAATTGAGCCCCCCACCCCTTGCTGGCGGTCCTGAGGAGGCCCTGAACTGGGGGACTCGTCTGGCTTTGGGGGAGTCCTGGACCCCCTTCAGCAGGGAGTTGGGGGGCTGATTTGTTCCTCCCTCCCCTGGGGAGGTTTTGGAGGTCCCCTGGGGAGGTTTTGGGGGTTCCGAGGGGAAGTTTTGGGGGTCTCTGATTAGGGCAAAGGGAAGGGGGCCGTTGGGTAGCCCTTACTAGGGGTGAGGAGGGGGGGACGTCCTTCCCCCACCTTAGGTTTGAGGGGCACTGGGGATTTGGGACCATCCTGGATGGGTCAGGGGGGAAATTTTAGGGATAAAATTCCCAAATCCCAGTGTAAGGACCCTCCTGGGGAGGGCATAGGGGCATTTTTGTGGATAAACATCCCAAATTTCAACTTGGAGACCTCAGGGGGGCATTTTTAGGGATAAAACCCCTTGGGTTTCCACACGAGGACCCTCCTGGGGAGGGCAGGGAGGAAATTTTAGGGATAAAATTCCCAAATTCCAACATGAGGACCCTCCTGGAGAGGTTTTCCCTTTACCTTGTGGGGTTTCGGGGTGGGTTTTTTAAGGATTCCTCCAGATCCTATTGGAGTTTTACTTCATGCCAGGTTGGCAAAAGCCCCATTCCCAGTTAATTCCAGGGATTTCCAAGCAGCAGGAATGTTCAGAAGGGCAGCAGTGGCTCTCAGGAGCTGCCTGGACTCACCCCCATGGCCACAGAAATCCCTCTTGGGATTTTGCTCTTTCCCATCTGACCCAATTCCCGACTCCTTGTTTTTTTCCGCCTGGGAGGAGCACCGAGAGGGAGATGGAATTCTGCACCTGGATGAGCAGTGTCTGTGTATTGGGGCTGGGGGGGGGGCGGAATTTGGGGGGATTTTGGGGGTGCTGGGCTGACATCTTCCCTCATTACGAAGCGTTTTGAGAACGCTCCAAGTGCTGGCTTGGGAATTCGAGGTGGGTTTGGAGCCTGGGGCTGGAATTTTGGGATTCCAGGCCCAGGACGGGTGAGGACCCGCCTGAGGGTGGGTGGGGATTAATTAATTGCTGTGTTAATGATGGTTAATGAGGAGGTTTCCGTGTCCTGGGTGTCCCTCTCTGTGGACGGGGATCACGGCAGCTGGATGGAGCGGGAATTCCCTCCTGGTTTATCTATCTGTGTATTCCCTGGGAGAAGTGGCTTTGGTTTGTCCCTAGGTGCTGTGGCACTGCCAGATGTTCCAGGATTCCAATATTTCAATATTCCAGTAGCCCTGCATTCCAATATCCCAGTATTCCAGGGTTTCCAATATTCCTGTATTCCAATTGCCCTGCATTCCAACAGCCCTGTTCCTATGTTTTAGTATTCCGATAGCCTTATATTGCGATATGCTATATCCCTGTATTCCTGTATTCCGGTGTCCTATATGCCTGTATTCCTGTATCTCTATATCCGTATATTCCAGTGTCTCTCTATTCCTGTATTCCAAGATTCCTGTATTCCTGTATTTCAATAACTCTGTATTCCTGTATTCCAAAATCCCTCGATTCCAATATCCCTGTATTCCTGTATTCCAATATCCTGTATTTTTGAATTCCAGTATCCTGTATTCCACTATCCCTGTGTTCCTGTATTCCCGTACTCTAATATTCCAATAGTCTGTATACCTGTATTTCAACATTCCAGTATCCCTATATTCCAACACCCCTGTATTCGTGTTTTCCTGTGCCAATATTCCTGCAGTTCAATGCTCCTATGTTCCAGTGTTCTGATATCCCTACGTCCCTGTTTTCCAATATCCTTATATTCCAATATCCCTGAGCTCCAATGTTCCTATTTTCCCGTATTCCAATCCTAAAAATATCTTAAACATTTTACATATCCTGAATAGGTTAAAAATATTTTAAATATCCTAAATAGCTTAAATATCTTAAAAGCATCTTAAAAATATCTTAAATATCCTAAATACCATAAATATTCTAAATTTCCTAAGTATCCAAAAAATATCTTAAATATATTAAATATCATCTTAATATCCTAAAAATATTCTAAATTTCCTAAGACCTTCCAGGTACCTCCCTATCTCCAAGTGGAACCTGTTCCCTCCTAACCCAAAAACCCACCAGCGGGAAAACTGAACCTCAAGCCTAACCAGGGAATTCCATGGAGTCCCCCCAACTTTCTGAGTGGAGAATTCCCTGGGAATGTGCTTTTGGGATGACCTGTGGGTGTTTATTCTCCCCAGGAACGGGGTGAACGTGGAAGGGGCCACCCACAAGCAGGTGGTGGATCTGATCCGGGCCGGGGAGAAGGAGCTGATCCTGACGGTGCTGTCGGTGCCCCCGCACGAGGCTGAGAGCCTGGATCCCGGAGAGGATTCCCTGGGCCAATCCTTCTACGACTACACGGAGAAACAGGCCGTGCCCATCTCCATCCCCACCTACAAACACGTGGAGCAGAACGGCGAGAAGTTCGTGGTGAGAATTTGAGGGATAATTCGGGGCCTTTCTGCTGGGACGGGAGGGGATTTGGGAGATTTCTGAGGGATTTCCGTGTCTCCTGGGATGAGAGGGATCCTTCCGGAATGGGAAGCTTGATCCACCCTTCTGTGCCTTGGGGGAAGTGTCCATGAGCCTGAATCCCAAGATTTGGGCTTTGGATGCAAAAGCAGGAGTTTGGGATCTCTCTGTGTCTTGTGGGAAGTATCCATGATACTGAATCCTGAGATTTGTGGCTCATGAGGCTCCCGAATATCAGGAGCGGCTGGGCCATCCCCCATCTCCTGGGATTTTTTTATTTAACTCCCCATCCCAATATTTTGTTTTGGAACCTCTCTGTGTCTCATGGGAAGTGTCTATCATCCTGAATCCTGAGATTTGGGGCTTTGGATGCAAAATGAAGACTTTGGGATCTCTCTGTGTCTCATGATCCTGAGTCCCAGGATTTGGGGCTTGGGCTGCAACACGAGGAGTTTGGGATCTCTCTGTGTCTCGTGGGAAGTATCCCTGATCCTGAATCCTGAGATCTGGGGCTTTCAATGCAACACAAGGAGTTTGGGATCTCTCTGTCTCTTGTCAGAAGTATCCGTGATCCTGGGTCCCAAGGTTTGGGGCTGTCCAAGCCTCTTGGACAGTGGGGGCAGCCGGGCCATCCTCTGTCTCCCGGGATATGCCGATTTAACTCCCCATCCCAATTTTTCATTTTGGGGTCTCTCTGTGTCTCGTGGGAAGTATCCATGATCCTCAATCCCAATTTTTGGGGCTCACAAGGCTCCCGGGTATTGGGAGCAGCCGGGCCATCCCCCATCTCCCCAGATTCCTTTATTTAACTCCCCATCCCAATTTTTCCTTGTATCCCAAACCCTCCTTGTTTTCCTCAGTCCCCAGCAGGGTGGGCAGGTCTAGGCTGTCCCAGTGGGATCTTGAAACCTTCCCTGAACATTCCCTGTCCCCCATCCCAGGTATACAATGTTTACATGGCGGGCCGGCAGCTCTGCTCCAAGCGCTACCGGGAATTTGCCATCCTGCACCAGAATCTCAAGCGGGAATTTGCCAACTTCACTTTCCCACGGCTCCCCGGGAAGTGGCCCTTCTCCCTGTCAGAGCAGCAGCTGGATGCCCGCAGGAGGGGCCTGGAGGAGTACCTGGAGAAAGGTCTGGAGCATGGCAGCTGGGAATTGCTGCCCTGGGAGGTGGGAGAGGGGAGCCAGGGAGGCTGCCTGGGCTGCTCCGGCTTGGAGAGGTTCTGGATTCGTGGGGAGAGCCCGAAACATGGAGAACGGGGATTTAAACGGGCGTATGAGGGGGCAGGAGGGGCACGGGGAACAGAAGAGGACCCAGGGGACAGGAGGGGACTCAGGGAGGTGGCCCAGGTGGAGGAATTCCCTTCAGGATAAGTCAGGATGGTGGGACAGGGGCTGTTCCTGGGTGGGAAGGGCCCCCCGTTCCCTCAGGAGTGACGCTCCTTGTGTCTCGCAGTGTGCTCCATCCGGGTCATTGGCGAGAGTGACATCATGCAGGAATTCCTGTCGGAGTCTGACGAGGTGGGTCGCCCTCCCTGGGCTGCTCCAGTCGAATTCCATGGGAACAAACCATGGAATTAAGGCTGGAAAAGTCCTCTGAGCCCATAAAGTCCAACCCAGCAGCGCTAAGGCCACCACTGATCCCTGTCCCCAAGTGCCACATCCACACGTGTCCTGGACAATTCCAGGGACTGGGACTCATCCCCCGCCCTGGGCAGCCCTTCCAATGCCTGACCACCCTTTCCAGGAAGGAATTTTCCCAAATATCCCACCTAAACCTCTCCCTTGAGGCCTCATCCTGCCGTTCTCTGGGAGAAGATCCCTCCTCCAGCATGTCTCCCTCCTCCCAACTCCTCATCCCTCCGGAATTCCTCAATCCTGCTGGAGTTTGAGGCCCAGCAGTGGGGGTTGGGTGGAAAGGACACTGATTTAGGGGCATCTTTTCCCATCTTTGTCCCAGAACTACAATGGAGTGTCAGACGTGGAGCTCCGCGTGGCGCTGCCAGACGTGACGACAGTGACGGTGCGGGTGAAGAAGAACAGCACCACTGACCAGGTGTACCAGGTGAGGCACCTCCTCCCTCACCTGGAATGCCCTCCCTTTTCTGGAATGCTTAAGATTGTCCTCCCTCACCTGGAAAACCCACCCTGGAATGCTGGGAACGCCCCACCTGCCTCTGTCCTGATGGCACCTGGGCACGGGTGACACCCAACACAGGGCAGGGATGCCAAAACACCTTCCCTGGAGCACCTTGGGAGTTCTTTAACTTGCTGGGAACTGGTTTTCCTGGAGAGCCTCCCCCAGCTGGAAAGGCTTCGGGTGGAGGGGTTGGATCCGAGAGCAATTCCGGCAGCCAACGCATCAATCCTTGTGGATGTCGAGGATATTAAGGATAATAAGGATATTAAAGATAGGAACTGGATTCCAGGTGTGCAACGGCCAGAGTATCCATGTTTTAAGTGGAAAAACAAGGGGAAAACCTGGAGAACGCAGGAAAGTGGGAGCTTTTTCCTGCTGTTTTTGGAGGATTGGGATCCATTGGGTCCATGGATTTGGGGGGAATGAGGTGGTGCAGAGAAACACCCTTTGGAAAAAGGAGCTGAAAATCCTGCTGGAAGGGAGGGACAGAAGGTTGGGAAAGAACAGAAGCTCTGGGATCCCAGGGATAAGGTAGGATTTGGGAGGATGTTTGGGACATAGCCTGTGGAATTCCACATGGCCTCGGTGAGTCCTGGCTGTGGGATTATCGCAGGGGGCTGAACGCTGATGGAGTAACATTCCCAGGAGGGAGCCATTCCCGTCATTCCCGCTGGGAATTGCAGCTAGGAAGCATCAGGACACATGACCTGAGTATATGTCCCTTGTGGTGAAGTTTAAAACCCATTGAGGGGGGTGATTCTAATCCCTAGAAAAACCCACCTAGCTTTGCTGGAAGAGTGGGATTCAGGCTTTCTGTGGCTGGGGGATACTTGGGAATCCTGACTTGGCCCCAGAGCTGCTGGTTTGGGTGTTGCTCATCCCGTTTTCCGTGTTTTCCAGGCCGTGGCTGCCAAGGTGGGCATGGACAGTGTCACGGCCAACTACTTCGCCTTGTTCGAGGTGATCAACCACTCCTTTGGTGAGTCCTGGAACCCTTGGGATGCAGGGAAAAGGGGCTGAGAAAGCTCCTGCAGGGCCCCTGGGGGAATATACAGGCCTTGGGGGCGTGTGGTCATGGAATCAGGGAGACTGAGGTTGGATAAGCCCTCAGAGATCCTGGAGTCCGGCCTGAAGCTGCCAAGGCCACTGGGAAAACACAGCCCCAATTCCACAGGGGGCACTTTGGAGGGGTTTGGGGTAATTTTGGGTTAATTTTGAAGAGTTTGGGGTCACTTTGGAGGGTTTGGAGTCACTTTGGAGGGGTTTGGGGTCATTTTGGAAGGGTTTTAACTGTCTACACCCCTCAACATTTTGGGAATTTTTAACTCCTTAAACCCCTCAACTTTCCGGGAATTCTCTCCTCAACCCCAACCTGACACACTCCATCTCCCAGCCCCACCAGCCCCGCAGTCTCCCCTCCCGAGTTCTCCCAGTTCTCTTCTGGCTCTCTCGGCATTCCTGGTGCCCTGATCCCTGTCTCCCGTGCTTTTCCCAGTGCGGAAGCTGGCTCCCAATGAGTTCCCCCACAAGCTGTACGTGCAGAACTACACATCGGCCGTGCCGGGGACGTGCCTGACGCTGCGCAAGTGGCTCTTCACGCCCGCCGAGGAGGAGCTGCTCAACGACAACGACCTGGCCCTCGCGTACTTCTTCCACCAGGTGGGATCCTGGGGACCATGGAGTTATGGGGTCATGAAGTTATGGAGTTATGGTATCAGGGAGTTATGGAGTCGGGGAGTTATGGAGTCATGGTGTCATGGAATCATAGAATCATGGAATCACAGAGTCATAAAATCATAGAGTCCTGGAATCGTAGAGTTGTAGAATCTTAGAATCACAAAATAACAGAATCACAGAATCAGCAAGGTTGGAAAAGCCCTCTGAGACCATCAAGTCCAACCTTTGATGCAACCTCGCTGTGGTTCCCAGCCCACAGCACTGATGCCACATCCAGTCTGCTCTTATAAACCTCCCGGGTCCCTTTCTTCCCGGCTGCTCTCTCCCACCCTGTCCCTGCTGTTCCTTTATCCTGGGGAAGGCTCCTGAGGAGGGGGTCGAGTCATGCTGTGCTCAATCCCACCCAGATTTTTACAGATTTTAGCTCCTGGAGCTACTCTCAATGTGCTGGGAATTCTTCGGGGTGCTGGGAACGAGCAGCTCGAGGTTTCTGGGGAGTCCAGGAGGGGAATCCAGCTTGGATCCAAGCAGTTCCAGGGATGGGGACTTGGATTTGAAGCATAGGGACTTGGATTTGAGCGGTTACAGGGAGGGGGACTTGAATTTGAGGAATGGGGTCTTGGATTAGAAGGATGGGGACATGGATTTGAGTAATTCCAGGGATGGAAAAGAGCCCGACTCCTCCTTGTCTGAGCTGAGCCTCGGATATAAATCCATATAAAAGTCACAGTTATCAAATATTTCATTTCTCAGGCCGGATTTTTCCAGCTTTTGCTCCCTTTTTGGGAGGGAAGTGGCTCAATCCTGGGAACTGAGAGGAGGAACCTGCTCAGTCCCAAAGGAGAAACCCCTTTTTCTGCCGCCATTCCAGCAGCCAAAACTTCCAGATCTGTGTCCCTGGAGTGTCCTCAGCAAGATCCTAGCCTTCCCAAATCCATCCTCTCCTCCCAGGGGACCTTTTTTGAAAGCCCCTGTAGATGTTTGAAGCCCCCCAAGGCCTTTGAGGGCTCAGGGCAGGGGGAAGATCCTATCCTGGAGCTTCTGTGGCGCTGGAATTGGGGCTGGAACTGGGGCTGCGAGCAGCTGGGGTGGGAGCAGGGCAGGGCTGGTGCTCCTCCAGGCCCAACTCCTGGAATTTCTGTCCTGTTTTTCCCTCTGCCTCCAAGGCTGTGGATGATGTCAAGAAAGGCTACATTAAAGCCGAGGAGAAATCCTACCAGTTACAGAAGCTCTGTGAGCAGAAGAAGATGGTTATGGTGAGTGATCCCCTTGCTGGGCCAGGCTTAAATCCCGGGATAAGCCCTTGGGAAGGCCTCAGTCCCCTCTCCTGGGCTTTGTGGGGCAGTACCTGGATGTGGGAGTGGCACAAAGAGATCCTGTTCCCTGTGGGGTCTGGGGATGTTTCAGGGAGGATCCAGCCTTGCTGAGGGTCTAGGGCCACTTGGGGGGTCTCCAGCCTTGCTGAGCTGGGCTTAAGTGCCGGAATGAGCCTGCCTGTGTGTGTGGCAGTACCTGAACATGCTGAGGACGTGTGAGGGCTACAACGAGATCCTGTTCCCGCACTGCTCCTGCGACTCCCGGCGCAAGGGCCACGTGATCACGGCTATCAGCATCCAGCACTTCAAACTGCACGCCTGCACCGAGGAGGGGCAGCTCGAGGTGAGGAGGGGCACCAGTGGGGGGCCTGGGGGGCACAATTAGGGTCTCTGGCATCAGAACTGGGGTCCTGGGGGCACAACTGGGGTCTCTAGGGGCACAGCTGGGGTCCTGGGGTCAGCCCTGACCCCACACCTTGGATTTGTACCTGGACTTTATCCCCCCAATTCCCTGGGATCACAACTGGGGTCTTTGGGGGCACAACTGGGGTCCTTGGGGTCAGCCCTGACCTCACGCCTTGGATTTGTACCTGGACTTTGTCCCCCCTAAATCCACAGGGTTAGTCTTGGGGTCTCCGGGGGCACAACTGGGGTCCCTGGGGGCTCCCCTGGTCTCCCTGTGGCTCCCCTGTGTGTGTCTCCCCAGAACCAGGTGATTGCCTTCGCATGGGAGGAGATGCAGCGCTGGGACACGGACGAGGAGGGAATGGCCTTTTGCTTCGAGTACGCACGAGGGGAGAAGAAGCCGCGGTGGGTGAAGATCTTCACCCCCTACGTGAGTGTCCTGACCCCCTGGATACCCCCCCAGAAACAGGGAGACTCCTGGGCTCCACGAGGGAGGGCCGGGAAGGGATCCCTGGGCATGGAAGGTAGGGCTGATCCCGGGAGCTGCTGCCTCCTCTGGAGCTGCTCTGGAGCTCATCTCCAGAGCTGCTGGTTCCTTTGGAGCTTCTTCGGAGCTCCTGGCTCATCCCTGGAGCTGCTGGTTCCTCTGAAGCTCCTCTGGAGCTCCTGCTTCTCCTCTGGAGCTCTTGGCTCATCCCTGGAGCTCCTGCTTCTCCTCTGGAGCTCCTGGCTCATCCCTGGAGCTGCTGGTTCCTCTCTGGATCTCTTAATTCCTCTGGAGCTCCTGGTTCCTCTCTGGAGCTCCTGACTCCCAGACCAGAACCTCCCAGTTCCCTGCAGGGAACCTGGGATACTCCCAGGCTCCAGGAGTGCTGGGGAGGGAGGGCTGGGAAGGAATCCCTGGGGATGGAAGGCAGGGCTGATTCCAGGAGCTGCTGGTTCCTCGATGGAGCTCCTAGTTCCCCCCTGGAATTCCTGGTTCCTCTGGAGCTGCTGGGTCCTCCCCGGAGCTCCTCTGGACCTTCTGGCTCCTCCCAGGATCTCCTGGATTGTCCAGGATCTCCTGGATTGTCCCTGGACCTCCTGGCTCCTCCCAGGATCTCCTGGCTTGTCCAGGATCTCCTGGCTTGTCCAGGATCTCCTGGCTTGTCCAGGATCTCCTGGATTGCCCCAGGATCTCCTGGATCCTCTCTGGAGCTCCTGGCTTGTCCAAGATCTCCTGGATCATCCCTGGATCCCCTCTGGCCCCCCTGGCATGTCTAGGATCCCCTGGATTGTCCAGGATCTCCTGTGGCTATGCCAGGGTGTGGGATCCCCTGGATTGTCCTGGGATCCCCTGTGGCTGTCCTAGTGTGTGGTATCCCCTGGATTTCCCCAGATCCCCTATGGCTGTCCCAGGGTGTGGGATCCCCTGAATTGTCCCTGGATCCCCTGTGGGGCTCCTGGCTCCTCCCAGGATCGATCTCCTGGCGTGTCCAGGATGTCCCGGGGTGTGGGATCCTTGGATTTCGCCAGGATCCCCTGGATTGTCCCAGATGTGGGATCCCTGGCTCCATCCCCGCTCCGTGTCTCCGCAGTTCAATTACATGCACGAGTGCTTCGAGCGCGTCTTCTGCGAGCTCAAGTGGAGGAAGGAGGTGAGAATTCCCCCTTTTCCCTTCTCCAGGGATTTCTGAGGGACCTCTGCTTCTCCTGGGCCTTAAAAACAGCTCCCCCCCACCCCCCCGGGGAGGAATGGGATAATGCCAGGAATGTGAGGGAGGGAAAGATGGGATCTGGGGTTGGGACACTGTGGCTTTGGGGATGAGGAGATCCAGATGGGAATGTTTGGGGTGAGCCTGGGAAAAGGCTCTTCCAGGTGGGAATGTTTGGAATAATCCTGGGAAAAGGTTGGTGCAGGTGGGAATGTTTGGGATAATCCTGGGAAGGATAATCCTGGGTAAACCCTTGTCCAAATGGGAATTTTGGGGATAATTGTGGTAAAAACCTAGAGCAGGTGGGAATGTTTGGGATAATTGTGGGAAAAGACTTGCCCAAATGAGAGTTTTTGGGATAATCCTGGGAAAGATAATCCTGGGGAAATTCGGCTGGTGCAGGTGGGAATGTTTGGGATAATCCTGGGATAACCCCTTTCTCCCTACCTGGAATTTTCCTGCTCCTCTGGGAGCCCATCTCTGCTCCCCTCTGGGTGTGTCCAGTGGGACAGGGGAGTAAAAACCTGGAAAAGCTTTCCAGGAAAGCCCCAAAACAGGAATCTCCCAAGGAATCCCCTTGGAGAGGAGGGAGCTGGGAATGCCCAACCTGAATCCATCCTGGCCTTCCCTGTGGATCTCAGATTTGGGATTCGTGTCCCAGCTGGAACTGGGACCTTCCTGGGATCCCCCTGCTTGCTCCTGTCCCTGGAATGAACCCCATCCCAGCTCTGGAATCCCAGGATGGCCCTGAATCCCTCCCAGTGCCCATCCTGGCTCTTCACTGTCCCCTATCCCTCCATTTTGATCCGTGTTCCCTGTATTTTTTCCCTTGCCAAGGTGGAGGAGGAGGCAGCAGACCAGGATAATGAAAACTGCAGGAATGACAGGATGTGCAGCAAGGTAACCGGGAAACACCCGGATTCGGGGCATTCCTGGCCGGATCCGGCGTCTCTCCTGCTTCCCTGCTCTGGCCCCTGCCAGGAAATTCCACAGGCTTTTCCCAGTGGCTTCCTGAAGGGAGACCTGACTATCCTCCTCCTGCTTTTCCCGGGATAGAGGCGACTTTGTGCTTCTTCCCTGGCTTTTGAGGTGGGAATTCACCAGGCTTTTCCTGGCTTTGGATCGCCCAGAACGTGGCGCTGTGATTCCCAAATCCCTTCTCCGGAGCTGCAGGTGGAAAGGGTGTGACCTTTTCTGGGATCAGAGGCTTGATCCCAGTGGTTCTCATGTTATCCTGGAATGCTGGATCCCTAAATCCCTCTCGAAGCACTGCTGGGAGCGGGAGTAACCCCCACTTGGGCTCCTGAATATCCCTCTTTTCCCGGCCTTTTTCCTGCTCATCCTAAGCAGGATTTAAAGCCGGTCCTTTAAACTGCTCCAGGATTTACCTGGAAGCATCCATGGATAATCCCCTGCCATCCCCTTGGATCTTTTCCTGCTGGATTTGATCCCAGAGCCTTTGTTGCCATGTCCTGGCCCTGCTGGAGTTTCCCAGGAATCCCAGGATCTGCCAATGCCCCTTTCCAAGCTTGGCTCCCTGGGGATGGATGTGCTCTTGTCCCATGGGATTCTCCTGTGGTTTTCCAGGATCCCCAGTCTCCACAGATCCCCTTTTCCGAGTTGGGAAGCACCCCAGGGATGGATGTGCCATTCTCCCATGAAATTCCAGGATTCCCAAAGTCTTCCTCTTTCCAAGCCTGGAGACTAGTGGCATCCTTAGGGATGGTTCTCGTGTAGTTTTCCAGGAATCCCAACTTCTGCCAATCCCTCTTTTCAAGCTTAGAGGCTCCCCAGGGATGGATGTGTTCTTGTCCCATGGGATTCCAGGAATCCCAACCTTTACCAATTCCTCCTTCTAAGCCTGGAGACTCATAGGATCCCCCCCAGGGATGGATGTGCCACTTCTCCCATGGAATTCCAGGATTCCCAGTCTCCACAGATACCTCTTTCCAAGCTTGGAGACTTGTGGCATCCTTGTGGATGGTTCTCCCGTGGGATTCCAGCAATCCCAGGATCTACCAATCTCCCTTTCCAAGCCTGGAGATTCATATGATCCCCACCAGGGATGGATGTGCCATTTCACCCATGGGATTTTCCCACAGTATTCCAGGAACCCCAAACTGCCAATCCCCCTTTCCAAGCTTGGAAGCTCCCCAGGGATGGATGTCTCATTCTCCCATGAAATTCCAGGAATCCTAAGTTCTGCCAACCCCTCCTTCCAAAGCCTAGAGACTCATAGGATCCCCCCCAGGATGGATGTGCCACTTCTCCCATGGGATTCCAGGATTCTCCATCTCCACAGATCCCTCTTTCCAAGCCTGGAGATTCATATGATCCCCACCAGGGATGGATGTGCTGTTCTCCCATGAAATTCCAGAATCCCAAACTCTTCTGATCCCTCTTTCCAAGCCTAGAGACTCGTGGCATCCTTGAGGATGGTTCACCATGGTTTTCCAGGATTCCCAAGCTCTTCCAATCCCCCTTTCTGACCTTGAAGGCCTCCCTAAGGATAGATTTGCTGTTCTCCCTCCATATTACCACTCCAAATTCCTGTCCTTTGCTTTGCTCTGGCATTGGATCCAACCCTGCATTGTTTAATTAATGAGGGGGGAGAAGAAGGTTTCCAGGCTGGAATTTCCCCCAGAATTCCCAGGGGGAGTTTGGAGTTGGCAGCAAATCCTTGGACATCAGGGAGGGGTCTGGGGTCTGGTCCCACTTCCTGCCCAATTCCAGGGATCTCCTCGATTCAGGAACACCCTAGGTGTTCCTGTGTGAGTTTGGGGTGTCCCTCAAAGCTCTGGGATTCTCAGAGGGATCCAGGAGCGCCTGGATTTGGGAATCCAGGGCGGTCTGGATCTGGGAATATGGTGGCTGAGTGGTAGGAAAGCTGGGAAGAGTGGGAGAGCTGGAGGCAGGGAAGAGCTGGGAGCAGTGGGAGAGCTGGGAATAGTGGGAGGGCTGAGAGCAGTGGGAAAACTTGAAGCGTGGAAAAGTTGGGAACAGTGGGAGGACTGACCCGTGGCTTTGGGATGATCCAGTGGGATTGATTGGGATGGTCCTATGGGTTTGGGATAATCCAGGGGGATTGACTGGGACACTCCAGAGGGATGGGGACAATCCCATGGGATGGGGATGCTCCAGCTGTGCCGCTCTCCCTGGCCTCCCCCCTCATCCCAGACTGGAATCCGGACCATTCCCAACCTCCCCTCCTCCATCCCTCCTTCCCCCGCACCGTATCCCCTTTTCCTGCAGCTCCAGCCCCCCCCCCCCGTCCCTCACCACCTCCTTTTCCTTGTTTTCCAGAACCTTTTCCAGCTGGTCCGGTCACAGCAGAGGGACGCGGCCACTTAACCCCCCCTTCCCCCACCCGGTGTAATTAAATCCCCCCCAACTAAATATTATTAATTAAGGAAAACCTCGTTTGTGCCCGTCATGTTCATGGAATTTCAGAGAAAACAGGGAAAACCAAGGCAGGGAAAACGCCGGGGGAATGATGGGAAAGGGGGAGGGGAGGAGCTTCTCCTTGTTTTTTTACAACTGGAATTTCAAAAAATGCGTCGTTTTCTGCGGGAAAAAATCCCTCTGAAAGCTGTAAAAAAGAGCCCCTAAAAAGTTCATTTCCTGGGGATGCTCCAGGCCAGGATCCATGGGAGTCGTCCCTTTGGATTTCCAGAGAGTGGCAGCACCTCTGGGAAGGGTTTTTTACCCCCATTTCTCCTCCCAATCCATCACTATTTGGAGATTAAAAAGTCCGAAAAGGAAGTAGAATCCCAGGGAAAAGCCTCTCCTGGCAGGGGAGGTTTTGGGGAGGTGATCTGATCATGGATCGGGTAGAGGAGCAAGGAGGCAAAAAAAAAGTTGAAAAAGGTGTTTTCCCAGCTTTTGAGCAGAATTTTTCCATGGCTTGGGGGAGGGGGAAATAACCTGGAAAATCCATTTTTTCTGGATTTGAGCAGATTTTATCCACAATTCCAGGCAGCTGAGCAGCTCCCAGGAGGAAAACTAAGGTGGAAAAGCCATTTTCCCTGGTTTTGAGCAGGATTTTTCCATGGCTTGGGAGGAAAAATATCCAGGAAAAGCCATTTTCCTTGGATTTGAGCGAGATTTTTTCCATGGCCCTGGAAAAACCGGGAATGGGGATGTTGGGAGAGGTTTGAGACCCCCCAACCCCCCCTTTGGGGCTCAGCAATAACCCTCCCAGTGCTCCCAGTTTGGATCCAGGGAAAACTCTTCCCCTCCTCATCCCAGTTTTGCTGCCGTCCAAAACATGGATTTATGGGAGAGAATTCCAGGAGCTTTTGGGGTGTTTTTCATTTGTGAGTCAGAAAAGTGACCAAAACCCCACCCAAAATCCCAGAAAAAAGGGAGAAATAATGGATAAAAAATGGATAAAAAAGCCCTCCCTCCCCCCTCCCCTTCTCCAGCTGCTCCTGCTGTTCCCATTCCTCAGTTTCTTGGTCAGGAAAAGTCACTTTAGTGTAATTAATTGTAACATATTCTTTTAAATAAATTGATTTATTGATGAAACTACAGAGACCTGTGACAGCCTTCCTCCCCCACCGTGGGGGGGCTCCTCACCCACCTCCCCATTAAATTTGGGGGGGTCCTGGAGTGGTTTCAAACCTTCCAACTTTCACTGTTGGTGGGTTTTTTGTGTTTGTTTTTAAAGGATTTTTATTTCGACAGAAAAAAGAAAAACCAAAAAAAAAAAAAATTGTCCAAAGGAACCGCAATAAATAGCAAATAAATTAAGTGACGGCGTCTCCACCCCGAGGGGATTTCACCACCCCCACCCCCATCTCCCCCCACCCGCGCCCCCCACCCCATCCCCCAAATCAACCCAGCAGGTACCAAACCCCCAAACTGGGGGGACACGGGGGACTCAGCGCCCCCTCTTTATGTACAGTGGGGGGCGGGGGGCAAAGGGGGTGGGGGGCACTGACTCAGTTGGGGGTGCTGGGGCACCAGTTTGGGAGGCATCAGGCCCATTTTGGGGGTGGAGGGCACTGGCACCACTTTGAGGGGATTGGAGGGCACTGGCCCAGTTTGAGGGGCACTGACCCAGTTTGGGGGGGTTGGGGAGGGTCCCAACCCTGGTTTGGGGGTGCAGGGGGCACCAGGTTGGGGGGCTTGGAGGGGGAACTGGCCCAGTTTGGGGTACTGGGGGCACTGGTTTTGGGTGCTGGGGGGACACCAACCCTGGGTTGGGGTTGCTGGGGGAACCGACCCAGTCTGGGGGGCACTAACTCAGTTTGGGGGTGCTGGGGGGAGTCCTGGCCCCAGTTTGGGGGTGCTGGGGGGTCTCGACCTGTTTTGGGGTGCTTGGGGTCCCCGGGCTGGACACGGCCCAGATTTGGCTGGTGGGGGCCGACACACCCCGGATTTGGGATTTGGCGGCTGCGGGGCCGTGTCCATGTGTCTGTGTCCATGCGTCCCTGTGTCCATGTGTCCGTGTCCCTGTCCATGTGTCCTTGTCCCTGTCCCTGTCCCCACTCTGGATCTCCCAGTTCCTGGCTCCTAAATTTGGCAGCTTTGGGCCCAGATTTTGCCACTCTGGGTCCTTCCAGCAGCTGGGGGGAACATCCCGGAGTTGGAGCATCCTGGTCCAGGATCATCCCCGTCCAGGGTCATCCCAGTGCAGGGTCATCCCAGTGCAGGATCATCCCAGTCTAGGATCATCCCAGTCCAGGATCATCCCAGTATCATCCTGGGGTCAGGACAACCCAGTGTTGGAACATTCCGGTGTCAGAGCATCCCCATGGTGGAATATTCCAGTGTCAGAGCTTCCCAGTGTTGGAGCATCCCAGTATTGGAGCATCCTGGTACTGGAGCATCTCTGTATCCGAGCATCTCAGTGTCAGAGCATCCCAGGGCCAGAGAATTCCAGTCCCAAAGAATCCCAGTGCCAGGGCATTCCAGTGCCAACATCCCAGTATTGGAGCATCCCAGTACCGGAGAATCCCAGTGACGGAACATCCCGGTGCCAGTTCATCCGTAGGTTCATTCCAGGGTCAGATCATCCCGGGGTCGGATCATTCCCAGTGTTGGATCATCGCAGGGTCGGATCATTCCCAGTGTGTCCATTGGATCATTCCCAGTGTTGGATCATTCCCAGTTTGGGATCATTCCCAGTGCTGGGGGGGTGCTGAGGCAGGATTTTGGGATGGGGGGCAGCGGATGGCAGTGTCTGGGGGAGGATCCCGCTGCCTCAGGGGTCCCCTTTCCCATGGGGACATGGGGAGGGGGGTGGGACCCCCTGTGGAACAAACCCCTCCCCACCACCACCCCAGGACCTCCCCTGGGACTCCCCCTGGGACCCTTCCCCCAGCCCCTCCCCCCCTTGGAGCTGGTTTTGGTCCTGTTTGGTGAGAAGAAGCTCCAAGGAGGGACCCCCGGGGTGGGAGGGGGAGGAGGGGGCCCCATGGAGGGAGAGGTTGGGGGGGTCAGTCCCCCACCCCAGGGTGGGCTTAGTTGGCCCCCTGCCAGGGCAGAGCAGAGGGTGGTTCTGGCACCCAGAGCTCCCCCTGGGCTGGGATGGACTGGAACGCACTGGGGGATCCGGAGGGGCCTGGTCGGGGAGGGGCAGTCCATCCTTCCTGAGCGTATGGGAGGGTCTGTGCCCCTCCCCCTCCCCTGGCAGGACTGAGACCCCCCCGGGCAGCGCTGGAGGGGGGAGGGGGGACTGCTCTCCAAAGGGGGCACCCAAAGGTGCTGCTCCGGAGCCTCCAGACCTGGGGGGGAGATTGGGGGGGTTAGGCTGGGTTTGGGAAATTGGGCTGAGTCTGGGTGTGTTAGGCTGGGTTTGGGGGGATTGGGCTGAGTCTGGAGGGCTTAGGCTGGGTCTGGGCGTGTTAGACTGAGTCGGGGGGGGTTAGGCTGGGTCTGGAGGGGTTAGGCCAGGTCTCACCAGGCTCAGTAGGGCCGGTTGGCGTCTTTGGGCCTCTTGAGCTGCACCTTGAGCCGCTTCATCCCGATCTGGAAGCCGTTCATGGCCTGGATGGCGGCCTGAGCGCTTGCGGGGTTGTCAAAGCTCACAAAGCCTGCGGGGACATGGGGGACAGAGGGGACATGGGGGACATTGGGGACAGAGGGGACATGGGGGACATTGGGGACAGAGGGGATAGAGGGGACAGAGGGACATTGGGGACATGGGGGGACAGAGTGGATGGAAGGGACATTATGGATAGAGAGGACATTGGGACAGGGGGACATTGGGGAGGTCAGGCCATGATGTCCCTGTGCCCTGACCGTCACACCCCTGGCCATGCTGCCCCTGCCCTGGTCACTGTGTCCCCACCCCCCTCCCTGTCACCTGTCCCTGTCCCCATGTGTCCATGTCCCTCTGTCCCCTTGTCCCCTTTCCCTGTCCTGTGTCCCTTGTCGTCATCCCCCCCTCATACCAAAGCACTTGCTTTTGTTGGTGGCCCTGTCCCTGTGTGTCCCCAGTGGTCCCAATGTCTCCAATGTCCCCAGTCATGTCCCCTCACCGAAGCACTTGCTCTGGTTGGTGGCCCTGTCCACGAACACCTTGGCCGAGATGACATTTCCAAAGGGCAGGAACATCTGCAGGATCTCGGAGTCGGCGAACTCCTGGGGCAGGTGGTAGATGAAGATGTTACAGCCCTCGGGGCCTGCGGAGGGAGGGGTGTCACGGGGGGACTGCGACCCCAAACACGGCCCTAGGATCCCAAATACAGCCTTGGGACCCCAAATATGGCCCTGGAATGCCGAACGTGGCCCCAGGACACCAAAACCTACCCTGGAATCCCAAATACAGCCCTGGGACCCCAAATATTGCCCTGGGACCTCAAAGCCTGCCCTGGGACCCCAAATACGGCTCCAGACCTCAAATCCTGCCCTGTGCCCCCCAGACCTGGCCCTGCACCCAGAGGGCCTCTGAGCCCCCCTGATGACCCCCCAGTCTCCAGGGGGTCACCCCAACAGCCCCCGCCGGGCACCCCCAGCCCTGCCCCATACCCTGAGCCACCTCAAACCCGGGGGGAGGCCCCAAACCCTCATGGGGGGCACCCCAACCCCTCATGGGGGCACCCCAACTCCCACCATACACTGGGACCCCCCCAATCCCACCACCTGGGGAGACCTTTGGGGTGCGGGTCTCTCAGGGGGTCCTGGAGAGATCCCTCAAGGTGGGGGTCCCTGGTGAGGAGCATCCCTCAGGGTGGGGGTCATGGAGAGGGTCCCTGGGGGTGTCCCTCGGGGTGGAGGTCTTGGGTGGTTCCCCATGGGGTTCTGGGGGGGGTCCCTTGGGACAGGGGCTCCAGTGAGGGTTCCAGGGGGGGTTGCAGGGAGGTCCTGGAGAGTCTGTGGGAGCCCCAGGGGGGGTCCCAGGGGGTGCCGGGGGGTCCCAGGGAGGTCCCTGGGGGGTCCCTGGGGTTCTCACCTTCACGCTGCTGCTGCTGGGGAGGGGGTGGGGGGGCGAGCAAGGGTCCCGGGGGGGCGAAGGCCGGGCTCACCAGCCCGTAGGCAGCCGGGTACGCAGCTGGTTGGGGAAAGGGGGAAGGGCAGGCTGGCACCAGGGAGGCACCGGCACCACCCAGTAACCCCTAGTGCCCACCAGTGCCCACCAGTAACCCCCAGTAACCCCTAATAACCCTCAGTAACACCCAGTACCCCCCACTAACCCCCAGTGCCCCCTAATATCACCCAGTAATGCCCAGTAACCCCCAGTGCCCTCTCATGGTCCCCTAATCCTTCCTAGTAACACACAGTACCCCCCAGTCCTTCCCAGTAACCCCCAGTCCCCCCACCAGTACCCTCCCAGTGCCATCCCAGTGGCCCCCCACTCCTTCCCAATAACACCCTGTAGGCCCCAATCCTTCCCAGTGCCCCCAGTGGCACAGAACACCCCCAGTCCCTCTCATTTCCTCCCAGTGCCCTCCCAGTACCTCCCAATCCCTCTCAGTACCCCTCCAATCTGTCCCAATCCCCTCTCGGTTCCTCCCAGTGCCCCCCAGTGCCACACAACACCCCTCCAGTGCCCTCCCAGTATCCTCCCAATACCCTCCCAGTCCCTCCCACTACCCCCCAGTGCCCCGTACCTGTGTAGTGCTGCATCCCAGCGTATGCCTGTTGCAGAGGGTCCCCGGGGGCAGCGGGACTCTGGGCTGGGGGGGGCAGAGGGGGCGTTACGGGGGGCAGGGGGATCCCAGGGGGTCCCGGGGGTCACCTGGGAAGGAGGGGGGCAGAGGAGGTGTTGGGGGAGAGGTTGGAGGGGGCCACGGGTTTCCGGGGGGTCCCGGGGCTCACCTGGGAAGGGAGGAACCCCCCCCGCGTAGACAGCGTCGGGGGCGGGGGGTCCCGCGGGCTGCGCGGGGACGGGGCTGTAGCCGTTGACGCTCAGCGGGGCCGCGATGGCCGGAACGGGCGTGGCCGCCATGGCCGGGGGGGTGCTGGTTCCTGGGGGCGCACAGCGGCCACCTCCGTCACCGCCGGGCTCCGGGGGGGGCCCGGCCCACCCGCAACACGACTGCGGGAACCCCACCCCTGGTATCCCCATCCCTGCTGTCCCCTCCCCTGGTGTCCTCATCACTGGTGTCCCCTCCCCTGCTGTCCCGATCGCAGGTTCTTCTCCCCTGGTGTCCCCTCCCCTAGTGTCCCCATTCCCAGTTGTCTCCACCTTCGATGTCCTCCAGCCAAGTTGTTCCCCCTCGGTGACCCCCACATCCTGTGTCCCCCCTTCTCGCCGTTCCCCCGCCCCGTGCCCCCCTCCTTGGTGTCCCTATCCCTCTGCCCCCATCCCCGCTGCCCCCTCCCCATGTTCCTGTCCCCCGCCCCCATTCCAGGTGCCACCACACCCCGCGTCCACTTCCCGGTGCCCCCTTCCCAGTGCCCCCTCCCGGTTGTCCCCATTCCCTCTGTCCCCACTCCTCGCTGTCCCCCTGCCCCGCGTCCCTCTGCCCGGTGTCCCCCCGCCCCGTGCCCCACTCCCCGGTGTCCCTGTCCCCACCGCCCCCTCTCCCCCGTTGCCAGGTGTCTCAATGCCCCACGCCCCTCCCCGGTGCCCACCACTCACTCTCCCCGCTGCCCCCTGCCACGCGCCCCTGCCCCGTGTCCCTGTCCCTACCAACCCCCTCCCCGGTGCCCCCTCCCCGCCCCCGCGCGGTGCCCGCCGTACCTGAGGAGGGGGGCAGGGGGGTGGCGATGAGCCCGTTGGGGTTGACTGTGCCCATGTGCTGCATCTGCACGGCCATGGTGGCCATGGGGCTGAGGTAGGCGGAGTGAGCGGCCACCAGGGCCGCCTGCTGCTGCATCAGCTGCGGGGACACGGCTGGTACCACCGACCAACCCCCGCCCGGGACCACTGACCCACCCCCAGGACCACCGACCCACCCCTCCAGGCACCAGGGACACGCCTGGCACTGCACAGCCACCATGACCCCCCTGGGACCACCGACCTGCCCCCAGAACAGGGAGTCCATCCCCTCCCATGTCCATCCCTTCCCAGTGTCCATCCTTTCCCAATATCCATTCCTTCCCAATGTCCATCCTCTCCTAGTGTCCACCACCCAACACCATCACACCCATGATCGGGGTGTCCATCCCCTCCCACCGCCCATCACCCCGACGACCTCTTGCTGGATTTTCAGGGTGGTCCTGCCCCCGCGGTGTCCCCCATGTCCGTCCATGCCCCCATGTCCCCTGTGCACTCGTGCCCCCCATACCGCCTGTGTGTAGGCGCTGTAGGCGCCAAACTGGAGGGCGATGGGGCTGAACATGCCCAGCTGGGTGGCCACCTGCTGCATCCGCCGCAGCCCCCGCTCCTTCTCTGTGTCTGCAAACTTCACCACCAGGCTGGATGAGGCACCCTGGGCACGCGGGGATACCGTGTGTCAGTGGGGACAGTGGGGCAGGGAGCGGGATGGTGGTTGGGATGTAACTGGGATGGGGTGATGGTTGGGTTGTAACCAGGATGAGGATGATAATGGTGATGATGGTGTGAATGCTGAAGGGGAAGATGATGCTGAGGGTGATGAAGGGGATGATGATGAGGATGAAGAAGGGGCAGTGCCAAGGATGATGAAGGGGATGCTGGGGATGATGAGGAGGAGGAAGAGGATGTTGAGGATGATGAAGGGTGGTGCGGAGGATGCTGAGGGTGCTGGGGATAAAGAAGTGGCAATGCCGAGGATGATGAAGAGGATGAGGATGATGATTAGGATGCTGAGGATGAGGAAGGGGATGATGCTAAGGAAGGGCGGTGCCTGGGCTGGGCACTCACTGGCAGCGTGCGGCTCCCATGCAGGGCAGCAATGGCCGCCTGGGCCTCTGCGTGGCTCTGGAACTTCACGAAGGCACAGCCTGGGGACAACGGGTCAGGGCGGGACAAGGGGGTGCCACCCCCATCAACCCCCCATCAACCCCCCATCAAACCCCATCAAACCCCATCGCCCCCTGACCTCATGGACCCCCTTAAACCCTCTCCAGCACCACCATAGACCCTCTTAACCCCATCCCTGCCCATTCCCCATCCCCCCAAATTCCTCCCTCTCCCCATTTCCCCCCATTCCCATGCCCGCCCTGCAGCCCCCTGCTGTGCCCCCCGGGTTTTGGGGTGCCCCACCCTTGCTGGTGCCGTCGGGCCCCCTGAGGACAGTGCACTCGTCGATTGTGCCGAAGGGCTCAAACATCTTCCGCACGTCCTCGTCCGCCTGTTGTTTGCTGAGCATCCCCACAAACAGCTTCCGGTCCTCTGCGAGACACCAGGGGTGGCACCGGCGACAGCGGGGGGGAACCCCGTGGGGAGGGCAGGGACCCTCAGGAATGAGGGACACCCCCAGGGAAGGGCAGGAATGGGGGACATGGGGCTGAGACCCCACAGACAGTGGGGACAGACCCTCGGGAATCAGGGACACCCCTAGCAGGAGGGCAGGGACCCCATGGGAATAGGGGCACCAGGCTAGCACTGGTGACACCGGGGGGCAACACCACAGGGAGGGCAGGGACCTCCAGAAATGAGGATAAGGGGGCACGGGGGTGAGTTGGGACGCCAGGGAATGGGGACACCTCACTGGGAGGGGACCATCCGTTGGGGAATGGGGACATGTGGGGTGGTACAGGGATGGGGATGGACACAGGGTGGCCCGGCGGGGGTCCCACACTGAGGGGGTGGCCCGGGGGTGATTGGGGGTGGCCCTGGGGGGTCTCACATTATAGGAGTGTCCCCAGGGTGATTTGGGGATGAATATGGGGTGGTCTGGGGGGGGTCCCACATTGGGGGAGTGTCCTGGGGGGTGATTTGTGCATGGCCCGGGGGTTTCACACTGGGGGATGTCCCAGAAGTGATTCATGGGCAGCCCTGGGGGGTCTCTCACCGGTGGGCTGTCCCCACGGGGGATTTGGGCACACCGCCTCAGGGACAGGGCCATGTTGAGGGGCTCGAGGGGAATTGGGGGCTTGGGGAATGGGGTTGAGGGGCTCTGGGGTTTTGGGGGGGGCTCTGAGGGGCTTTGAGGGGTCTCGGAGGGTTTGGGGGGACTCTGGGGCCTTTTTGGGAATCTTGGGGGAGGGGGTTCTGGGGGCAGTACCTCCTCGACTCTCACTGTCGGCCGGCTTCACCTGGATGGGCCGGTTCATCTGGGGAGGGGCACAAAGGGGGGTCGTTGGGGACAACTCCCCCCTAAACCCCCCCTGGAGCGCCCGCGGACTCCAGTCCCTCCCCCACTCCCTCGGAGGGCCCCCCCCCAATACTTCCCCCTCCCCGCAAGATGCTCCGGTCGCCATGGCAACCCCAACCCTGCATCCCGTTGCCTGGCAACGTGAGCCGCTGCCATGGGGGGGCTGGAAGGGGGCTCGAGGGGCCGCGTTAATGAGCAACTCCCCCCCACGTTTATTAGGCGGGGAAGGTACCCACCCCCGCTCCCCCCACCCCGTAACCCCCCGGAGAAACGACTGGGGAGGGGGAGGGCGCAGATGCCCGGTTGCCATGGCAACGGCCGACTACGCTCCATGGCAACCGCCCACTCAGCCCCAATTTACCCATCACCGTTGCCTGGCAACGCCGCTGACGTCATCAGCGCTCGCGATAAACAATGACGGGGATTTGGGGGGCGGGGACGGAGATTTGGGGGAAGGGAGGGGGACCCCACAGGCCTGGAGTGACCTCGCCCCCCCCCTTCACCCCGGGGAAGGGCCGGGGGAGGGCCGGGGAAGGGAGCTCTTCCCGTCCCGGGGGTCTCAGGGTGGCCGTGGGATGACAGGGGGGACTCGAGGGGTTGAGGAGGGGTGGGTCCATCCCCGGCTGACCCCAGGCGGGTCCTTTCCCGCCGAAAGGGAAGGTGGACCCCCGCACCCCCTCGCCACAGATGGTGTGGAAATGTTCCCCGCGGGGGCCGCTAATCTCCCTAATCCCCCCGCGCTCGGATCAGCCCCGGCCGCCTTGGGGGAGGGGAGGCATGAACGGGGTGGGCGAGGCACGCGACACCCCAGACCCCTCCGGGACCCCCGGGGATCACCCTCCACCCCACAGTCCCCTCCAGCGGCTCGGGGGGGTCCTGGATTCCCTCCTCTCAATTCCCGCGGTGCGGGGGCAGCTGTGGGGGCGGTGCCGCTCCTTAATCCCCCTCCCCCACCTCACACCCCCTTCACAAATCCCCTGGGATTTACGGCCTCAAATCCCCGGCTTATCCCGGCGAAGCCAAATATCCCCGGGCCTGGCGGGACACACACAGAGCCCCCTACAGCCACGACCACCCCCGACCTTCCCACCCTGCCCCGGGGACCCCAAACTGCCCCCCTCGAAATTCCTGTGCCCCTAACTTCCCTCCGCCCCGAGGCCTCATCAGTCAGACGCCCCCACCCAAAAAAACAAGGACTAGGAGGGTTAAATTGGGGGGGGAACCCCCCCAGCTGCGATGGGGGGGTGGGAGCCTTGCCAACCACCACCCCCCGCCCAGGGCTTTGTTGGCTCAGCTGCCTCGTTAGTGCCAGGCCCTCATTAGCGATACTAATTAACCCCCCCAAATGTTCGGGGGGGTTCCTCCCCCCCCCCAAAAAAAAAAAAAACACCACACAAATAAAGGGGGGTCCTGGATGAACGGGGAGTGCCAGTGTGGGCTGTGAAGGGTTGGGGGAGGTTCTGGGTGACGGGGTGGGGTTGTTCCAGGTCCAACGGGGGGTTGTCACGCGTAGGGGGGTCCCCGGTGGGGTCCTGGTGGCCCCCCCCCACTCACCCCCGGGAGGGTTTTCTGCTCGTGGAGGGCACTCTGAGCCTTCAGGGCTGACTCGCGGGCGCAGTAGGTCAGGAAGGCGCATCCTGGGGGAGGGCACAGAGGGCTTAGAGGGTGCCAGGGCGACCCCCGGGGTGGGGGAGATTGGGGGGTGTGCGGGGAACCCTGAGATCCCTGCATCCACAGCCTGTGCCCCCAAAGGGCACCCAGTGCCCCCATAGGACACCTACAGCTCCCCATAGCCCCTAGACTCCCTGTACAGTCCCCAGACACCCTACCCCCCCGTAGCCCCCAGACTCCTCCTATAACCTCCAGACCCTCCTATGGCCCTGGGACCCCCTCAATAGCACCCAGACTCCCCGTATAGCCCCGAGACCACCCCCAAGCATCCTATGCCCCCATCCATCACCCAGAGCTACCCCAGTCCACCAGACTCCCATAGCCCCGACTCCCCCACAGTCCCCAGACCCATCTTATAGCCCCCAGACCTATAGACCCCAGACCCCCCCTTTAGCCCCCAAGTCCCCCACAGCCCCCAGTCCCTCATTTTGAGGCAGTTACACCCCCCCATCCCTTTGGCCAGGCCCCCCAGGGGACAGGGACAGGGAGGGGTACCCAAGGTCCCTGAGGGGGAAGTCGGTACCCTCTTCCAGCCTGGGGGGTCCTGGGCACCCATAGAGGCCCCGAGACTGCCCCAATTCCACTGCCCACTCCCCTCCCCAGCTCTGGGCCTGTCCTGTGGGTCTGGGGGGCTCCAGGGACCACCCCCCCCCGGTAGTGGGGATGGGGGGTCCCTGCCTTGGATGGATCCCCAGTCCTGAGAAACATGGCCCTGCCCCCCCCCCACTTCAGCCCAGGCTGTGACACCCCCGGGACATGAGACCCCCCCACTGCACCCCCCCAACACCCCCACACCCCCTATGCTGGCACCAACATCCCCCACCACCCCAACAAAACACCCCGACACTCTCTGGCACCCCTAGAGCCGGGTGTCACCCGCACAGCATCCACTTGACACCCTCACACAACAGCCTGACACAACACCCTGACAAAACACCCCAACACCCCGACTCGGGGCACCTGGGTAGGGCTGAGGAGTGTGAGCCTGTTCCTGGTGCCCATGGGAGTACATGGGGCTGTTCTTGGCACCCAGGGCTTTACCTGGGGCTGTTCCCAGTGCCCAGAGCTGTACCTGAGCACTGTGGCTGTGGGTTGAGCTGTGGGTGTTGCTCAAGGCCTTTGGCTCTTACATGGGGCTCTTCCCGGTGCCAGGGCTGTACATGGAGCTGTTCTTGGTGACAGAGGCTGTTGGTGGGGCTGTAACTGGTATGGGGGCTGTTCCCAGTGCCTGGGGCTGTACAGGGCCTGTTCCCTGTGCCACGGGCTGTTCCTGGTGCCCAGGGCTGTATGAGGCCTGTTCCCAGTACCAGGGGCTGTTCATAGAGCTGTACATGGGGCACTTTGTGGGGCTGTTCTTGGTGACAAAGGCTGCTTGTGGGGCTGTACCTGGTATGGGGCCTGTTCCCAGTCCCAGGTACTGTTCCCAGTGCCAGAGGCTGTACATGGGCCTGTTCCCAGTACTGGGTGTCGTTCATGGGGCTGTTCCCAGTGCCGGGGGCTATTCCTGGTACCAAGGGCTGTACCTGAGGCTGTTCCTGATACCAGGGGCTGTACAGAGCCTGTTCCCAATGTTGGGGGTAATATCTGGGGCTGTACCTGGGGCTGTACATGGCCTGTTCCCAATAGCAGGGACTGTATGTGGGGCTGTACATGGGGCTGCTCCCAGTATGGGGGTTGTTCCCAGTACCAGGGGCTGTTCCTGGCATTGGGAGCTGTATGTGGGGCTGTTCCCATCCCCCAGGGCTGTACATGGGGTTGCTCAAGGGGCTGTTCCCAGTACTGAGGACTGTTTCCAGTGCCAGGGCTGTTCCTGGTACTGGGGCTGGATCACAAGGCTAGTTCTGGTACCAGGGGCTGTTCCCAGTGCCGAGGGCTGTTCCCAGTACCAGGGGTTGTATCGTGGGGCTGTTCACAGTGTAAGGGGCTGTACCACAGGGCCATTCCCGGTGCTGGGAGCTGTTCCCGGCACCGGGAGCTGTTCCTGGTACTGGAGGCCGTGTCATGGGGTTGCTCCCGTACTGGGGGCTGTGTAACGGGGCTATTCCCGGTGTTGAGGGCTGTTCCTGGGGCAGGGAGCTGCTCTCGGTACCAGGGGCCGTTCCTGGTACCGGGGTCGGTATCACGGGGCTGCTCCCACCACTGGAGGCCATTCCAGGTGCTGGGAGCTGTTCCCAGTACCTTGGACTGTATCGGGGGCTATTCCCGGTACCAGGGGCTGTTCCCGGTACCAGAGGCCATATCCTGGGACTATTCTGGGTACTGGGGGGTCGTATCCCAGGCCTATTCCGGGTACCGGGGGCCATATCCCGGAGCTATTCCCGGTCCTGGGGACTGTTCCCGGTCCCGGGGGCTGTTCCTGGTCCCAGGTACCGTACCGCGAGGCTGTTACCGGTCCCGGGGCCGTTACCACGGGGCCCTCCCCGCACCCCTCCCCACTGCCGGGTGGCCGCCGCCGCCGCTCCCCCATTCCCGCCGCCCCTTCCCGGAGAGGCGGGGGGGGCCGCGGCCCTTAGTCTGGTGGCCGCGACGGTTCGGTACCTTTGTGCATGCCGGTGTACTTGTCCTTGATGACGGTGAGCTCGTAGATTTTCCCGAACTGCTCGAAAATGGGCTTCAGGTCCTTCTCCTCCAGGTGCCGCGGGATCTGCCCCACGAAGAGTTTGATGGCGTCGGGCTCCTTCATGGGGCCGCCGGGGGGTCCCCGGGCCCCGGGGCCGCTCCCGCTCCCCGCTATCCCCGCTCCCCGGGCTCGGCTCCCGCTGCTGCCGGCGGTGCCCGGTGCCCCGGCGCACACAAAGGACGAGGCGGCCCCGGGGCTCGGCTCGGCTCCGGGGACGGGGCGCGGCGGGGCGGGGGCAGCTCTGCCCGGGGGGCGGCGCTCCTCGTACGTCCCGGCCGTTTCCCGGGTGCTGCTCCCCAAAAATCCCTCTGGATGTGGCAGCGCCCGCTCCGCCGGTACCGCCCCGGTGGCCTCGGGGAGGGTCCCGGTACCGGGCGGGGAAGCCTTGGGGGAGGAGGGGGGTTGTCAACGCCCGTTTCGGTCCATGGTGGTCGCAGCGGCCGCGGTCGCCGAGGGAGCCCCCGGTGGTGGCGGAGACCCCCCCAAACCGCCCCCGCCCGCTGGGTACCGGCAGCAGGTACCGGGTACCGGCACCGGGGTGGGCACCGGAGACGGTTTTCTTGCCCAGTTGGGGCCGCCCCGTCACGCCCCGCCCGGTGCTGATGTCAGAGCGGCACCGGCGACCGGCACCGGGGACAGCACCGGCACCGAGCACTGAGGAGCGGCCACCAGGACCGGGGATAACACCGGGGACGGGGCACTGGGTACCGGACACCGGGACCGGCGACCAGCACCGACAACCGGGCACCGGGACCGGATAACGGGCACCGGGACCGTCTATGGGGCACCGGGACGGGATAACGATCACCGGGACGGGATAATGGGCAGCGGGGAGCGGCTGCCGGGCACCGAGAGCGGGCACCGGCGACAACGTGGGGACCGGCACCGGATACCGGGAGCGGGAACCGAGACCGACAACCGAGCGGGGAGCGGATACCGGGAGCGGGGAGCGACCCTCCCTGGGCCCGGAGGCTCCGCCGGGGCGGGGCTGGGGGGGTCGTTTTACACGGGAGGAGTTTCACAGTAGGGGGGTTGTTTCACAGAAAGGGGGTTGTTTCGGAGGGGGTTGTTGTTTCGGGGAGGGCGCGTGTGCGCGTTCCCGGGGAGCTGAGGGCAGGTCGGTGATGTGCGCACGCGCGGGCACGGGGTGGGGGTACTGGGGGAGGAGGGGGTCCGTGTTTCGCCCACGGGTGTCCTCCCCCGCCCCCTCCTGCCGAGTGTCACTGTCACCTCCCGGCGCTGAATGCAACGTGTGTCCCCCTCCGCGTCCCATCCCACCTTGCCCCCTGTCACCTCCCCTCCCGTGTTACCACCCCCACGTCGCGGTGTCCCCACCCATCTCCTGTGTCACCCCCCCCTTCCCTGTCCCGATGTCCCTCCCCACACACACCCCCATGTCACTCACCCTGTGCCCTGGTGTCCCCACCCGTGTCCTCCTGTGTAACCACCCCCTCCCCCTGCCTCCGAGTCCCGGTGTTTCCACCCGTGTCACACCCTCCCTTCTCTGTTCAGGTATCTCCTGCCCTGCGTCACCCCCTCCCCCGTCCCGGTGTCCCCACTCGTGTCCTCCCCACCCCCTCCGGCACATCCTCCCCTCCCTGTCCTGGTGTCCCCCCTTCGGTTGCCATGGTAACGACCCGCTGCAGTCGCAGCCAAGATGGTGCCGCCTATACGCCCCCTCCCAAACATGGCTGGGGGAGGCAGGTCCGACCCCCCCGTGGGGTCACACCTGGGGCGACACTGGACAGGTGAGAGTGGGGACCCCAGCAAACGTGACATGGGTCAGGTGAGCCGGTGGCTGTGGGGGCGGGGCTTGCTCGGTGGGTGATGCCCCCTCCCCCTCAACAAAAATTCAATAAAAACACCTTAATTCACAATTCATTAAAAACCCATCATTTTTCCACCAGAGGAAAACACCCAAAAACAGCGTTTTCCCCTCAAAATCCTGTGAGCCCCCCAAACCTCGGAGACCCTCTCCCAAAAAAAAGGCTGAGACCTCCCTTTTCCAGGGAAAGGCTGCTCCAGAATCCAGGAGTTCCCCACAGGTGATAGAGGGGATTCCAGGGGGGTGAACCTCCCCCAAATCCATTCCAGGACCCTCCTGGGGTGCTGGGGGGTTCTGGGGCTCTCACAGGAACTCCAGAGCCCCCGAAACCCCTGGGAATCCCCCAAAACTCCCGCTCTTCCAGGGAGCTGCTGCTCCAGAATCCAGGAGTTCCCCACAGGTCATGGGGGGGATTCCAGGGGGTTGAACCCCACCAAATCCATTCTGGGACGATCCCCCCTGGTTTTTCAGGGAGTCTTGACAGGGTTTGGGGTCTCCCAGGAACTCCAGAGCTCCCCAAAACTCCCTCTTGTCCCAGGAGCTTCTGCTTCACTGACTGGACACCCGTCCAGAGTTCCCTCAAGATGGGGAGGGGCCCAGGGGAGTGAAGACCCAGATCCATCCTCGGACCCCCGTGGTCAGGGGGATCTCACAGGAGCTGCTCCCTGCGGGCCTGCAGCTCCTTCTGCTGCTGCTGCACCCAGTGCCGGTAGCGCTTGGTTTTGGGGTGCAGGAACTGCACCACAGCCATGGGGACACGCACTGTGTCCAGCCCGTTCACCTGGGGACACCCCAAAAACCCCAGGGTCACCCCAAACCCATTGAGACACCCCAAACACCCCTCACCATCTCCAGCCCGTTCACCTGGGGGCTTCCCAAAAATTCTGGGGTCACCCCAAACCCATTGAGACACCCTAAACACCCCCCGCCGTGTCCAGCCCTCTCACCTATGGGGAAATGGGGGCACCCCAAAACCCCCTGGGTCACTCCAACACTACAAACCCACTGGGACACCCCAACACCCCCCACTGTTCACCTGTGGGGGCACCAGAGTCACCCCAAAATCCCGGGAGAACTGGGGGCGTTAGGGGGCAGTGGGGGTTCAGGGGGTGCCCACCAGAGCCCCCCTCACCGTGACGTCACACCAATAGTCCCCCCAGCGTGTGATGGGCTCCTCCGGCAGCTTCAGTGCGTGGGGGGGCACAAACACCCCCAGCTGGAATGGAGAATGCCGAGAATCACCCCAGGGAATGCCAGGAATGACCCCAAACAATCCCAGGAATGACTCCAAAAAATCAGAGAATTCCAGGGATTACCCCAAGAATCAGGGCAGCAGGACAAGGGCAGATCCCCAGGCCCATCTTTATCCCCTCCCTTAATGCCTCCCAAGAATTCCAGAGCTGCTCCTGAACCCCCAGTGCAGCTGGGAAGCCCAAATCCCGGGATTTGGGCGCTGGGAAGGGCAGGAAGGGCTCCTCACGTTCTTGAGGAAGTGCCGAGCCACAATCTCGGGGCTGAGCTCCCACTTGACGTTGTTTTTCATCCCAACCTCCAGGCGGCAGCTCCGCAGGAATTTGAGGGTCTGGAAAAGCAGAAGAGCCACAGCATTCCCAGTGTTCCCACTGGGAAGGTCCGAGGGGGGTTCAGGAAGAGTTTGGGATCGCAGGCAGAGGAAGGGAATTCCCCAGAGGTTCCAGGATTCAGGCATTTCTCTGCTCACCTTCTCCCCACTCTGGGTTTGGAGAACTTCCAGCTTCCCTTCCTGCAATAGAAAATGGGGATTGGTAAGGGAAAATGGGAAAAATGGGGATTGAGGAGGGTTAAGTGGGAAAAAATAGGGACTGAGAAGGAAAAATAGGGAAAAAGTGAGGGTTTAGAAGGATAAATGTGAAAGAAAAAAGGAACTGAGGAGCATAAATAGGGAAAACAGAATTTGAGGAAGAAAAAAACAGGGATTCAGGAGGGAAAATGGGAAAAAAGCAAGGATTGAGGAACACAAGTGGGAAAAAACTGGGATTGAGGAGGATAAGCAGGAAGGAATGGTGGCTTGACAGGCCTGCAGGGTTCTCCTACCATCCCAAACCCTCTAGGTTTATTCCAGCAGGGAATATTTTACAGGCAAGGCTCCTGCTGAGATTCCATTCCTGAGGCATCGGGCAGATCTCATCCCAAAAATCCCCAAGAATATGGGTGGAGGCACACAGGGCTGATCCCAGAGAGCTTTGGAAGCACAGTTCCTGCTCTTTGCCCCAGTTTTCCTGTTTTTCCAAGGGTCTGGAGAAGCTGGAAAAGCCCCTTTGGTGCAACTCACCTTCTTCTCCTCCTGGAACATGCGGAGGTTTTCTGGGGATGGATAAACAGCCAATCCCTGGGGAAGCAGCTTGTTCCTCCCCAGGCTCTTCTTCACACTCACCACATCCCCACGAGTGCCCAGGTCTGCCAGGAAAATGTGGAAATACAAGTTGAGAATGCTGGAAGAATTCCCAGCCATGCAGGTCTGAGGTGGCGTCCAAAAAACGGACATAAAATTCCACGGAATTGTTGGGTTTGGGGCGTCTGAGATCTGAAATCAGCTGAGGGATGGATCCCTGTGCCACTGGATAACCGGGAATGGGACATAACAGGGAGCGAATTCTTTCTCTTCCTCCCATGGATAAGAATAAACCCAGGCCCAAATACCCAAATATCCCAGGAGGGGGACTCCCCGGCAGAGCATTCCAGGAAAAGGGCTCACCCTCCACGGCCTGGGTGAGAAGGAGCTCCATGGAGCCCCTGGGCAGGTGTTTGGAGTCCTGGAGCAGGCGGTAGATGCGGTGCCGTCGGGGGTGCAGCCGGGGCCGCTTCCCCTCCTTGCTCAGGGGCACCTGCCACCAGCGTTCCACCACCACCGTGCCCTGCGGAGCATGGGGAGTTCCCGACATTCCAGCCCTCGGGAACGGGGGGCTGGGCAGGGGAAGGAGCTGAGGGGACACGGTGGGGACAGCCCGGGTACCCCCCCAGTGCCCACAGAGCTCAGGACACCTCCACTGCACCTCCCAGAGCCCAGAGCCTATAGCCCCCCATTAGCCCCCGTCAGACCACAGAACCCTCCCACAACATCCCTCTAGACCCCATAACCCCCTCACTACACCCCCCAGATCCTATAGCCCCCCCATCAGCCCCTCTCAAACGCCCAAATCCCCTCCAGACACCAGAACGCCCCGCTCTACATCCCCTCAGACCTCATAACCCCTCCACTGCACCCTCCAGAGACTGTACCCCCCACACACTACACCCTCCACACATCATAACCCCCATTATACACCACCCCCTCCCCCCAAGCCCTCATCAGCCCGTGGCTCAGGCTCACGGTCCGCCCCGCCACCCCCGGTACCGCTCCCGGTATCACCGCTGGTACCGCTCCGCTGGTACCGCTCCGCTGCTCCCCCGGCTCCCCCCGTTACCTCCCCCAGCCCTCACCAGCCCGTGGCTCAGGCTCAAAGCCCGGCTCAGGGCCCGTCCCGCCGTCCCCACCGCCCCCGATGATAACATGGCGGCCCCCTCTCCCTCACGGCGTGACAAGACCCCACGGGCCCGCACTGCGCCTGCGCACAGCTCCTTCCCCCCGCCGCCGGGGCTGCCTCGCCGCGCGCCTGCTTGGAACGCGCGACCCGGGGGTCGGGACACCCCCGCCATCCCCCGGAGGAGGCGGAGCGCTGAGAAACCTTCCGTTTATTAACCCAGGACAACGAAGAGCTCGCCCCCTCACAGAAGAGAGGGAGAATCCTAGGAAGCACGTGCTCCCGGGGAGTGGGGACGCGGCCGGCACCGGGGCGGGGGAGGTGTCCCCACGGCAGGCACGAGTGGAGACCCCCGGAGTCCCGGGGGCCGGCGGGGGGACCGTCCGGGGGCGCAGTGGCACTGGGTGGCAATGACGGTGGCACTGGGGGCAGCTCCAGGTGACAATGACAGAGTCACTGGGAGCAGCCCCAGGTGACGATGGTGTCACCAGGAGCATCTCCTGTTGACAATTACGGTGTCCCAATTACAGGGAGATGCTCCAGGTGACAATGACAGTGGCACTGGGTGCAGCTCCAGGTGACAATGATAGTGTCACCAGGACATCTCCAGGTAACAGTGATGGTGTCACCAGGAGCAGCTCCAGGCAACAGTGACAGGGTCACTGGGAACAGCTCCAGGGAACAGCGACAGTGTCACCAGGAGCAGCTCCAGGTGACAGTGACGGTGTCACCAGGAGCAGCTCCAGGCAAGTGACAGGGTCACTGGGAACAGCTCCAGGGAACAGCGACAGTGTCACCAGGAGCAGCTCCAGGTGACAGTGACGGTGTCACCACGAGCAGCTCCCAGTCCCTGGGAACACCTTCAGGTGACAGTGACGGTGTCCCTGGAAACAGGGCTGGTGGCATCTGCAAGACCGGGGACAGGGAAGTCAGCAGGGTGTCCCAGGAATGCCCCAGGACTGCCTCGGGAATGTCCCTTCCCAGACTCACCGGGCAGGCTGCAGCAGGACGAGGTGTCGGGGGCATCCCCAGGGCTCCGGGGGGAGTCGGACACAAGGCTCGGGATAGAGGTGACACTGTCCTGTATGGCAAAGGAGGGGTGAGCAGCCAGGGACACTGAGGACAGCTCAGGGACATCGGGACTGTCCCACATCCTGGGAACACCAGGGACATCCTGGGGAAACTGGGGACCGTCCCACATCCTGGGGGCATCGGGACTGTCCCACATGCCAGGGGACACCAAGACAATCCCACATCTCAGGGGACACTGGAACCATGCCAGGGGACACCAGGATCACCCCTGGGGACACTGGGACTGTCTCATATCCCAGGGGACAGTGGGACCATCCCACATCCCAGGGACAGTGGGAAGAGCCAGGAGAGCCATCCTGGGGACAATGGGACTGTCCCACATGCCGGGAATGCTGGTGGGACAGCGGGAAGGGGAACGGCAGGAGCAGCTCACCGAGGTCTCCTCCTGCGCAGGGGGACTGTGGCCACCTAGCCCATCCTCATCCTCAGAGGGCCCTGGGACGGCATATCCCAAACGGACCAGCTCCGCCCCCACATCCAGGCGCTGGGGGAACACCGGGAATGGTGGGAATGGTAGAAATATTGGGAATACCAGGAATAGTGGGAACACTGTGAATGGTGGGAGTACTAGGAATGGTGGGCACACCAGGGAAGAATGGTAGGAATAGAGGGAATGGCAAGAATACCAAGAAAAATGGGGACACGGGGAATACTGGAAATAATGGGAATACCAGGAATGGTGGAGGAATGATAGGAAGGAGAAATGATAGCAATAGTGAGAACAACTGGAATACCAGGAATGGTGAGATTGGTGGCAATGGCAGGAACACTGGGAATGTTGGGAATGGTGGGAACACCAGGAATGGTGGGAACACCAGGAATGGCAGTGGGAGCACCAGGAACGGTGAGAACAGCAGGAATGGTGGGAATGGCGATGGGAACAGCGGGAATGGCAGGAATGGTGGTGAGAACAGCAGGAATGGTCCGCTGTCCCACCAGGAACATCAGTGGGAACACCAGGAACAGCGGTGGGAACGCCAAGAACAGTGGTCAGAACAGTGGGCTGGGGCCCCACCTGTGTGCCGCGGTGTGCGAAGAGGCGCAGGCTGGGCCGAGGGCAGAGCCCAGCAGGGCAGTAGCTGCAGAGCTGGGCCACCAGCGGGGCCCACTGGGCACAGCCCGTGAGCTGCTCGAACGCGTCCAAAGCTGCCTCCTCCCAGTCGTTCCCTGTGGGAAAACGGTGGGATCAGGGAGGGATTGGGGCCAAGGTGGCCCCGGGGGGGGACAGGGCTGGGTCCCACCCCCCACTCACCTGAGGGGATGATCCCGGCCAGGCTGCATTCGATGGCCTGGAAAGGCAGGCTCAGGAAATCCCCCCTGTGGGCACAGGAGACACGTGAGGGACAGGGGAGGGACAGGAGGGGCTGGAGGTGACCAAGGGGTTCCCCAAGGTCCCTCCTGGAAAGGATGGGGACAAGGGGATCCCCAAAATGGGCACAGCCAGGGGACCCCATGGGGAGGGTGGTGGGACTCCCCAAGAGCCCCAAGGGAAGGTCTGGCGGGACAGGAGGGAGTGGGAGGGGACAGGTAAGGGCACAGCCAGGACCCCATGGGGAGGGTGGTGGTACCCCAAAACCCTGTGAGGGAATTCCTGCATGGCCACCCCGTTTTCCCAGGATTCTCCCGGGGTTCTCCCAGGTTCTCCCCCACCTGAGGGTCCGCAGGGCCTCCTGGGGGGCCTCCCCGTTGTCCCCGAAGTCTACGTAGTAGAGGTCCCAGTGGCCATTGTCCAGCATGCCCAGCACGCGGGCACGGTACCAGTCACCATCCCCCAGGTATGGCGCGGCCACGATGTCACCGGGGCGCACCGATGTGGGGGGGGTCTGGGGACAGGGAGGGGACAGTGAGGGGACAGGGAGTGGCCACAATGTCCCCCAGGGTGGACCGATGGGGGGGGGGCTCTGGAGACACCAGGACACAGGGGGGACACAGGACGACACAGGGGGTGTGCCATTGCTGTGACAAGTGAGGGGACACAGGGGGGGATGCAGGAGGACACAGCATGGGTGACATTGCTGTGAAAAGTGGGAGACACAGAAGGGACACGGCAGGGGACACAGGAGGATGCGGGAGGGTGGCATGGCTATCACAAGTGGGGGGGTCCCAGGGGTCTCACGGGGGGGCTGCTGTGGTAGAAATGGCGCATCTCGGCCGTGAGCTTGTCCAGCTGGAGGCTGCGGCTGCCCAGGATCTGGATCCAGAAGTGCCCGGGATTCTCCATGGCCGACACATACACCTCCAGGTGCTCATCCGCAGGGAAGCTGAAATCAGGGCTGGGAACTGTGGGACAGGGACCGGAACAGCCTGGGATGGGCAGCAGGGCATGGAATAGCCCTGGGGCCTCAGTCCCGGCCCTGGCTGCTCATTTCCAGTGCCTGGCTCCTCATTCCTGGCCTCTGGCTCCTCATTCCCAGCCCCTGGTGCCTCCAGATCCTCGTTCCCAGCCTCTGGCTGCTCATTCCCAGCCCTGGCTCCTAATTCCCAGCCCCTGGCTCCTCATTCCTAGCTTCTGGCTTCTTGTTTCTAGCCTCTGGCTCCTCCTGCTCCTCATTCCCAACCTCTAGCTCTCTCTGCTCCTCATTCCCACCCTCTGGCTCCTTCAGCTTCTCACCCCCAACTTCAGGCTCCTCCAGCTTTTCATTCCCATCCTCTGGCTCCTCTAGATCCCCATTCCCAAGCTTAGGCCCCTCATTCCCATCCTCTGGCTCCTCATTCCCTCCTCTCCCTCCTCAGAGTTTTCCAATCACATCCCAAGGGCCACACAAACTCTCACCCTCAAACTTTGGCACTGACAGCTCCTCGTTCCCGTTCTCTGTCTCCTCATTCCCATTTTCCAGCTCCTTCAGCTCTTTCCCAACCTCTGTCTCCTCGTTCCCATCCTTGGACTCCGTCTCTATCGTCTCCTCGCTCCAATCCTGCAACTGCTGTGCTGGGATCACTCTTTCCCCCCACTCCACATCCCACTGCTCCGCTACCCTAGTGGGAAGTGGCTCCGTGTCCCGGCGGCTGCCCAGGGGCTGCTTCCGAGGGCACCTGGCGGCAGCCGCCTGCGCCAGGTCCCTGCGGAACGCCGCGTCCTCCGACAGCTTCTCCAGGATCAGCCTCTGGCAGCAGGGATACATGAAATGTCGGATCCAGCGGGATCCAGGTACCCCCATCCCGCCCTTCCTGCTCACCTTGGCAGCCTCCACCTCCTTGCGTGTTCCTGAGAGCTGGATGACCCGGATTGGGGCCAGGCTGGCCTCGGGATCGCGCCCGCAATCCACCCTGGCCCCCGAGAGCCGGCAGATCCCGCGCACTGTCTCCCCTCCCCGGCCTGCGGGCACGGAATCCCGGGAAAATGAGGAAGAGGGGTGGATTTCCCGCTGGGGCACCACCGGGATGGAGAAAGGGGGATTTGGGATAGTTCTCACTGAGCCTTGGGGGGTTTGGGAGGGTCCTGGGATGGGGAGGTGGGAAGGGATCCTCAGGGATAAGGGGAGTGGGAAGGAGCCCAGAACATCGTGAGGGTCCTGGGATGAGGGGGTGGAAAAGAGGTGGAAGGGCCCTCCAGAATTAGGGGGAAAGAGATGGGACACTTGGGATTAGGGGAAAGGGAAGGAACATGCTTCCTGGGATTTGGGGGTGGTCCTAGGGGGCTGGAAGGTCCCTGTGGGATCGGGGTGGGGTCTGAATGTCCCTGTGTCATCAGGGTGGTCCTGGGGGACTGGGGGGAGGTCCCATGTAATCAAGGGGGGTCCCAAGGGGTATGAAGGTGCCCAAAGGATCGGTGGGGATCCCATGTGATCAGGGTGGTCCCGCGGGGCACGGAGGTACCGATGATCCTGCCGACAGCCCTGCAGGGCACGTGCAGCTGCTCAGCCACGGGGGTGCTGTCAGCCACGAGGCGCAGGACGGCGGCCTTGGCACGGCACACCTGGGCTGGGGACCCCCAGATCTGCACCACTGGCTCCCCCTCCTCCTCCTCCTCCTCCTGTACCACAATGTGGGCGCCCGTCTCCCGCCTCAGCTGCAGGAAAAAGGGGTGTCCCCAGCGCTCCCAGTGCTCCCAGTGTCCCCCACCCCAGCCCCAGGGTGGCACCCACCTGGTTGATGGTGGTCCCGCGGCGCCCAATGAGGGACTTCACGGCTCTCCGGGGGACCCTCACCTCGACCTCCAGCCCCTCGTCCCCCACGTAGGTCATGGGAGACTCTGGGGGGGACACACGGCATGGGGACAGATCCCCAAAGAGTCCCCGGGGGGCACAGGGGGACAGGGATCTCCCCCTCCCCACAGAGCAGCACAGGGGTCCTCAAAGGGTCCCCAGTAAGTCCCCAAAGGGTATCACAGAAGGGTCAGAGTGCCACACCCACCTCTGGTGTCCCGATAGCGTCGGTACAGAATGTAACACACGGTGGCAGCAGCAGGGACCCCCAGAAGAACTGCAGCCTTCTGCACCCCACTGAGGGTCTGCCAGGACCCCCCATCTGCCATCCTGGGCTAAAAGGGGGGGTTACTGGGGGAGCTAGGGGAACTAGAGGGGCCTGGGGGGTGCCAGGACCCCTGGTCTGCCATCAAGGGCTGAAAAAGTGGGGGCTGGAGTTACTGGGGGGGTATTGGGGGGTTACTGGGGGTACAGGGGAGTTACTGGGGGTTACTAGGGGGTTGCAGTGGGGGCTCCAGGGGGGTAACGGGGGCTACTAGGGGGTAATGGGGGGTACTGGACGTTACAGGGGGTTACCGTGGGTGGTAACAGTGGTTACAGAGGGTTACAGGGGGGTACCGGAGAGTTACCGGGGATTACTGGGAGTTACTGGGGCGTTACCGGAGGGTATGGGGGGATTACCGGGCGGGGTTATCGGGAACCGGGCTAAGCCACAGCGGCGACCCTCCACCCTCATGGGGAGGGCCGCCCAGGCCTCAACCCCGGTCCCGGTGCGCCGGGGGCGGAGCCGCCGCCGCCGCCCGCGCTCCCGCCACCGCCCCCCCGCGTGGTGTCGCGGTACCTGCGGGTGCCGGTGCGAGCCCCCAGCCCCCGTTCGATCCCGATTTGCACCCGGTTGGGTCCCGCTTCGGCCCCGGCGCCGCAGCCGCCTCCCGCGCCCCGCCGTTGGCCCAGCCCCCTCCTTCCCTGCAGCCAATCACAGGGTGTCTCCCCCCCAACTCCGCCAATCACCACGAGGCTCTCCAGCCCTACCCAGCCAATCACCGCCTGTAGCAGTGCTGGCCAATCGCCGCGCGGCATCCCACAAGAGGGGGCGGGACCTAACGGGAAATAAAGTGGCCAATCCGCGGCGTGATGGAGAGAGGAGCCAATCAGAGAGCAGAGCGGCGGCGAGAGCCCGCCCGCCGTGTGTGAGTGACGTGCGCTGCAGTCAATGAGCGACGCAGACGGCGGCCGCACGTGGCGCCCCGCGGTGTCCCCACGTGTCCCTTAGGACGGAGCCGCGATCACGACGCTGACCCCAAAGCCGGCTTTATTTCCCTTAAAATGCAGCCGAGGACACCCCGGCATCCACCCCCACCGCACCCCGGGGCGTGGGACAGCGCGGGGGGGCCCCCCAGGAACATCTATGGGTGACGGCACAGCCACGCATGACCCTCCCACCCCGAGTTCTGGGGGGTCCCAGGGGAGGGGTCAGAGATAGGGGAGGGGGCACCTGCAGGTGACAGGGCACTCATGGGTGATGAAGCCTCAACAGGTGATGGGGCGCTCACAGGTGATGGAGCACCCAGGGGTGACAGGGCACCCACAGGAGCCTCGGCAGGTGATGGGGAACCCACAGGTGATGGAGCGCCCATGGATGATGGAGCCTCACCAGGTGCTGGGGCACTCACAGGTGACAGAATCTCAACAGGTCCCTCCATGGAGCACCTCCAGGTAATCCTGGGTGCTCACGGGTACAGGGGTGGTCCCAGTGGTCCTGGACCCCCGGGGACAGGTCTGTGGGTGTAGGGGTGGTCCTGGACCCTCAGGGTCAGGTCAGTGGTGCAGGGATAGTCCTGGACTCCTGGGGTTGGGTTCATGGGTGTAGGGTTGGTCCTGGTGGTCCCAGACCCCCAGGGTCAGGTCAGTGGTGCAGGGGTAGTCCTGGTGGTTCCAGATTCCCGGGTCAAGCTCAGCGGGTGCAGTGGTGGTCCCAGTGGTCCCAGACCCCCGGGTGGGGCTCAGTGGGTGCCCGCGGGGGCTTCAGTGGCATCGGAGGTGAAGAGTTCTCTGTAGAGGGGGGGGAAGGCGGCCGAGACCCCCCCGGGGTGGAGGCGGCAAAAGGCCTGGAGCTGCTCCACGTGCTGCGAGCACAGAGCCCGCAACCGGCCCGGGGGAGGGAGCTGGGGGGGCACAGCCGTCATACGCCTGGCACACACCTGGCACACGGCTGGCATGCAGGTGACATGCCTGGCATGCGCCTGGCACACACCTCCACGTTCCCCCTACACCCTCCCTTGTTCCCCCAGCACCTCCCCGGCCCCCCCGTGCCCCTCCCTGACTCCCCCACCCCCAGCGGCTCCCCAACTCTTTCCATGACCCCTCTACTCTCTTACCCCCATATCCCGCTCCCTCTGTGCTCGCCATGCCCCCTTGACTCCCTTACACCACTCCAGCTCCCTGAGCCCTCCCAGGCCCTCCCTGTGCCCCCTTCAACTTCCCTCCTCCTTCCTTTGCCCCCCCCAGACCTCCCCATGCTCCCCTGTGCTCCCCTCCACTCCCGTGCCCTCCCAGATTCCCTCGTGCCCCCCTTGACTTCCCTCTCCCTCCCTGTGCTCCCCCAGCCCCTCCCATACCCCCACCCTGGCCAGGAGCCCCTCGCGGCGGGTCCGGTGCAGCAGGAGCCGAAAGGCCGCATCAAGGTGTCGCTGGAGCCGGGCCACCCGTGGGCGGTCCTGCAGCCACGGCCGGCCTGGGAACAGCGACAGGGACACTGGGGACAGGGCAGGGACAGCAGGGACAGGGCAGGGGGACAGCAACAGCGACGGGGGGGACAGGGCAGGGACAGCGGGGGACACGAGGAAGGGACATGGGAGGGACACTGAGGAAGGGGGTGGGAACACGGGGAGGCAACACAGGGAGAGGACATGTGGAGGCGACATGGGCAGCCCCTCACTGGCATTGACGAGCACGAGGGCGCTGAAAAGGGCCACCTCGCTCTCTGAGAAGTGCAGGGCACAGAGGCTCTGGGCGAAGTCGAAGATGGACCCGATGAGCTCGTGGCACCCTGGGGACAGCCCTTGTCACCTGGTGTCCCCAAGTGTGCCCTCCCGCATCCCCTGCCCACATCCCCAGCCCTACCCAGGGAGCGGAAGAGCTCCACGCCGGCGAACTTGCCCTCGAAGAGCACGGTGCGGTTGTCGGAGTTGAATGCTCGGCACATGCGGACCAGCACCACCTCCATGGCACCTGCCACCCCCCCGTGACAGCGACACGGACAGTGGCACCGGGTGTGCGGGCACCTGCTGTGCCACTCGCAGGGGCGCGGGATTGTCACCATGGGAATGTGGGACTGTCACCTCCCCAGGGAGGCTGGAGTGTCCCCGTGGGACTGTCACCTCCTTGTGGGACTCTTAGGACTGTCACCTCCCCGTGGGACCAGAGAATCCCACCACCTGGGGACAGTGGAGCTTGGGAAAGGGGGAGAGCAGGCACTGTGGGGCAGGGGACAGCAGGGACAGGGTGTCCCTGGGGTTGGGCATAAGGAGATGGAGTAGCCCTGGGGCTGGGGGGAATGTGCCAAGGGGACAGGGTTGGGGATGGGGTGTCTGGGGCTGGGGACAACGTGCTGAGGTGTCCTCGCGTTTGGTGGCCCCGTACCCGCCTTGAGCAGCACGATCTGGTCGTTCTGGCTGAGCTCGAGGAAGCCCTGCAGGCGTTTGGCAAACTCCACCACGTCCTGGATGGCCTCGGTGACACGGCTGGCACAGCGCTGCCACATCTCTGCTGAGGGCTGTGGGACCCGCTGTCATCCCGCGCCCCCTGAGAGACACCCCCGGGCCTCCTGGGACACCCTTTAGCCCCTTGGGGCACCCCCCAGCCCCCAGGGACACCCTTGAACCCCCAGAGACCCTCCCAGGCCCCCTGGGGACAGCCTCGAACCCCCGGGGACACTCCCAGTCACTCGAGGGAGACCTCTGAACCTCCCTGAGCTTTGTGGAACACCCCCATGGACATCCTTGAACCCCCCAGAGACACCCCTGGGCCCTCTGGGGACACCCTTGAACTCCTGGGGACACCCCTGGGCCTCACCTTGCTCTGGTAGGCACAGATCTCCTCCCGGGTGAAGGTGTCCCAGCGCCGCCGCTGCAGCTCCTCAGGCCGGGGCTGGCACGTGTCACGGTGCGACTTGAGAACGCTCTGCGTCAGGTGCTCTGGGGGGGACACTAGGCTTGGGGACAGTGCCAGGGGACACAGGGTTTGGGGACAGCACCGGGGCCAGGGCAGGTGGCCCTCAACAGACAAGGTGCCACCAGCACCCACAGGTGACAGAGCCAGGTGCCACCATCATAGAGCACCTACGGGTGACAGAGCCAGCTGCCACCCCCATGGTGGCCACCCAGGTGCCACTCACAGGCCCCAGGGGTGACAGTGCTGCCCCTACACTCACCGATCTCCACCACGGACGCCGTGGGGGACTCTGGGATGCTGCTGACCCCAGGGTGGGGGAACCACTCAGGGGCCCCCCTGTCCCCGTCCTGTGCCCGCTTTGTCCCCTCCTCCACAGGAGAGGACCCCCGGGGACATCCCGCAGGTACAGTGGGGGACAGTGGGTGACCTGGGGCGGGCAGCGGAGCCCCCTGGGCTGCCCGTTCCCGTTCCCGCTGCTCCAGCTGCTGTTGCGCCTCAGCGTGGAGCCGCTCCCGCTGCTTCTTGGACATGCGGCCGAACTTGACGGCTGCGAGGACACAGGGGACACTGCGGGTGGCACCGGGGAACACTCGTGTCGCACACGGGTGACATACACGGAGGGCGGACAAGGGACTTTCTACCCCGAGCCGCTCCCTCGGGGCTCACCCCGGGCCCCCCCGCCCTGACAGACACCGCAGGGTGGGGACAGGGCGGGGACAGGTGTCCCCAGGGCAGGGGACAAGTGTCCGCAGGGCAGGGAGGGGTGTCCCCAGAGGTGTCGGCAGTGCAAGAAGAGATGTCCCCGCGGCGTCCCCGGCTGTGTCCCGGCTGTTACGCACCGTCGCGGGACATTCCGAGGCGGAGGCACTTCTGGAGGCGGCAGTGCTGGCAGCGGTTGCGGGTGGCGCGGTCAATGGGACAGTTCTGCTGGCGGCTGCACGCATAGCTCGGGCCACTCTTCTGACTGCGCCGGAAGAACCCCTGTGAGGAGGAAAAGGCACCCCATGGCACCCCATGTCATCCTACAGCATCCCCATGGCATCTTCCTGTCATGCCATGCCATTCGATGGCGCCCCCATGTCATTCCATGGCACCCCCTTTCACCCCACGGCATCCCCATGGCACCCCATGTCCCTCATGTCTCCCCACACATCACCCCATGTCCCCCCCACTTCCTCCCGTGTCCCCCATGTCCCCTCCCAGCATCCCACATCCCCCATGTTCCCCCATATCCACCTTGTCACCCCATGTCCCCCCACAATGTTCCCCATGTCCCCCCAGCCCCACCACATCACCCTGATGGCCCCCCTTGTCATCTCATGTCCCCCATGACCCCCCAAATTCCCCCACGTCCCCCTATCACCTGTGCCCACCTTGCAGCCCTCACAGGTGATGACCCCGTAGTGGATCCCTGAGGATTTGTCCCCACAGATCTTGCAGGGGATCACCTCGATGTGGGCTGGGGGACACGGGGACACTGTCAGGGGTGCCCTGACATAGGGGCCCTGTCCTGGGGTCCCTGACATGGGGACACCTGTCAGGGGTCCCTAGCAGGGGGTCTTTCTCATGGGGTCCCTGTCACAGGACACCCCAGGCTCCCGTGGCACACGTGGAAACTGTGGTGTCACCTGTGTCCCCCTATGCTCTCCCCAGGTTCACATCACCTGTGCAACCAGGTGTCCCCCATAGGCTCGTGTCACCTGCAGGACCAGGTGTCACTTATGGGTTCACATGTCACCTTTGGCTTTACATGTCACCTGTGGCTTCCCATGTCCTCTGTGGCCTCATGTGTCACCTGCAGCACCAGGTGCCCCCCATGGCCTCACATGTCCCCACATGGGCTCACGTGGCCACTGAATTCCATGTCCCCTCTGCATCGACGTCACCCATGGGCTCACACGTCACCTCGCGGCTTCCCATGCCCCCCACGTGTTCCATGTCGCCCTTGGGCCCTGTGGCACCACATGTCCCCTGTGGAACCACGAGTGCCACCCACGTTGTCACCAGGACTCGCATGTCCCATGGGAGCAGCCATGTCCCCTATGGACACAGGTGTCCCCTATGGGCTCCGGGGTCCTCTAGGGGCTCTGGGCCCCCTGGGTGCCCCCCTGGGTGGCCCCCATGACCCCACGGTGGTGGTGGAGCTGTGACAGCAAGAGCAGCGAAGCCACAACTGGGACACAGGCAGGAAACGCGGCACGGCCCCAGTACGGCACTGGGAGGGTCCCAGTACGGCCCAGCACAGCTCAGCACGGCCCTAGCATAGCACTGAGAGCGTCCCAGTATGGCGCAGCATGGCTCCAGTACAGCACTGGGAGGGTCCCAGTATGGCACTGGAGTGGCACCTATATGGCCCTGGCACAGCCTTGGCATGGCCCAGCCTGACACAGCCAGGGATGCTCGTGCCTGCCCTGGCACACCCGGGGATGCTCATGCCCACTCCTGCCCACTCCCACGTGCCCTCCCCCTCCGTGTGCTCTCTGCTCGGCTCGGGCTCACCCGCAGTGGCCCTCTGGCCGCACCCGCGCGTGACCCTCCCGCACACGCGTGACCCTCCCGCATCCACCCGCGCCACCCTCACCCCTCCTCCTCCCGCGCCCGAATCTGCTTCGTCGGCGTTTTCCACCCGCCCCAGTTTTGGGGCCGGCGCCGCCCGCGCATCCGGCCGGGGGGGGTCGGGGGGGCACCGGGACCCCCGCGGCCGGCGGGACCCTGGGAATTGGGGGGGCTGAGTCAGCCCCGCGCCCCGAATTACTCACCCGTGCCGGGAAGCGCCGCTTCGGGGCCGCTCCTGCCGGGAACCGCCGGGCAGAGGTCGGCGAGGTCTCGGCGGCACCGGCGGCACCGGGGGGCTGCCGGTAATGTGGGGACCTGCCAGTGCCACCCACCGACCGCACCGGGGAGCACCGAGGGCATTCAGGGCACCGAGAGGCTGCCCATAATGTGGGGAACTGCCAGTCCTCCTGGATCCCAGCGCACCGAGGGGCACCGGGGGGCTGCCGGTAATGTGGGGAAGTGCCAGTCCCACTGGCACCCACCGCAGCTGGGGGCACTGGAGACACCGGGGAGCTGCCACTATTGTGGGGACCTGTTAATCCCACTGGCACCCACCGACCGCATCGGGGGGCACCGGGGGCACCCCAAACAACATCCGGAGCACCGGGAGGCACTGAGGGATACTGGGAACGTGGGCACCTGCCAGTCCCACCAGTGCCCACCTCAGCTGGGGGCACTGGGGGGCTGCTGGTAACGGGAACATCCCCCGGTGCCTGTGAGCCCCCCCAGCACCCACCGACCTCCCTCAGCACCACCGGTACCACCAGGACCTGACACCTCCACCAGCCCTACCAGTACCCACTGGCACCCACTGGAACCCACCGACCTCCACCAGCACCCACCGGTATCCGATACCTCGACCCCACCAGTACCTGTCATCCCCAGCCCACCAGAACCCACCAGCACCCACTGGGATCCACCAGCATCGGGGGCACCCACCAGTTCCACCAGCCCCATGGACCCGCTGGCCCCGGGGCACACACTGTCCCCCCCCTTCCTCAGGGACCCGCTGTCACCCCCCAGCCGCGGGGACACCCCCAGTGTGCCGAGGGACCCTCCAGCACCTACCGCCCCCAATTCCCGACCCCTCCCGCCCCCGGCACGGGCGGGGTCAGAGGGGACGCAGGGGGGACCCCGAGCACCCAGGGGTGCGTCCCCACCTTCCCCGGGACAAAGCGGGGGGGCTGCGGGCGCGGGGGTGGCGCGGGGCCACCTGTGTGTCCCAGTGTCGCCGCTGGTGCCACCCCCCGTGTCCCCCCCGTGTACTCCCCCGCCGCCGCCACATCAAAGGGTGCCGCAGGTGCGCGGGGGACCCGCGACCCTCAAAGCGGGCGGGGCAGGGTGGGCACAGCTGCGGGACGGGGGAGGGGAACCCGCGACATGTGTGTGACCCCCCCAAACATGCATGTGGCACCAGCGACACAGGTGCCCTCCTGTAACACACGTGTACAGCCCATAAGCACCCCGTGTACATCCCATAACACACATGTACACCCCATAACACATGTGTACAGTCTGTAACACATGTGTGCCCCCATAACACACATGCACAGCACACAAACATGCCATAACATGTGTGTACACCCCATAACGTGTACACTCCATAACACGGAGTAACACACGTGTAACACACGTGTGCACCCCATAACATGTGTGTACAGCCTGTAACACAAGTGTGCACCCCATAACACACATGTACACCCTGCAACATGCATGTACAGCCCATCGCACACCTGTGCACCCCATAACATACACATACAATCCATAACACGTGTACAGCCCATAATATACATGTACAACCTGTAACATGTGTGCACAGCTCATAAAATGTGTGTACACTACATAACATGCATGTACAGCCCATAATACACATCTACAGCCTGTAATACACCTGTGCACCCTGTAACATGCATGTACAACCCATAACATGCGTGTACAACATGACACATGCAGCCCCACCCTGTGACACGGCTGCACATGCCACAACATGTGTGCACACACAGTAACACTCGTATCCAACGCCCCACACCTCCCTTACACACCCCCTTTGCACACCCCTTTGTGTTTCCCTCCTTGCACACCCACTCCCACCCCCTGCCTTGCACACCCACCCCTTCTACACACCTCATGCTCACACATGTATGTCCAACGCCCCCCCCTTTACATCCCCCCGACCCTCTTACACACCCTCACGCCCTTACACACCCCCTTTGCACACCCCTGAGTGCTGCCCCCTTGCACAAACCCCTCTCCTGCACACCCCCCTCACACACATGTGTCCAATGCTCCCCACTCCCTTTCCACACCCCCCTGTCCCTCTTACACACACACACCCCTTCCACACCTCTTTGCACACCCACCCTCTCTCACACCCCCCACTCTCACACACGCGTGTCCAATGCTCCCCACTCCCCTTACACACCCTCCTGGCCCCCTTACACACCCTCTTTGCACACCCCTGGGTGCTCCCCCCATTACACCTCCACTCCCACCCTGTCCTCGCACCCCTCCCCACACGCATGTCCAACACCCCCCTCCTTACACACTCCCTCGACCCTCTTACACCCCCCTTGCACACGCGTATTCCCCCCCCTCCCCCGGTACCTCTCATGCCGCTGCCGGGGCCAGGCTGTTTTTGGGGCGGGCGTTATAAGGGCACGGGCCCCCGGGCATCCTGCCCGCCCCCTGTCATCCTGCCCCCTCCCCTTCATCCTGCCCCCAAAACCGCTGGAAAGTTCTGACTTTCCCCGGAGCCACCCCGGGGAGAAGAGGGAAGGGGGTGATCCCAAATCTACCTGGACCCCAAAGGGAAGGAGGAGGGGATAAGACCCCCCCCGTCAACCCACCAGACAGTCTGAAATTTTAAGGGGGGCAGGTTTGAGGTGGAGGGACCCCCAACACACCCTGGTAGGATCAGATTTGGGGTGCTGGGACCCCTCAATACCCCAACAGGCTCCTTTTTGGGGTTCAGGAACCCCCAGCATCCAAATAGGCTCCATTTTGGGGTGAAGAGACCTCCCCCCGACCCCCCAGTGTGACCAATTTTGGCGTGCAGGAACTCCCGAAATGTCTGGTTTTGGGGTGTAGGGACCCCCAACATCCCTCTGGGCTCAGTTTTGGGGTGCAAGAACCCCCCGACATGCCCAGTTTTGGGGGGCAGCCTTGCCTTGCCAGGGGTCCCTGCCTGACCCCCTACCCTGGGGGGGGGCCCCGAGGTGGCATCAGAAGTGGGGACATGGGGGGTCCCAGAGGGGACACATGTTGGGGGGGCACGGGGGGGCCCTAAATGGGATGCGGGGGTTCCCAGAGGAGACACGGGGGGGGTACACGGGGGAGGTCCCAAAGGGGACACTGGGGGTCCCAAAGGTGTCCTGCCCCCCATCCCAAACCCCACAGAGACACGGGGGACACAGGGGGTGGTGGCAGCAGCTCTGATGGTCACCGGGGTCACCCCTGACGCCCCTGGGGATATGGGGGGGAGGGCACGGAAAGGATACGAGGGGCAGGGGGGGACAAGAGGTTGACATGGGCATGACTGGGAGGACACGTGGGTGACATGGCGGGGCCATGGAGGGGACCCAGGGGTGAGCAGGGTGACACAAGGGGACACGGGGGTGGCATGAAGGGACACAGGGGTGACTGAGGGGGACATGAGGGTGACACAGGGGGACAGGGGTGACCCCGGGGTGATAGTGACAGCTACTGGTCACCAACGCCCCCCTCGCGAGCCTCATCCTTGGGGGGGTCCAGCCGGATGAAGAGACCTGAGGGGTAGGGGGGACATGTGGCACAGGGACATTGGTGTCCCCAACCCGCCCTGGAGTCCCCAGGTCTGTCCCCAGCACCCCTACATGTGTCCCAGCCCCCAGTCTGTCCCAGCCCCCCCAGGTGTGTCCCCAGGTGTTGGTGTTCCCCCTCACCCGCGGCCCTGGCATGCAGGATGTCCCCAGGTGTGTCCCCACGTGTGCCCCCAGGTGTTCCCCCTCACCCGTGGCCCTGGCATGCAGGATGTCCCCACGTGTGTCCCCACGTGTGTCCCCAGGTGTTCCCCCTCACCCGTGGCCCTGGCATGCAGGATGTCCCCAGGTGTGTCCCCACGTGTGTCCCCAGGTGTTCCCCCTCACCCGTGGCCCTGGCATGCAGGATGTCCCCAGGTGTGTCCCCAGGTGTTCCCCCTCACCCGTGGCCCTGGCGTGCAGGGTGTCCCCGTCAGCGCTGCGCAGGTGACACTCCAGGAACACCTTCCTGCCCTCCTGGCGCTCCAGGTGGGCATCCACGAGCACCACCGTGCCCAGGGGGACAGGGCTGGGGACACCATGGCCCCCAGTCACCCCTATGTCCCCTGGCCACCCCTGGGTCCCCTTGGTCACCTCCCCATCCCCCTTGTTCACCCCAGTGTCCCCCTCATGACCACCCCGGTCACCCCTGTGTGTCCCTTTGTCCCCCCTACTCACCAAGGTGTGCTCTCATGCCACCCTTGTGTCCCCCTGGTCATCCTATTGTCCCCTCATGTCCCTCCTGACCCCCCAGTTTATTCCTGTGTCACTCCTGTGTCATTTTTGTGTCCACCCCAATCCCTCCTGTGTCCCCCCAGGTGTGTCCCCCACCCCTTGGGGACACCCCCCCACCCTTGGGGACATTCCCCACCCTTGGGGACAACCCCCACCCTTGGGGACACCCATGTCCCCCTTTGGAACACCCATGCCCTCCTTGGGGACATCCCCCACCCTTGGAGACCCTCCTGCCCCCCTCAGGGACACTCTGACCCCTTGGGGACACGGTGCCCCCCTTGGAGACATTCCACCCCCCTTGGGCACACAGTGCTCCCCCCGGGGACACTCACAGGACGTAGTCGATGCTGAGGTTGGCTGTCACCACCCTCCCGGCTACCGCCAGCGCCAGTGTCCCCAGGGAGCTGTCGATCAGGGTGGCAAGTGCACCACCGTGGGTCAGCCTGGGGACACGGGGACAGCAGGGTCACCAGGGGACAGAGGGAGACACAGGGACAACCTGGGGACATGGGGACAGCGGGGTCACCAGGGGACAAGGGGGAAAAGGGGACATAGAGGTGACTGTAGGAGACGTGGGTGACACGGTGGGAACATAGGGGACACGGGTTACTGGGGGCGACATGGGGGTGACAGAGGGACTCGGGGGTGACAGAAGGGGGGTGTGACTCACCCCGGGTGTCCCTCGAGGAAGGGCCCGGGCTGGCAGAGGCAGCGCAGGCGCCGCGAGGGGACACTGAGGAACATGACATACTCGAAGCCGTCTCCCGGCCCCTCGATGGCCCTCGGGAACAGCCGTGTGTCCCCCGATGTCCCCGCGGCCCCTGTGGGGACAACACAAGGTGGGGGGGTTGCTGGGGACCCCCCAGACCTGCCCAGGGACCTCCCAGACCTGCCTGGAGACACAGAGGGGGACAGGCACGGTGCCACACTGGGGTGACAAAGGGGTTTGGGGACATTGGGGACACACAGCTGGGAAGTGGTGCTGGGGGGTTTGGGGGGCTTGGGGACACTGGGGTGACACGTACCCAGGAAGTGGTGGCAGGGGGCTTTGAGGGGTTTGGGGTCACTGGTGATGGGGACATTGGGGACGCTGAGGACACTGGTGTCACACACATCTGGGAAGTGGGGGCAGGAGGGTTTGAGGGGTTTGGGGACACTGAGGGGACCCTGAGGGGACACTGGGGACTGGTGTCACCTACCCGGGAAGTGGTGCTGGGCACGGCGGAAGGACGGCAGGCGGGTCCAGCCCTTGATGGCCTCCAGGTGGCCGTAGTGGCGCCTCATGGTGTCACTCCAGGCGGCGTTGGGGACAGCCAGGTCCTGGGGGGGTTCTGGGGCTGCCGAGGGGGGGGACACTGGGCAGTGGCAGCACCGGAGCAAGGGGGGACGGGGATGGGGACAAGGGACAGAGGCTACAGCACGGGACAGGGACAGGGCGTGGCGGAGCATGGCCGAGGGGACACTGGGGATGCCACTGGGGATGTCACACCCGGTCACTGGGGATGTCACCGGTGTCACTGGGGATGTCACTGGAGTCACTCGTGATGTCACACCAGTTTGTTGGGGTCACTGGTGATGTCACACCCTGTGACTGGAGTCACCGATGATGTCACACACAGTTGCTGATGTCACTGCTGATGTCACTTCTGTCTCCGCCCTGTCGGGCGATGACGTCACACGTCACCGCCACCCCGCGTGCCACCCCACGTGTCACCCCCGTCCCAGCGCTGCCACTCCCAGCAGTGACGTCACTCCCACCCGCAGGACCCCCATGCAGCCCCTGAACCCCCCGCGCCGACCCCTCAAAGCCCGGATCCCCATCCCCGGTGCCCCCGAGCCCCTCCAGTCCCCCCGTGTCCCCCGGTGTCTCCCCGTGTCCTCCCCGTGTCCCACCGCACTCGGTGACCGGCACGGGCGCTCTGCAAGGACCCTGCCCCCTCCGTGACGTCATGGGCGGAGCACCCCCGGCTTCCGGGGGCGGGGCCTCACTGACCACGCCCAGGGAATCCCCGGAACCCCCGGGGGGCACCTACGGACCCCTCAGGAAACCTATAGGGGGTACCTGTAGGCACCCATAGACACCTATAGACCCCTATGGACATCCACAGGCACCTGTAGACCCCTATGGACACCTCTGGGCTCCTATAGAGACCTATAGACCTCTATGGACACTTCTGGGCACCTCCAGACCCTTAGGGACACCTAGGGACCCCTAGGGACACCTATGGACACCCATAGGCACCTATAGACTCCTATGGTCTCCTAAAGATTCTTAAGGACACATATAGACCCTTATGGACACCTACAGATCCCTATGGACACCCATAGACCCCTACCGACCACCAGGGGATGGGACCCCAAGGGGATCCCAAAGGGACCCCCAGGGGATGGGGACCCCAAAGGGACCCCAAGGCGGTCCCAGAGTGATCCCAAGAACAAGGCAGTTCCAGTGTAATACAAAACATCTCTATTTAAGGGGTGGTGTTGAAACTTGAGGTGGGGGGGTCAAGGTAGCACCCCTGGGGGAGGAGGGGGGTCAGGGCAGGACCCCTTAGGGGGTGGGGGTGCACCCATGGTGTGGAGGGGGTCAGCACCCAAGGGGGGTCAAGGCAGCACCCAGGGGTGGGGGTGGCACCCCTGGATGGGCAGGCAGCATTCGGGGTGGGGGTCAAGGCAGCACCCAGAAGTGGGGGGAAACACCCCAGGATGGGGGTGGGAGCACTCTGGGGGGGTCAAGGCAGCACCCAGGGGTGGGTGAGGGCTGCACCCCATGGGTGAGGGGGCATCCCCCCTGGGGGGGGCTCAGCACCCCAGGATGGGGGGCAGCACCCGGGGGGGTGGTGGGGGCAACACCTTGACCTCGAAGTGTTAAGGCAGGACCCGGGAGGGGTGGGTTGAGGCAGCACCCAGGAGTGTGAGGGGGTGTCAGCACCCCATGGGGGAGGGTTCAGCACCCCAGGGGAGGGCTCAGCACCCCCAGCTGCCCCCTCACTTGCGGCCCTTCTGCTTCATGTGCAGCACGAAGTAATCGTTGCAGGCGATGGTAAGCCCGGCCACCAGCGAGAAGAAACCCTGGAAGCCCACCCGGCCATCCCGGCTCTGTTCCACGTCCCTCAGGATCTTCTCCAGGGCCATGGGGTCCCGCTGGTTCTGAGGGGGGAAAACAGGGTCAGCACCAACCCAGGTTTGTGGGCAGCACCCATCCAGGGGGGTCAGAACCCACCCAGGGGGGTACAAGGGGCAGGGGGGTCATTGGAGACCCCCCACACTCATCCCGGCTCTGCTCCACATCCCAAAGTATCTTCTCCAGGGCCAGGGGCTCTCACTGGTTCTAGGGGGGGCACAGGGTCAGCACCCACCCAGGGGGGCTCAGCACCCACCCACGGGGGGCTCAGGGAGTGAGTGGGGGGCCCATCCTGGCAGGGGTTGATCCTAGGGTGCTTTAAGGGGCTGATCCGGGCTGAAATAGGACCCAATCCCAGGTTTATGGGATCTGATCTCATGGTGCTCCAGGCTTTGATCTCTAGGAGCGCAGAGGTGCTGTGGGATCTGATCCCAGGGTGCTGTAGGATTTGATCCTGGGGTACTGTGGGGCCAAGCCCTGGTGTTCTCTGGGATCCAATCCTGGGGTGCCTAATTCCAGGGTTCAGTGGGATCTGATCCCAGGGTGCTCTGGGATTCCATCCTGGAATCCTGGGGTTTGATTCCAGGGTTCTGAGGGATCCAGCCCCAGGGTTCTGTGGAATTCAATCCCTGAGTTTGATGGGATCCAATCCCAGGACTCTATGGGATTCAATCCCAGGGCTCTATGGCATTCACTCCCGGGGTTGTACAGGATCCAATCCCAGGGTTCTATGGAATCTAATCCCAGAGTCCTGTGGGATCCAATCCCAGGGTTCTGTGGGATCCCATCCCAAGGTTCTATGGGAGCTGACCCCAGAGATCTATAGGCCCCCCCCAGGTTTCCATAATGCCCCCCCGGTACTCTGGTGTCCCCCCCATCCCGGATCCTTCCCCACCTCCAGGAATCCTGGGAATTCCTTCTCCATGAGGGCCCTCAGGTCCTCCTTGGACAGGTGGTCCTTGTCCCCCGCGTACTTGTGGAAGGTGAACATGAGGGTCTCCATGGCGTGTTCCATCTGGGACGGCATCCTGGGGGCTGAGGGGGCACAGGGGGCAGCACAGCTCAGCAGGGCACCCCAAAATCCCACCCAGGCAACCCAAACCCCTGCCCTGGGTACCTCAAACTTCCCCTCTTGCTGAGCCTGGCCCCGCTCATCACACAGATGGGACAGATTGGGAGGGCCACGGGGGGATGAGGGGCACAGCTCGGCCGGGCACCACAAAACCCCCTCCTGGGCACTCCAACCCTCCTCCTGGGCACCCCAACCCACCCCGCTGAGCCCAGCGCCGCTCATCAGACGGATGAGCGGTTTTCCAACCGCTGGGAATTAGCCGGGAATGACTCGGGGATGACTCAGCTCCGGCCACAAAAAGGGGGGGCAGGAGGGAGGAGATGGGGGGGACACACGTCCTGAGGGTGTGTCCCGGGTCCCCCCCCACCCCCCACCCCGAGGCACCCTGGGGACCCCCGATGAGTCACGGGGAGGGGTTGGAGCCCCTCCCTTGGGTGGGGTTTGCCCATGGCTGGAGGGGCTTTCCCCCCTTCAAAAAAAAGGGTGACACCCCCCCAAGAAGGGTGACACCCCCCCCAAAAAAGGTGACACCCCCCAAAAAAGGGTGACACCCCCCCAAAAAGGGTGACATCCCCCCCAAAAAGAGTGACAATTTCCCCCCCCAGAGGGAGGGAACACGGCGGGGAGGAGCAAGAGGGGGGACACAGGGGTGGGGACACAGGGGGGGACACGGCGGGGGGAGACACGGGGCCACACCCAGCGCGGCCCCCGAAACAGGAAGAGGCCCCGCCCGCGGATTTGCCTCCAAAAATGAGAGGCAGGACTGAGCCCCCCCAAATTGGGGGCAGGGATGGGACCCCCCCCAAATCGGGGGGCAGGATTGAGCCCTCCCAAATCGGGGCCAAGGATGGGACCCCCCAAATCGAGGGCAGGGATGGGACCCTCCAAATCGGGGGACAGGACTGAGACCTCCCAAATCGCAGGGCAGGACTGAGCCCCCCAAATCGGGGGCAAGGATGGGACCCCCCCAAATCGGGGGCCAGGACTGAGCCCCACAGGGGCTGCAGAGATGAGGTCCCCCCAAAATGAGGTGCAGGGATTGATCCCCCCAAAGTGGGGTGCAGGATTGAGCCCCCCTATCAAGGGGGTGCAGAGCTGAGGTCCCCTCTAAAAGAGGTGCAGGATTGAGTCTTCCCCCCCAAAACGGGGTGCAGAGATGGAGTCCCCTCTGAATGAGGGGTGTAAGATTGGCCTCCCTCAAAGTGGGGTGCAGGGATTGAGACTCCTCAAAATGAGGTGCAGGACTGAGCCCCGCCAAAGAGAGTGCAGGGATGGGGTCTCCCCAAAATGAGGTGCAGGATTGAAGCCCCCAAACCAGGATGCAGGGCTAGAGTCCCCAAACCGGGGAGCAGGGATGGGACTCTGCCAAAATGAGGTGCAGGATTGAGCCCCCCCAAACCAGGATGCACTGATGGGGTCCCCCCAAAGAGGGGCACAGGGTGGGGCCCCCCGCACTCACCGTGCTCGTGGCAGGTCCGGAGCGGAGCGGAGCGGAGCGGGCAGTGCCGGGGCGCGGTCCGGCCCGGGATAGGCACGGCGGGGGCGGGACGGACCAGCGGGGGCCGCGGGGGGGCACGGGGCGGTCACAGTGACTCACCGGGGCCGCCCGGCCACGCTCCGCCCTGACCCTTCCCCCTCTCCGGACCCCCCCGGGGATCCCCACGGAACCCCTCAGTCCTGCCCCGTGTCCCCCCACCCGGGGACACCCCGGGACCCCCTAATCCTGCCCCTGGTCCCTTCCCCTCCCCGGGACGCGCCCAAGTGCTGCCCCGGGTCCTCCCCTCGGGGGAGTCCCCCTCGATGTGTCCCTCCCGAACACCAGGTACCCCCCGGGACGCCCCCTTTCCTACTCCAGGACCCCCAGATCGCGCCCGTCCGTCTTTTGGATCCCCCTGGGCCACCAGAGCCCGCACACACACACGTCCTCCCCCAACACCCTTCGTGTCTGTGTGTCCCCCCCCCAACCCCTCCCGGGACACCGGGGACACCCCCCCAAATGGGGGTGGACACCCCCGCCCCCCAGGCGCCTGCCCGGCGCGTGCCGCGTTAATTACAACTAATTGGGCAGCGCCCCGCGCGTGGCACCGCACCCGGGGCGGGGGAGGGACACGGGGGGTTCACGGGGGGACACATCCAGCTCATCCTCCCTCCCCTCCCGGCCCCACCCGGGAACGGGCAAAGGTGAAAGGAAAAGGGGGGCGGGGGTGTCCCACCCACGGGTAGGGACAGGACACGCCCCGTGACGGGGGGGGTACGGGGGCAAGAGCGCCCCCCACTTGTCCCCAAGGTCCCCCTCTTGTCCCCAGGGTCACCACAAGGATCCCCCCACCCCTTCCAGTAGAGCCCCTCCCCACCTTGTCCACAAATACCCCCTTGTCACCAGAGTGCCTCTAAGGATGCTCCTCCTTCCAGAAGGGCCCCCACCTTGTCCCACGGGTCCCCCAAGGACCCCCCAGTTTGTCCCCAGAGTCCCCCAAAGGACCCCACCCCCAAAAAGAAGCCCCTCCTTGTTCTCCTTGTCCCCAGAGAGCTCGCCATGTCTCCATGCCCCACCTTGTCCCCAAAGCCCCTCTTTGTCCTCTCTTGTCCCCAAAGCCCCCCTTGTGGCCCTGCCCCCTCCCCGTCCCCAAGACCCCCACCCGCATCCTCCCCTCAACCAACCCCACCCCAAACATCTCTTCTTTCCCCAGGACCCCTCCCAACACCCTCCGCCTCAATATCCCCCTCAGCCCCCAAGGAACCCCAAACCCCCTGGAACTCCCCCAGACCCCGCCCCTGTGCCCTCACTCAAAATGGCGGCGCCCCCGGGCCCCGCAATGGGCGCGAAGTCGCCCCGCGGGCCCCGCCTGCCCTTCTCCAAGATGGCACCCGCGCCGCCACCACGTGTCCCAAGGGCGTGGCCGCCTTGCCCGCTTGCCTTTACCCAACATGACGGCCTCTTCCCCATGTTAATCAATAGCGCTGAAGCCGCCGGGGCGTAGGCCGGATGTGCCCTCTCATTTGCCCTCACCCAAGATGGTGCAGCTTTCCCGTGGTTTTCCATAGGGGTGAAGCCGCCGCCCGGGCGTGGGCGTGGCTTCGTCGCCGGATGAGGCGTCACGGCGGAGCCGCCCGCGAGCGGGGAGCGGAGCGAGCCGGGGCCAAGATGGCGGCGCCGGGGCTGGGCCGGCCCTGAGGGGCCGTGAGGGGCCGGAGGGGCCCCCGGGCATGGTGGGCTCGACCGGGCCGTAGGGGGGGCCCCGCCGCTCCCCCCGCGCCGCTCCGCGGGCCGCTGAGGCCGCCGGAGCCTCCCCGGGGCTCAACCGGGCGCTCCCCGGGGCCTTTCTGGGGAGAATCGAGCCCTCACCGGGGCCGTTTGGGGGAGAACCAGGGCCTTCGCGGGTTCGTTTGGGGGAGAAACGGGTTTTTTTTGGGTGAAACGGACCCTCCCTGGGACCTTCTGGGGGAGAACCGGGGCTTTTCGGGGTGAAACGGACCCTCCCCGGGTCCTTTCGGAGTCTTACCGGGACCTCCCCGGGGCCGTTTGGAGCCTCCTCGGGGCGTTTTGGGGTCTCACCGGCGCCTCCGGGGGTGAAACGGACCCTCCCCGGGGCCTTTTGGGGGAGAACCGGGGCCTCCCCAGGCTTTAACGGGGAGGGAAGACCTCCCTGACCTCCCCCCGCCCTCCCCATTTTGGTGCTTTTTCGCTGTAATTTTGGGTTGATTTCAGCCGAAAACGGGGCAGAGCCGGAGCTTTTTTTGGAGTTGGTTGTTTTGTTTGGTTGTGGTGTTTTTTGTTTTGTTTTGGTTTGGTTTTTTTTAATTTTTCTTTTTTGACAGGAGTGGCTCTCGCTTCCAATCCGGTTTTCCCGGGATTTCAGCTCTTCCCGAGGGCAAAAAAACCAGGATTAACGGCGCGGGAGGAGGAATGGGATGAAATTTAAAGGATTTCTTCACTCAAGTTTTTTTTTTTACTTTTTGATTGAGGTTTTTTCACTCAAAATTGCCTGAATCTGTGTTAAATCCGGGAACAAGGGAATTAAATCCTTCGGGAATGGTGTCCCTGAAAACAGGACTGACTTAAGGGGAATCCCGGACTCGGTTTTTCCTCGATAAATTATTAATTAGGAAAGAAAAAAGGGTAGGTGGTTTTTTGGGGGAGGGGAAGAATCAAGAGGTTTCGGGCAAGTGGAACAGCCCAGGGACTGACTGATCCCGGCCTCTGGAATTCTGGCTTGAAAGTGGAACTTTAGGAGCCTCTGCAGGAGATTTTTGTGGAGTTTATTTAAGAAAACAAGGAGAAAAGGGGATTGAAGCTTCCTTGGACTGAAGATTCGTTGGATTCCTTCTCTGACCTGGGATCGAGGGACGGCTGGAATTGCTCTGGGGTGAGGTGGGTGCTCCTCGATGTGGGGGGTTTTCCTGCTATTTTAGGGATTTGTCCTTCCCTCTGTGGGCCTTGGGGTGTGGGGATCGATTCAGGGGAGCTTGGGATGGATCCAGGGGGGTTCAGGATTTTTCTAGGGATTGGGATGATCTGGAGAAGCTCAGGATGGATCCAGGGAGGCTCCTCATGGATTCTCCCTGTTTTAATCCTCCTGTGCTTGAGGGATTTGGGGGAATCCAAGGTTCCCCTTCCAGGGCTTGGATCCGGGCAGGTCTTGGGAATTCTCACCCCAGGACAGCTTTGGGGATTTATTCAGGGATTTGTGGCATTCCAGACACCATTCCCAAACTGTGAAAGGGCTGTTGCTCCTCTTGCCATCCTGGGATTATCCACAGGGAGTCGTTTCTTTGGGGGCTCCCTTGGGAATCCCTTGGAAATCAAGACCCACAGTGGCTGGAACCGAAGTTTGGGATTCACCAGGAATTAGTTGGAGCGATGGATGGAAGTGAAACCCACTTTAAATTCAGATTTCCACCTTCCCAGCTAGTTCCATGGATCCAAATTCCCCAGTTCCACCCTGGGAGAATTGTTTTTCCATGTGGCTCGTTTTCCTCATGGATGTTTTGTCCTGGGATGCATCTCCTTCTTCCTCCTCCCCCAGCATTCCCAGCCCTGGGATATCCCTGGGAATCCACTTTATTTGGGCTGGGAGTGGGTTTTTTTGAATTCTTACTGGATTTAGGAGCTTTTCAGGCCCTTCACCTCCCAGAAGATCCTCTCCAAAGAGAAAAAATGAGGGATGAATCCCGATTTTTGCATCTCCCTTCGATGGGGGATTGTTCTATTTTTTCCTGGTTAATCCATCGTGTCCTGAGGTTTCCCATCCCTCAAGTGTGATGCCTCAAGATTCTGGGATGCAGGGAACCCACACCTGGCAGGATTCCCAGTGGGAATTGGGAGCAAAAAGCTCCCTTGGAGTCTCCCTCATGTCCATTTCCCTGGGAAAACTCACCTAAAAAAGTGCCAAACTGGGATTTGTGCCTTTTATTCCACATCCAGGCAGGAATTTTCTGGGAGTTTCGTAAGGTTTTATCTGAATTAAGTGGGAATCTCCCTGATATCCACAGGGATCCTGTCAGAGATCCAGGGAAAGCTTTGGAAGCTCCAAAAACTTGTTCTTCCCGTTCTCTCAAAATTATTGTAATGACCCCGGAACGCTGAGGGAATTCTCTTTCCAAGGAAAGGCTCCAGAGGGGATGGGAGTTTCTAGGGATTTGGGGATCAGCTGCTCCTCAGCTTTTTTCTGGGAGATCTTCCCATTCCCTCCACTCCCAAGGGAGCAGTTCCTTGAGGAAAATCCAGGGATTTGGGGGGATTCCCATTTTTTCCCTACCTGGAGGTGGCGACAGATTGTTTGTCCCAAGGATTTAGTAGGAATTTTCCCCTTGGAAGGGGATTTGCAGCCCTGTCTTGCGTCACCGGGAATTGGGAATAGGTGGGAGATTCCTGTTGTTATCCCGTGTTTATCTTTATTTTGGAAACGGTATCCAGGGAAAAAACCCTCTGGGGGGCTGGATTTGGGTTCCTGGAGCAGAGCAGGAGCTGCATCCTGGTGGATCCATTAACCATATATTCATAGGGAAGGGAATTAAGGGCTGGATTCTGGGCTCATCCATTAACTCCATATCCATAGGGAAGGGATTCTCCCAGGTGGATCCTGGGATGGTCCATTACCCCATATCCATAGGGAAGGACTGGATTCTGGGCTGCCCCACCACTGTCCCTGCACTCCCCACCCCCAGTCCCTCACCATCACCCTCCCCCCCAAACCAGCGAAGCCCCATCCCCAGTCCCGTCCCCCCATCCATGCCCGCTCCGTGCCCGCTCCCATCCCACGTCCCGGTGTCCGCAGGCTCCCATGGCGGGCCGGAAGCGCGCGGGGCCGTCGGCGTGGCCAGAGGAGCGTGGGGAGCGGGAGCAGGGGCTGTACAGCCTGCACCGCATGTTCGACATCGTGGGCGCCCACCTGACGCACCGCGACGTGCGCGTGCTCTCCTTCCTCTTCGTCGACGTGCTGGACGAGGCCGAGCGCGGCCGCATCCGCAGTGGCCGTGACTTCCTGCTGGCGCTGGAGCGGCAGGGCCGCTGTGACGAGAGCAACCTGCGGCAGCTGCTGCAGCTGCTGCGCATCATCACCCGCCACGACCTGCTGCCCTACGTCACGCTCAAGAGGCGGCGCGCCGGTGAGTGGGGCTATCACGATACAGGGGGTCAGTCACGATATATGGGATCAGTGTCACGATATGTGGGGTCACTGCCACGTGTCACGTTGAAGCAGTGCCACACCGGTGAGTGGCGCTGCAGCAATACGATACCCTGTGTCACCATATGCAGGGTCAGTGTTGCGATATGCTGGCCTATATCGCGATAGGCGGGGCTTGTGTCAGGGAGAGAGTGGCCTGTGTTGTGACATAACTGTCACCCTTTGGGAGGTGACAGGTGGGGACGTGGCCCATGTCACGGTGTGGAGCCCTACATTGCGATGTGGGGTCTGGGTCACCCTTGGGTGATGCGCTGATGAGGGCGGTGGTGGAGCCTCGTCTGGAGCCTTTCCTGTGGGATTGGAATGGGTTTGTGTGTGTGACACTCCAAGTCCAGATATTGGGATATATCCCTGGATGATCAGTCCCTGGACAGTCCATCCCTGGACAGTCCATCCCTGGACAGTCCCTGGACAATCCATTCCTGGACAATCCCTCCCCGGGCCAGGCCCTCCCCTCTGCTGTCCATGAGGGGGGTTCCCGGCCCCCCCATGGAGTTTTTCCCGCCGTATTCGTGTTGTTATTCCCAGTGTGCCCAGACCTGGTGGACAAGTACCTGGAGGAGACGTCCATCCGCTACGTGACCCCCCGTGCCCCCGGGGAGACCCCACCTGGGCTTGGGCACCCCCCCAAATCAGGTGGGTGCCAGGGGGGCATTTGGGGTCCCCCTTGGGGGGTTTCCTGGGGATTATTCCAATTTTCTATCCCTGGATTCCCTGGGAATACAGGGACACACCTGGCACTGCACAGATGATGTCAGAGGTTCGGGGGGTGGGGGCTGTTCCTAAGTCTCGGGGGGGCCTTTGGGTTTTGGGGTGTCATTTGGGGTCACCCCTCATCCCATGGTACATGGGGACTATGGGAAGTGAGGATTTGAGCATCCCCTGTAATGAGGGGTGAGATTTGGGGTTCCCCTCTAATGGAGGGGGATATTTGGAGTCCCCTGACCCCCCTTTGTGCCCCCTCAGTGCCTGCCCCCCACCCTTCGCTGTGCTGCCCCCCGGGGGGGCCCCAGCTGGGCCCGAAGCGCCCGGGCCGGGCCCGGAGCCTCCTCGGGAACCAGCGGAAAAGGAGGAAGTCGGTGACCCCGGATCCCAAGGAAAAACAGACCTGTGGTGAGGGGATTTGGGGGGAGAATGGAGTTGGGGGGTGGAATCTTGGTGTTGGGGGGTGGAATCCTGGGATTGGGGGGACCTGGAATCTGGGGTTGCAGGGGAAAACCTGGTACTGGGGATTGGATCCCAAGGATAAACAGATGAGGGGGTGGGGAAGGGCTTGGGAATTGAGGAGGTCTCCAAAAAGAGAGGGGACCCCAAAACCCGGGGGACAAATATTGCTGAAGTACTGAAAACATGTTGCACTTGGGGAAAAACAGCCTGATTTTGGTAAAAATACAGATTTCAGGGCACCATCTCCAGGGGTCCCACTACCACCCTCAGCCCCCCCTGATTTTTGGGATCCCCCTTTCCCCTGCAGATATCCGCCTGCGGGTGCGAGCCGAGTACTGCCAGCATGACTCCGCCCTGCAGGGCAACGTCTTCTCCAACAAGCAGGAGCCCCTGGAGCGGCAGTTCGAGCGCTTCAACCAGGCCAACACCATCCTGAAATCCCGGGATCTGGGCTCCATCATCTGCGACATCAAGTTCTCAGAGCTCACCTACCTGGACGCCTTCTGGCGGGATTACATCAACGGCTCCCTGCTGGAGGCTCTCAAGGGCGTCTTCATCACGGACTCACTCAAACAGGCCGTGGGCCACGAGGCCATCAAGCTGCTGGTCAACGTGGATGAGGAGGATTATGAGGTGGGACGCCAGAAACTCCTGAGGAACTTGATGCTCCAAACGGCTCCCTGAGAGGAGGGGGGTTTCCTGCCTTTTTTTTTTTTTTCCCTCTGCCTTTTCCCTCCCCCTTTTTTTTCTCCTTTTTCCCCTGTTTTCCCTTTTTTTCCCCCTTTTTTTTCTCCCCTTTTCCCACTTCTTTTGTTTTCCCACCTTTTTTTCTTCTTCCCCCCGTTTTTTTCCTCTTTTTCCCCTACCTTTTATTTTCCCAGCTTTTCTCTGCCTTTTTCTCCCGCCTTCCCCCCCCCTCCATTTTCTCCCTCAGAGTTTCGTTCCATGGATTTTTCCTTCTCCTCTTTTTCTTCTTCTTGTTCTTCTTGTTCAGGTTTTTTTTGGGTTGTTTTCCAAGAGGAGGTGAAAACCCCTCCCGGTGGGATCTGGGGTTTGGAGGTGTGGGGGAGCGCTGGAATATTCTGGAATTCCGCACTTTTTGCCCTGTCTGTTCCTCCTCCTTGTGTTTTCCATGTTTCCTCCCCCCTCACCCTGTTTTCTTTTGTATCCATTAAAAACTGCAAAAAAAAGGCAAAAATCCCCTTGGTTCGCCTGAGGGACACAGTGGGATTTGGGGGTTGGAACTGCAGGGAGCACTGGAATATTAGAATATTCCACAACTCCTCACTTTTCCTGTGTCAGCTCCTGCCTCTTCTTGTGTTTTCCATGTTTTTCCACGTTTTCTTTTGTATCCATTAAAAACAAACAAAGAAAAAAGGTAAAAATCCCATTGGTTCACCTGAGGGACACAGTGGGATTTGAGGGTTGGAGGTGTGGGGGCGCTGGAATATTCTGGAATTCCGCACTTTTTGCCCTGTCAGTTCCTCCTCCTCCTTGTGTTTTCCATGTTTTTTCCCCCAATTTTCTTTTGTATCCATTAAAAACAACAAAAATAGGCAAAAATCCTGTTGCTGCGACATGGTGGGATTTGGGGGTTGGAGCTGCAGGGAGCACTGGAATATTGGAATATTCTGGAATTCCTCACTTTTGCCCTGTTGGTTCCTCCCTCTCTTTGTGTTTTCCATGGTTTTCCCCCTGTTTTCTTTTATATGCATTAAAACCAACAACAACAAAAAAGGCAAAAATCCTGGTGATGCACTTGAGGGACACGGGGGGATTTGGGAGATCCAGTGGAATATTCCATAATTCCTCACTTTTTCCTGTCAAACTCCTTCCTCTCCTTGTGATTCCCATGGGGTTTCCCTTTTTTTTCCATCTTTTATTTTCCATCCACTAAGAACAACAACAAAAAAAGCCAAAGTCCTGGCGTTTGGGGCAATTCCCCCTTCCCCTCCCCTCAGTTTGTCCCCAAGTTTTCCCTTTTTCCACCCAAACTCCCTTCTTCCCCTGGGGTTTTTTTAGGATTCACACAAAAAATGGCCATTAAACCCCCAAAAAATGGTCTTTCCCACAAAAAATGGCCACTTTCCCCCCAAATCGGCCATTTCACACCTCAAAATGGCCATTTGTCAAAAAAAATTCCCATTATACACCAAAAAATAACCATTTTCCCCCAAAATGGCCTTTTTCACCCCCCAAAACAACCATTATACCTCAAAAATGGCAAATTCACCCCAAAAAATGGCATTACACTCCAAAAACCATCATTTAATCTCAAAAAATGGCCATTTAACCCCCCAAAATTGGCCATTTTCACCCCAAAATGCCTCTGCATTATTTCCCCCCCCAATTTTGTGAGTTCCCCCCCAATTCTCATCAGCACTGGGGGAGTTCACCCCATAACCCCTCCAGTTTGGGGTTTCCGAGCAGCCCCCCCAAACCCCTTCCTCCCTCCCCAACAATCCAGCCACATTTTGGGCTCATTTACTGTGATTTTTTTATTTTTAAAATCTCAGGAGAACAAAAATTCCCCCCTCGAGCCTCCTCTTCCCTCCCGGGACCTCAAATTTGGGGGGAGTACCCCAAAATGAGGGTGGACCCCACAAAAAAAGGGGGAACACTCTGTGGCTTCAGCCCTGGGGGTGGGTTGGGAGCCCTGAGCTGCCTCATTTTGGGGGGGAATGGGCTGATTTAGGGCAGATTGGGGTAAAATAAGGATTTTAGGGTGTTGGTGTCACCCCTGGGGTGCCATAAAAGTGACCCCGAAAAGGGGATGACCCCCAGGAAAGGGGAGACCCCAAAAAGGGGGAACACCCCAGTGCTGTGGCACTGAGCGTGTTGTGGAGCTGCGTTTCAGGGAGAAATGGATTGATTTGGGGCTGATTTAGAGGAGATCTGGAGCTGACTGGGGGCACATTTGGGGCTGATTTGGCTCCAATGCAGATTTTAGGGCTGTGGAGTCCCCAGGCGGCCATACGGGTCCCAGTGGCTGATTTGGGGCAGATTTGGTTCAGGTCCAGCCTTTAGGATGCCGGGGCCCCCAGGCAGCCGTACAGGTCCCTGCGGCGGTGCCCCTGCACCGGGATGTCCCTGCGGACGCGCTCCAGGAATTCCAGGTCGATGTCGGCGAAACAGAGCCCGGGCCCCTCATGGCATTGGGCCACCACGGTGCCCCACGGGTCGGCCACCAGCGCATGGCCGAAGGACACCCGGCCCTCGTGGTGCCGCCCAGTCTGCGCCGCGGCCACCACGTACGACTGGCACTCGATGGCCCGGGCACGGAGCAGGACCTGGGGGGGCACCAGAGGGGTCATTGTGGGGGAAAATGGGGGATACCGCAGGCACTCGATGGCCTGAGCATGGAGAAGGAATTGGGGGGGGGAAAAGGGGACTCTTGGAGGGGAAGATGGGGAACATGGGGGTCACTTGATGGCCTGGGCATGGAGAAGGACCTGAGGGGACATGGGGGGGCCGTGGGAGGGGAAAGGGGAGGTATGGGGGGGTACAGTGGGCACTCAGTGCCCTGGGCACAGAGCAGCACCTGAGGGGACATTGGGGGGTTCACCAGGGGGAATATGGGGGGCACTTGAGGCAGGGGACACGGGCATTTGGGGGGTCACTGGAGGGGCACAGAGGGCACCTGGGAGGACATGGGTGGGCTCACCCTGGCAGGATTTGGGGGCACTTGGGGCAGGGGACAGGGAGGGTACTGGGGGAATATGGGAGGCTGTTTACCTTGTGGGATACAGGGGGCACTCGGGGAGGTACCGGGGGGGATCCCCACTCACCTCCCAGTGGGCAGCCCCGGTGGGCACGGTGAAGGCCGAGGGATAGGCCAGGATTTGGGCCCCAGCCTCACGCAGGGCCAGCGAAAGCTCCGGGAACCGCAGGTCGTAACACACGGCCAGGCCCAGCTTTTTTTGGGAACACCAGGGGGGTCACTCGGGGTGGAGAGACCCCCAGGGACCTCCCTGGGGCGGGGGGGGAGCTGTACCTTCCCCACGGGGGTGTCCACAGGGGGCACAATGGCGGGGCCGGGGTTGGTGAAGCTGCTTTCCCGCAGGGAGACGCTGCCAGGGAGCTCCACGTCAAACAGGTGGGTCTTCCTGTATGTGGCCACCATGGCACCTGGGACAGGGAATGTTGAGAATGTTGGGGGTAAAGGGGAACATGGGGACATGCCAAGTGTTGGGAGTGTTGAGGGTAAAGGGACATCCCAGGGGTTGGGAATGTTGGGGATAAAAGGGGGTACAGGGACATCTGGAGGGTTGGGAATGTCAGTGACACGGGGATTGGGGATCTGGGGGACCCAGAGGGGACATGGGGACATCCTGAGGGTTGGCAGTGTTGGGGACAAAGGGGGTGCCAGAGGGATGTGGGGAGGGTCAGGAATGTGGAGCTCCAGGGGGTCCCACCGGAGTTGTCCAGCAGGATGTGGCAGTTGTAGATCCGGCCGGTCGTGTCCCAGTCGTGGCCGCGCTCATGGAAGCCCCCGAGGGAGAGCCACACATCACATTCCCTGGGGACACGAACGTGGGATCCCCAGCCCTTGTCCCCATCCCTGTCCCCATTCCCGTTTTTGCCCCCAGTCCCATCCCTGACCCCTGTCTTTGTCCCAAATCCTATCTCTGACTCCATTCCTGTTGTTCGCCAACTCCCAGCTGTTCCAGGTGTGTCCCCTTGTCCCCACATACCCCCAGTTACCCCCAGCACCCCTAAGGAGCCCCGTACCTGGCCAGGTGCTGGTACCTGCCCAGGGTGGGGCCGTGCAGGGGCTCTGCCAGGCTCAGGCTCTGCTCGGGGCCGGTGCCGATGAAGTCGAAGCCCTCGGGCAGGAACACGAGCCGGGCCCCCCTTCCCGCCGCCTCTCGCACCAGCGCCGAGCACTGCAGCCAGTTGTGCTCCTTGTCCGGGGTCGATGTCACCTGAGCCACGGCCACCACGGCCCGGGGGGGCACCGACATGGCGGGGGGGCTGTGGGGTGGGATGGGGGTCACCACATGGGGATTGGGGCCATCTCAAACAACCTCGTGGGGATTGGAGTCACCTCTTGGGGATGGGGGTCACCCCATGGAGACAGGGGTCACCTCACAGGGCAACTTCCAAGGACCAGATCACCCCACAGGTCATCCCACAGGGACAGGGGTCACCCTCGGGTCACCCCCCACCCCCCCGGGGTCACCCCATGAGTTCCCCCCCAGTACCTGCCCGCAGTCCTGGAGCTCTGGGGGGCTCGGGGGGGTCTCAGGGGGGGTCCCAGGGGGCGGCAGCACAGCAGGGCCCGGGGGGCAGCCCTCAGCCTGGGGGGGACACCCCAAAGTGGGGAGGGGGCACAGGGATGGCATGGTGGGGTAGAACCCCCAAACTACCTCCAGACCCCCCCCAAACTGCCCCCAGTGTTCCCAGTACCCCACAAGGTCTCTCCCAGTGTTCCCAAGAACTCCCAGTCCCGTCTCAGTATCTCCCAGTCTCCTTCCAGGTCCTCCCTGTGACCCCCAAACCCCCACTCAGTGCTCCCAGTGCCCCACAAACCCCCTCCCAGTGAATTCCAAACCCTCTCCCAGTGTTCCCAGTAACCCCTTCCAATGCTCCCAGTGACCCGTCCCAGCGCTCCCAGCGCTCCCAGTGCTCCCAGTAACCCCGTCCAGTCCCTCCCAGCGCCCCCACCCCTCACATTCCCGTCCGGCCGCTCCGCGAGCAAAGTCCCCCCACGGCCCTGCCCTCACCCAACATGGCGGCGCCCAAGCCGGCCTCACCGCCAGCCTCAAACATGGCGGCGCAGGAAGCCACGCCCCCTACCCGGTCTGTCCCGGAAAGGGGGCGGGGCCTCAAGATGGCGGAGAGCGGGAAGGGCCGGGGGGGGAACCCGGGAACGGGAAAAGGGCTGAGCCCTGAACAGGTGAGGAGAGTGAGGGGAAATGGGGATGTGAGGGGACAGGGCTGAGCCCTGAGAAGGTGAGGGGAGTGTGGGGAAAATGGGCATGTGAGGAGAAAATGGGGTATGAGAGGGGAATGGGGGTGTGAGGCGTCACCTGTGCCCCCAGTGGGGGTGTCCCCTATCCCAGGGGGTCCCACCCCAATTCTGGGGGTCTCCTTGTGCTCCCAATGGGATCCCATCCCAATCCCCACCCCAGGGGTGTCCCTGCGCTGCCAGTGGGATCCCACCCCCATCCCAGTGTTCCCACCCCGATTTACCCCCCCGGGGGTCTGTCTCCCTGTGCCCCCTGTCGCAGGTGGTGTCCCGCTTTAACCGGCTCCGGCAGGACCAGCGGGGTTTGGCCTCCAAAGCGGCCGAGCTGGAGCTGGAGCTCAACGAACACAGGTGGGTCGGGGGGGGGGGTCGTTCTTGGGAGGGTTTTGGGGGGTCCCTGAGCCCCCCTGACCCCCCAACCCCCCCAGTCTGGTCATCGAGACCCTGCGGGAGGTGGATCCCACTCGGAAGTGCTTCCGCATGGTCGGGGGGGTCCTGGTGGAAAGGACGGTCAAGGAGGTGCTGCCGGCCCTGGAGAGCAACAAGGAGCAGGTGAGGGGGGTGGGACCCCCAAAAACCCCTTTGGGACCCCCCAAAAATCATCTGGGAACCCCCAGAGAAACAAGGAGCAGGTGAGGGGGGTCTGGGACCCCCCAGAAACCTCTTTGAGACCCCCCCCCAAAAATCATCTGGGAACCCCTGAAATCCCCCAGAGCAACCAGGAGCAGGTGAAGGGGGCTGGGGACAGTTTGGGGGTCTCACCTGGGGCACTGCCCTGCTCCCAGCCCCCCAAGACTGCCCCCGGAACCCCCAATACCCCTCAAACTGCCCCTGGTGAGATCCCAAACTGTCCCCAGCACCCCCAAACCCTTCCAACCCCCCAAAAGTACCCCACTGACCCTCCAACACCCACAAAACTGCCCCAGGTGAGACCCCAAACTGCCCCCCGCACCCCCAAATTGCCCCCAGGTCCTCCCAGACTGCCCTCAGCACCCCCAAACTGTCTCCAGTCCCCCCAGACCGCCCCCAGCCCTCCTAAACTTCCCCCAGCCCCCTCAAACTTCCCCCAGCCCCCCAGACTGCCCCCTGCTCCCCTAAAACTGCTCCGAGCACCCCCTAAACCACTTCCAGCACCCCAAAGTGCCCCCAGCCCCCCCTGAGCCAGTGCCCCTGCCGTTTTTCCCAGATTTCCAAGCTGATCGAGGCCCTGGCCCAGCAGCTCCAGGCCAAGGGCCGGGAACTCAACGAGTTCCGGGAGCGGCACAACATCCGCCTGGTGGGAGAGGAGGAGCCCAAAGGGCCCCCCCGGGACGGCCCCGAGGGGGGCAAGGGGGGCTCCACGGGGGTCCTGGTCTCCTGACCCCCCCCTCCCCCGGCAGTCCCGGAATTCCCCCCGGAATCGCCGAATTCCCCCCGGATTTGCTGTTGTTCCCTCGGGTTTGGGTAAATAAAGGTGGATTTGGGACGAGTTTTGGGTGGTTGTTTGTTAAGAGGGGGATGGGGAAGGGGGGACAGGACTGACCTCCCCCCACCCCCAAAGGGTGGAAATGCCAAGGGGGGACCCCAAAATGAGGGGGAGGGACCCCAGAAAGGAGGGGGTGGATCTCACAATGGGGGAGGTGGATAGACCCAAAAATGGGGGAGAGACCCCAAAATAGGGGCATGGGACCCCAAACTGTGTCTGTGACACCCCAAGAAGCAGAGCCAGAGGACGAAGGGGGGTGACAAGGACAGCAGGGCTGTGTCCCCAGCACCCTGAGCCAGGACCAGCTCGGCACGTGCCGGCGCGTGCCGGTGTCACCCGGTGTCACCCAGGGGTGGGGACACGGCTGCCACTGCACGCAGGACACACCTGTGGTGGCACCTGGCCCAAGACCTGGCTGGTGCCACCTGGGAGGGGGGAAGGGCATGACAGGGCTGTTACCTGGCTGGTGTCACCCCAGTGTCGCCTGGGAAGGGGGGAGGACAGGACTGGCACCTGTCCAGTGTCACCTGGAGGAGGGGGACAGGGCTGTCATCTGTGCAATGTCACCTTGGTGTCCCCGGGGTGGGGCCTGGGCTGTTGACAGTACACAGTGACACCTGCGGTGTGCCCTGTCCCCAGCCCCAGCCGGTTGTTGCCGGCCCCCATGGCCATTTAACGGCGGTGCCACCGTGGGGACAGTGCTGGGACACCATGGAGGGGACCCGGGGGACGCGGCTGGAGGAACTCGAGAGGGAGAGCCTGGTGGGAGCTGTCCATGGGGTGTCAGGGCCGGGTAGGACACAGGGACATTGTGGGGACACCTTGGGGACATCGTGGGGACACCCCAGAGACACCCTGGGGACACCCAGGGGTAGGGACCCCAATGGCCCTTTGTGGCACTAAAATGGGGACAGGGGAGGGGCAGGTGAGGGGGAGCACCCAGAGAGGGGACCCCCGGGGCTGGAATGGGGACAGGGGACTCCCGGGGGGGAGATGGCCCTGGGGCAGGGTCGGGGTGACAGTGGCCTGTCCCCCTGTCCCCGCAGTGGTGACAGCCACGCGCATGGCGGGCGCGGCCATGTACGAGCTGGTGCGGGTGGGACACGCGGAGCTGGTGGGGGAGATCATCCGGCTCGAGGGGGACATGGCCACGCTCCAGGTGTACGAGGAGACCTGTATCCTGCCACTGTCCCCTCCCTGCTGTCCCCTCCCTGTCCTCCCCATCCCGTGTTCCCTCCTTGTCCCCCTACCCTGCCCTGTCCCCTTCCTGTCCCTCCAGCCTCCCATCTTTTCCTCATCCACCCAGCCCCTCTGTCCCCTCCTCCTCCCATCCCATCCTGCCCCCCCATCCCCGCAGTCCCCTCGATGTCGCCTGCCCTCGGTGACATTTCCTGAGCGGGTGTGCCAGCGGGGGTGCAGGTTGGGGACCCAGTGCTGCGCACGGGGAAGCCGCTCTCGGTGGAGCTGGGCCCAGGAATTTTGGGATCCATTTTCGACGGGATCCAGCGGCCACTGCGCGACATCGCCGAGGCCACGCGGAGCATTTACATCCCCCGGGGCACCAACGTCCCTGCACTGCCGCGACACCTCACCTGGGACTTTGTCCCCAGCAAGGACATTAGGGTGTGTCACCCCCGGGCCCCCTGTCCCCGTATCGATTCTCTATCCCCTAGACCTTCTCTCCCCTCCCCATCCCTTCCAAACTGTCCCCCCAGATCCTCTACCCCTGTCCTGTACCCTCCCTGTCCCAGCAGACTGGCTGTCAGGGACATGGGGCACATGGGGACATTGGGGGATGCAGGGGATATGGGGACACAGGGACATGGGGAATGTGGGGACATTGGGGGATACAAACACGGGATGTGGGAACATGGGGGATGTGGGGACATGGGGGACATTGGGAACACGGGGACACTGGGGGACATTGGAGAACACGGGACATGGGAACACGGGGGACACTGGGGGACATTGGAGAACACGGGACATGGGAACACGGGGGACACTGGGGGACATTGGAGAACACGGGACATGGGAACACGGGGACGTGTTCCCAACAGAGGGCGACACTGAGCACACAGGGATATGGGAGACACGGGGGCCGTGGGGGACACGGGGTCCCGGTGACACGGGGACGCCCCTTCTCGGCTTCCCCCCCGGGAGGCGACAGAGCCTGTCCGGGGGTCCCTCACGGTTGTCCCTGCGCCAGGTCGGGAGTCACGTGACGGGAGGGGACATTTACGGGACGGTGCCCGAGAACTCTCTGCTGCAGCACCGGCTCATGGTCCCCCCCCGCAGCCGCGGCACCGTCACTTATGTCGCGCCCCCTGGCAACTACAGCGTGACGGTGAGCGGGATCGGGGGATTGAGATCGGGACGGGGGGGATGCGCTGTTCCCGCAGGGTTCGGGATTGGCAGGCGAGGGGTGTCGGGGAGCGGCTCATCCCTCGTTGCCGTTCCCGCAGGACGTGGTACTGGAGCTGGAATTCCAGGGGCTCCGGGAGCAGCTCTCCATGCTCCAGGTGTGGCCCGTCCGGCAGGTCCGGCCCGTGGCCGAGAAGCTCCCGGCGAACAACCCACTGCTCACGGGACAGAGAGTCCTGGACGCGCTCTTCCCGTAGGAGCCGAGCGGGAGCGGGATTGGGATCTGGGGGATGCGCTGTTCCCGTAGGGAGCGGGAACGGGATCGGGATTGAGGGCGTGCACCTTTCGCGTAGAGATTAGGATTGGGGTCGGGGGGGTCCGCTGTTCCTGTAGGGATCGGGAGAGGGGTCGGGGGGCGAGCGCTGTTCCTGTAGAGATAGTGAGAGATTGGGATCGTGGGGGATTTTGGGGATGCGTTGTTCCCACTGATTGGGATCAGGATCGGGGGTGGGGGGCGTGCGCTGTTCCCATCGGGATTGGGGTCGGGGGAGTGTATTGGAACTGAGGACAGGGATGGGGACAGGGGATGTGGAACAGGGACAGGAGGGGGTTGGTGACAGGACGGGGGTGTTGATGAGGACGGGAATGGGGGCAGGGACAGGGTGGTGACAGGGGTCCCACCACCCCCATGTCCCCCCCGTGTCCCTGTCCCCAGGTGTGTCCAGGGGGGCACCACGGCCATCCCGGGCGCCTTCGGCTGCGGGAAAACCGTCATCTCCCAATCCCTGTCCAAGTATTCCAACAGTGACGTCATCGTGTACGTGGGGTGCGGGGAGCGAGGGAACGAGATGTCCGAGGTTCTCAGGGACTTCCCCGAGGTGCGACAGCGAGGGGGAACACAGGGGAACGGAGGGGGCAGGGGGTGACAGGGAGGTGACAGTGTCCCCCTGTCCCCAGTTGACCATGGAGGTGGACAGGGGTGACAGGAGGTGACGGAGGTAGACCCAGGTGACCTGGGTGTCCCTGTCCCCAGCTGACCATGGAGGTGGGCGGCCGGACCGAGTCCATCATGAAGCGCACAGCACTCGTGGCCAACACGTCCAACATGCCTGTGGCTGCCAGGGAGGCCTCCATATACACGGGTGGGCACTGGGGGGGCACCAGGGATGGGAGTGGGCATTTGGTGAGGGGGGACACCTGGGGGATGAAGGGGCACCTGGTGAGGTGGGAATGGGTGGGGGTGGGAATTGGCACATGGGGAGAATGGGAGGGCATCGGGGAGGGGGCTGAGGGGGCACCTGGGAGAGTGTGCAAGGACTCACCTGTCTGTGCGTGTGAGCCCTCTGTGCCCACTCCCACCCTTCCATGCCCTGGGGGGGGGGTGCCATGATGGGGTCACTGTGCCCCCCAGGGTGTGACCCTTGTGTTTGCAGGGATCACCCTGTCCGAGTATTTCAGGGATATGGGGTTCCACAGCTGCCTCCTGGCAGACTCCACATCCCGCTGGGCAGAGGCCCTCAGGGAGATCTCAGGGCGCCTGGCAGAGATGCCTGCAGGTGAGACCCCAAAATCTGGGACTGGGGGGGTATGGGGATGTGGGAAACCCCAAATTCTGGGATATGGGAGCAATGGGGCCATGGGAACCTCCAAATCTGGGTTATAGGGGGAATGGGAACATGGGAAACCCTAAACCTGGGATATGGGGGAGACAGGACTCCAGGAGATCTCAGGGCCCCTGGTAGAGATGCCTGTGGGGGAGACCCCAAAATATGGATATGGGGGGGGGAAATGGGGCCCAAGGTCATGGGGTGGGGCTGGGGAGCCCCAAATCCTGGACACGGGGGGAATGGGTCCATGGGAAATCCCAAATCTGGATAGGGGGAAATGGGAACAGCAGGTACCTCTTTGAGCGTCAGGGACCCCCTTGGGTGATAGGAGACCCCCTTTGGGTGTCAGGGGACCCCCATGTGACCAGGGTGGCCCCGGAGACAGCAGGTACCCCTTTGGGTGTTGGGAACACCCTGTGTGTGACAGGGTGCCCCCGTGGGTATCGGGGGTACCCCCTGGTGACGGGTGCCTCTGCAGACAGCGGGTACCCCGCATACCTGGGTGCCCGCCTGGCCTCGTTCTACGAGCGGGCAGGGCGGGCACGGTGCCTCGGGACCCCCTCCCGCGAGGGCAGCGTCAGCATCGTCGGAGCGTGAGTGTGGGGAGGGGGCTCCGGGAGGGAGGGGGACCCCCCAAAGGACCCTTCCCCCGCCCACCCCCCTCTCCCACCTCTGTCACCCACAGCGTGTCCCCACCTGGAGGGGATTTCTCGGACCCCGTGACCTCGGCCACTCTCGGCATCGTGCAGGTTGGGGGGCATTGGGGGGACATGGGGGGGCAGTGACACTCGGGGAGGGATGTGGGGGGACATGGGGGGACGGGGGCATGGAGGGGACATGGGGACACTCTGGGGGGACGTGACGGGGAAAGGGACATTCTGGGGGGGACATGGAGGGGGACAGAGACACTCTGCTGGGGACAGGGAGGGACAGTGACCCCTGAGTGTGCCATGGAGACACCCTGGGTGGGGTCACAGGGGTGATAGGGACCCCTGAGGGTGTCACCCCCCCGGAATTCCCAAATTTCAGGTGTTCTGGGGGCTGGACAAGAAGCTGGCCCAGCGGAAGCACTTCCCGTCTGTGAACTGGCTCATCAGCTACTCACGGTACCTGCGGGCGCTGGAGCCGCACTATGAGCGGCTCCATCCCGAATTCCCAAACCTCCGCAACCGCGCCCGGCAGATCCTGCAGGAGGAGGAGGAGCTGGCCGAGATTGTGCAGCTCGTGGGGAAGGTGGGAGTGGGATATGGGATATGGGATTTGGGATATGGGGTGTGGGATTGGGATATGGGATATTTGTTATGGGATATGGGGTGTGGGATGTGGGGTGTGGGATACGGGACCTGGGATATGGGGTGTGAGGTATGGGATGTGGGATATGGGGTGTGAGATCCAGGATCTGGGATCTGGAAGGGAATGGGACCAGGGGTCCTGGCCTAAGCATGTGACAGGACCCCATCCCCCGTGTCCCCCCCAGGCGTCCCTGGCCGAGGGGGACAAAGTGACCCTGGAAGTGGCCAAACTGCTCAAGGATGATTTCCTGCAGCAGAACGGCTACTCCTCCTATGACAGGTACTGGGGACCCCCTCGGGACCCCCTCAAATCCTGACCCCAACCCTGACCTCCCCAATCCCCCCCACTCTGACTCCTTTGGACCCCCCTAAACCCCCAAACTCCCCTTGCTGCCCCCCAACCCCTCCCCAGGTTCTGCCTGTTCTACAAGACCTTGGGGGTGTTGCACCCTGCCCCCCCGACTCCCCTGGTCGCCCTGGGTCCCCCCGAACCCTCCTGACCCCCCTGGGCCCTGGCCAGGTTCTGCCCGTTCTACAAGACCGTGGGGATGCTGCAGAACATGGTGACCTTCTATGACCTGGCCCGGGGGGCCGTGGAGGCCCCCGGGGGAGCCGAGGACCACCGGGTCACCTGGGCCACCATCCGGGAGGGGCTCGGGGACATCCTGTACCGCCTCAGCGCCATGAAGTTCAAGGTGGGGGGGCACGGAGGGTGAGACCCCCTGGGGGGGTCCTGGGTGGGCGGAGTCACTGTGGGGGGGAGTTGAGACCCTACTGGGGGAGTCCCACGCGAAGGTCAAGGTGGGTGTCGTGGGGGGGCTGCGACCCCATAGGGGGGTCCCAGAGGAAGATCAAAGTGTGGGGGTCGGGAGGGTCAAGACCCCCGCTGTGTATGGTCCCACATGCAGTTCAAGGTGAGGGGTGTCCTGGGGGTGTGACCATCCCCCGTGGGTGTGCAGGGGTGACCTCCCATCCCCCCCCCCGCCCCCAGGACCCCGTGAAGGACGGCGAGTCCCAGATCCTGGCGTCCTTCGCACAGCTCCACGAGGACATGACCGCGGCCTTCCGAAACCTGGAGGACTAAGGGGGTGCAGGATGGGGGGTCCCCCGGGGTCCCCTCTGTCCCCCAATAAAGGCCTCAAGGTGACAATGTGGGCTCCGAGTGCAGCTTCCCCACTGAGGGCAGTCACCCCCCGCCTCCACCACACGGGGTGGCTCTAGGGGGGACAGGAGGTGACAGGGACACCCTGGGGGGACATGGAGACACCTTGGAGGTGACAGGGACACCTTTAGGGGAGATGTCTCCATTGTCTCTGTCCCTGTCCATGTCCCTGCCCCTGTCCCTGAGCTGCACTGGGGACGGTCCCCGAGTGTGACGGTGACAGTCCCTCACAGTGTTCCCCGTGACTGTGGGACAGGGACAGTCCCCACAGTGCCTGGTGCCACCACGAGTCGGTGCCAGTGTCACCTGTCCCCATAGTTCCCAGTGCCACCCCGGTTGGTGCCAATGTTGCTCCCCACGGTCCCCAGAGCCACCGTGGGTGTGTGCCAGTGTCACCTGTCCATGGGGTCCCCAGTGCCACAACGGGTGTGCCCAGCCCTGGTGACAGACCCCGTTGTCCCCAGGCCCTGATGACCCCTCGGGGGGGTGCACACTGTGCCCCTGCCCCCATGGCAGCTGTGCCCAGGCCAAGACCACTCTGGATGCCACTGTCACCCCAGGGTGCCACTGTCACCCCGCTGGCCCAGCTTGTGGCTGTGCGCTGGCACTTCTGGGGGGTCCCCGCGGGCATGGGGGTCCTCGTGTGTGGCCAGGGCCAGGGACCCCCCCTCTGCCACCCCAGCTACGGGCACTGGGCCACCCTGGGGGGCTGGGAGGACCCCCCGGGGTGCTGCTGCTGCGGGAGGTGCGTGGTGAGGACAGGGGTCCCACATGTGTGGGCTGCTGTGGAGGGGGACTGCGCCCCCGGGGGGGTCACCCTGAGCATGGGCAACCTGGACACCCCCGGTCCAGCGCTGGGAACCCACGAGACCCCCCGCCTGACACTGGGAACCGGTGAGACCCCCCCCGGGACCCCACTGCCCCCTCGGGGGGTGGCCCCGGTCATGTCCTCTCCCCCCCCTCCTGCAATGTCACCCGCCCGGGGACACTTTTGCCACCTCAGCACCCAGAGCCTTCCCCCATTGTGTCCCCAACAATGGCGGTGCCACCACGTGCCCAGGGGGCCCTGTCCCCTGCGGGGGGGCACAGGAGGGACACGGGAACACAGGGGACAGAGGGACACAGGGACAGGTGGCCATGGGGCACCTGGACAGCGGGTGCTGAAGGTGGGTGAGTGTCCGGGGGGTCTGTCCCCAGTGTCCCCTCCCCCCGTCCCCACGGTTCCACCTCCACTCCAGAGGTCCCTGGTGTCCCCAGAGCTGCCACCCCCCTGATAGCCTCTTCCCCAGAGATGTCCCCATGGGTGTCCCCAACGTCCCCAGAGATACCACCCCTTGGTCCCCCCCTTTCCCCATGATTGTCCTGCAGGTGCCACCCCTGGGTACCCCCATGGCCCCAGAGATGTCCCCACGGGTGTCCCCATGTCCCCACAAATGCGATCCCCAGGTATTCCCATGTCCCTGCTGCTGTCCCGACCACTGTCCACACACTGTCCCCATGACCCTGTCAGTGTCCCCACAACTGTCCCTGTGTTATGTCCCGAGAGATGTCCCCGTGTTTGTCCACGTCTCCAGCGCTGTCCCCATGCTGCCCACCTGTCCCTGTCCCTGTGTCCCTGTCCCTGTGTCCCCTCACTGTCCCCACGCTGTCTGTGTCCCTGCAGGGATGCCAGCGGGCGGGGGGCTGCTGTGCGGGGCCAGTGGCCTGGCCCTGCTGGTGGCCGCCACCGCCACCCACTTCTGGGTGCAGCGGCGGGCACCGGGGGGCACGGCCAGCCTGGGGCTGTGGCACGGCTGCCTGGGGGGACAGTGCCACCCCCACACCACCACCCTGGGTACGCCACGGGGGGACAAGGCGGGCGGGGGGCAAGGGGGAAGCTGGGTGGGGGGTCACTGTTGGGCTGAGCTGGGGGGACTGAGGGGTCATCGGTGTGCTGAGCTGTGCCCGGGCTCTGCAGGGGGTGGGAATGAGGGTCTCATGGGGGGGAATTGGGAGGGTCATCAGTGTGCTGAGCTGTGCCCGGGCTCTGCAGGGGGAGAACTGGGGGGTCAGGGGTGCCCGGGCTCTGCAGGGATGGATGGGGGTGTCACCCCTGTGTGTCCCTGTGGTGTAACCAAACCCCATGTCCCCCCCAGTCCCCCTGGAGGCCACGCGGGTGCTGATGCTGCTCTCGGTGGTTGCTGCCGTGGCCGGGCTCGCCCTGGGAGTGTCTGTGATGGCCCCCGGGGGCCAGCGGGTGCGTGCCCGCGTGGCCGGGGGGGCCCTGCTGCTCGCGGGTATGTGAGGACGGCACTGGGGGGTGCAGGGTGGGCACAGGTATCGTGGGGGTGGGTACCAGGGTGGTCACTACTGTGCTGAGCTGTGCCTGGGCTCTGCAGGCTGGAAATTGGGGTGCCATCACTGCACTGAGCTGTGCCCGGGCTCTGCAGGGTGGGAAGTGGGGTGCCATCAGTGCACTGAGCTGTGCCCGGGCTCTGCTGTGCAGGAATTGGGGTGCCATCAGTGCTCTGAGCTGTGCCTGGGCTCTGGCAGCCCCTGGGCCGTGCCCTGACCCCTCGCTGTGCCCCCCAGGGCTGCTGGCACTGCTGGGGCTGGGGGTGTTCTCGGCAGGCACCCTGAGCCTGCCGGGGCCAGCCCAGAATTCCTGGAGCTTCTCCTGGTCCTACATCCTGGGCTGGGTCAGCGTCGTCCTCATCGGCTCTGCAGGTACAGGGGGGCCGCTCACTGCTGTGCTGAGCTGTGCCCGGGCTCTGCAGGGCAGGAGTTGGGGGTCAGGGGGGTGCCCACCCACGGCTCTCCCTCTTTGTCCCCCCCCAGGGCTTTTCCACCTCTGTGCCACCTCCAAGGAGCCCTCCCCAGAGAGCTCGGAAGCTGCGGGTTCCTGAAGGGTCCCGGGGGTCTTGTGGGAGGTCCCTGAGCCCCCCCAGGGCCCCCTCCGGTGTGGGTCACGGGTGTGATGAGCTGGGCCAGGTCTCGGCTGTGTCCCCACCCCCTCGATTTTTGCTGTGCCAATAAACGGCCCCCTCCCCTCCACACTGCGGGGTCCCTGGTGGTGTCCAGTGGGATGTGGGGATCTAAATTTGGGGGGGGGGGTTAGGGTTAATGGGAAGCATTGGCGGCGGCACTGGGAGCACTGGGAGGGGCACTAGGAGGCATAGGGGGGTCACTGGGAGCACCGGGGGGTACTGGGAGCACTGGGATGGGCACACGGAGGCACACAGGGGGTCACTGGGAGGCACTGGGAGGCACAGGAGGGTTACTGGGAGCACTGGGAAGGGCACTGGGGGATACAGGGAGCACTGGGAGGCACTGAGAGGCACGGGGGACACTGGGAGCACTGAGGGGTACTGGAAGGCACAAGGGGGTCACTGGGAGTACTGGAGAGGGGCACTGGGAGGCACTGGGAGAACCGGCGGGGGCACTGAGAGGGGTACAGGTGTATTCCCACTACCCCCCCCGCCGCCTTGGCCCCTTTAAGGCCGCGCCCTCGGCCCCGCCCCTGCCCCGACCTGCCCGACCGGTCCGGCCACGCCCGGCCACGCCCCGCGGCCACGCCCCACCCGGCCACGCCCCCCGCACATCGAGACACGCCCCTGTCCCGTCCCGTCCCGTCCCGTCCCGGAGAAACACCGGCCCCGCCACCACCCCGGACCCGCTGCCCCCGGCCCGGACCCCCGGTGCGTCCCAGAGGGTCCCGGTGGCTGCCGGTACCCCCCGGTGCGTCCCGGTGCCCCCCGCCGAGGCTCAGCCCAGGTGGTCCCGGAGGGTCCCGGTGCCCCCGGTGGGTCCCGGTGCCCCCCCGGAGGGTCCCGGTGCGGCCCGGATGGTGCTGGCCGGGGGCCGAGCCGCGCCGTGAGCTCCGCATGGACCCCCGCGGGATGCGGCCCCCGCCCCCTCTCTTCTTCCTCACCTTCCTCCTCGCCGCTACCGGTAAGTCACGGCTGGGACGGGACACGGCGGGGGACACGGAGAGGGGACAGGGACCGCCTGCCCCGCGCTGGGACATGAACCGGGGGTGGGGAGGGGGCGGCTGCGGCTCCCACGGGCGGGGGGGACACGGGCACCGGTGCTTCGGGGACCGGGCGTGCCGGTTCCCACGCTGGTAGAGGGTGGGGGGGCACGGGGGCACGAGCGGCTCCCACGGCGCAGGGGGCGAAACTGGGATGGGGAGGGGAGCGAGGAACTGAAACTGAGGGCGGGAGCGAGGGCAGCGGCAGCGGGACCGGAGAGGGGGACCCACGCGCGTGCACGCGGGGGGGTTGTGAGCGCGCACACGCGTGTGTGTGTGTGTACGTGTGCGCGCTCGCGTGTGCACCTGCGGCCCCGCGCACCGGTGCCCGCGTGTCCGTGGATTCGTGCGCGTGTCCGTGGGTCTGTCCCCGCGTCCGTGGGTCTGCCCGCGCCATGCCCCGGGCGTTGCGCCGCGGGCGCTTTACACGCGAGTGCACGCGCACTCACCTGCGCGCGTGCTCGTGGGGGCGCAACTGCGCCTCGCGTGGGCCCCCTCCTCCCCCTCTCCCACCTTTCGTGGGAACGCGCACCCCTCCTGGGGACACCACCGTGGGAACGGGGACAGCGCGCAGCCCCGCCCCCTCCCCATTGTCGTGTGTGTCCCCCCCACGCTTTGGGGGTTGCTGTCCCACGCGGAGTGGGGGCCAGTTGCACCCACGTAGCGACGGGGGTCCCGCACCCTGCCCCGCTCCCCCCGCCGTGCCTCAGTTTCCCCGCAGCACCCGTGGGAACAGGCTGGTGCCCTCCCCAACTCCCCCCAGGGAGCCACCGGCTTTACTTTGGGAGGTGCTGACCCCCTCCTCACGCGTGACTCGCACCCCATGGGGGACTTCGTGCTGCGAGGGGGGGGGCCCGCGCCCACCAGCGCGTGTCAGACCCACACCCTCTGAGAGAGGGGAGTTTGCACGCGCGTGTGCAAGCTGTGGGTCCCCAGGTGACGAGGGACCTGCGTGAATATCCCCCCCGTGGCGTGGTGGGGAGGTCGACCACACACGTGTGTCACCCATTGGGGCAAGAACGCACACGAGGATCCCCCGCACGCACTGCGGAGCCGCGCGGGGCTGTGCACGTTCCTGAGCCCCCCACCCTGGAGAGACCACCCCGGGACACCCCCCCGGAACCCCCTTGTACCGTCCCCCCCCCGCGTGCGCGCGGCCGGGGCGTGGGGGCCGCGGGAGCCGGTTCAGCCGGTTCCCGGCTCCGGTTCCCACGCGCTCGGGCCCCGCTGGGTGGGGACGCCCCGGGGCAGGAACCTCCCCACGGCATCCCAGCAACACCCCCGCCCCGCCATGGGCACCGCGACCCCCGCGGGACCCCCTCGGGACCCCCGCGGGACTCCCACGGGACCCCCCATTCCCCGTGGGAGCGAGTCCGCGCCCGGGGAAACTGAGGCACGGAGGGGCGGGGGACTCCGCGCGGGGGGGAGCTGCGCCGCAATTAACGAAGGGATTAATGGGTCAGGGGGTAATTGGGGAGGGGGTTGCATCGTGGGGGGCTTTCCGGGGCGGCCCTGGGGGCTCGGCGGGGGCGGGAGCGCGGAAGCCGCGCGGGCCGGTCGGGCTGGACAGGCCGGCCCGGCCGCTTCTCGCGGCGGCGGTGGCGGCGGCGGGGCGGGACCCGCCCCCGGACCCCGCCCCTCCCAAATCTGCACCCCACACCCCGGGCCGGGCCCCCAAACTCACACCGGCACCTCCAAGCAGCCCCCAACATCTGCACCCCAAATCCTGCATCCCAAACCCATTCCCCCACCTCCCACCCTAAACCACCCCAGGCAGCCCCTGTACCCCAGCCCCAAATCTGCACCCTGCCCCCACCCAGCCCCTGCACCTGAACCCCACACCGCAAATCCTGCACCAAAAATCCCACCCTCAAACCTGCACCCTAAATCCTGCGCCCCAAACTTGCACCTCCACCCCCAGCCAGCTGCCTGCACCCGCATCCCAAATCCTGCAGCCAAACCTAGACCCCTCCCCAGCCAGCCCCCTGTATCACCCCCCCACCTCGAACCCCACCCAGCACCCCCACACCCCCAATCTGCATCCCACCCTCCCAAACCCTGCACCCTCCACCCCCAAACACACAATGACACCCCCAACCCTGACACCCCCCACCCTAAACCTGCAGCCCCTCAGCACCCCAAACCCCACCCAACCCTCTCGCCCCCCTCAACCTGCATCCCATCCTGCCCAGGTGTGTCCAGGTGTGTGTGAGCACTTGCCCAGGTGTGTGTGAGTGCCAGCCCAACTGTACCCAGGTGTGTGTGGGTACAGGCACAGGTGTGTGTGAGCACCTGCCCAGCTGTGCCCAGGTGTGTGTGAGTATGGGCACAGGTGTGTGTGAGCACCTGCCATCTGTGCCCAGGTGTGCCCAGGTGCATGTGAGTGCCTCCATCCCATGTGCTCCCACCTCCCTGCACACCTCATGTCACAGCTGGTGCCCACAGACATGGGGGTGTCCCAGAGCCACCCCCACGCTCAGCCCCACACGCAGGGGGTGGCACGGGGGGCACATGGAGGTGACACATCCCCGTACCCACCCTGTCCGCCCTCCATGTCCCCCTAGGTGCCACGGGGGCTGTGTGGAGGTGCCACATCCCTGTGCCCACCCTATGCCCACCCTGTCCCCCCATGTCCCTGCAGGTGCCAGGGGGGGCCGTGTGGAGGTGCCCCGCAGCGTGACGGCGGTGCTGGGGCAGGACGTGGTGCTGCCGTGCCGGTACCGGGCGCAGGAGCAGGAGCAGGTGGTGCAGGTGACGTGGCTGAAGCGCGTCCCGGGCGCGGTGCCCGCCGAGGTGGCCGTGTTGAACCTGCAGCACGGCGAGCACGTGCTGGAGTCCTTCGCCGGGCGCGTCCTGCGCCATGGGCACGGCGCCCTCGAGGACGGGGCCATCCTCCTGCGCAACGCCGTGCAGGGCGACGAGGGCGACTATGAGTGCCACCTCATCACCTTCCCCATGGGCAACTTCGAGGGCCACCTCACCCTCAGGGTGCTGGGTGAGGCATGGGGTACTGGGGGTGGTGGGCATAGGGTGGTGGGCAAGGAGCAAAGGTTATGGGATGGCGGACATGGGCTGGGGGGGAGAGGGCCACGGGCACAGTGTGGTGGGCGAGCGGAGCCGGGCAAGGAGTGGTGGGCCATGGGTGGGGATGCCAGTCCCCCAGCGAGCCACGCCTGTACCAGCGCTCTCACCACTGGGTCTCTCTGCTCTGCCCCCTCCCAGTGCCACCCCTGCCCATCCTGAACCCGGGCCCACCGCTGGAGGAGGGGCAGGGCCGCACACTGGCGGCCTCGTGCACGGCTGAGGGCAGCCCGGTGCCCTCGGTGCGCTGGGAGACCGAGGTGCGGGGCACCAACGCCACGCGGCACTCGGCGCACGCCCGCTCCGCCTCCGTCACCAGCGAGTTCTTCCTCGTGCCGGGGCGCAGCATGAATGGCAAGAGCCTCACGTGCGTGGTGGAACACCCAGGGCTGCGCCACGAGAAGAGGATCACCCACACGCTCAGCGTCGCCTGTGCGGGCACCGGGCACGGGGGGAGAAGGGGGTGTGGGGGTGGTGGGGGTGGGGTGGGTACTGGGCATGTGGAGGGTGGTGGAAACATGGGGGGCACTGGGGATGTGGAGGGCATTGGAGACATGGGGGACACTGAAGGATTTGAAGGACATTGGGGACATGGAGGCTGTTGGGGACATTGTGGGCACGGGGGGCATGGAGAGCGATGGTGACATTTGGGGACATGGAGACCTCGGGAGGCACTGGGGACATGAGGGGCACTGGGCAGGTGGCACATGAAGGACATGGGTGCCATTGGGGGCTGTGGGGGACACAGGGTAAGTTGAAGACTTTGGTGTGGAGGACCTTGGGGACATGGAGGACGGGGCTTGGGGACACAGCAATGCTGGGGATGAAGGACAAAGGGGGACAGCAGGGCCATGGGGGCACAGTGGGATCATGGGGCCTGTCCCCTGGCTGTCCCCTGACTGTCCCTGTGTCCCCAGACCTGTCGGATGCATCAGTGCTGGGCCACACGGCCGAGTGGCAGGAGGGGATGGAAGGGGCAGCCCTGACCTGCCTGGGGGACGGTAACCCTCCCCCCACCTACAACTGGACACGGTGAGGACACTGTCCCCTGCCCTGTCACCTCCCCATGTCCCCCAGGCATGGCTGTGGCCCTGCCAGGGGTTGGAGCATGTTCATGTCCCTGCTGTGTCCCTGCTGTCCCCCCCGCCCCAGCTCTGTCCCCTGCATGTCCCCCTGTCCCTGCCATGTCCCCTGTCCCTGCCGTGTCCCTCTGTCCCTTCCATGTCCCCCTGCCCATGTCCCTGCCCTGTCCCCCTGCCCTGTCCCCCCTCTGTTCCCCTGTCCCCATACCCATGTCCCCAACCCCTCCCATGTCCCCATACCCATGTCCCCAACCCCTCCCATGTCCCCATACCCATGTCCTCGCCGCATCCCCCCATCCCCACCCCCCCATCCCTGTCCACCCTACGGTGCTCGGACAGGCCCTGCCGGTGCCGGCACTCGGGCGTCACCCATGGGAACACGGCGGCAAAGCTGGGCTGCGATGACACCGCAGCCACTGCCGGGGGCTGAACCGGTGCCCCCCGTGCCCCCCTGCAGGGTGGACGCGCCGCTGCCCGCAGGGGTGCGGGTGAAGGGGGACACGCTGCTGTTCCAGCGGCCCCTCACTGCTGCCGACGCCGGCGACTACGTGTGCAGGGTGGCCAACAGGGTGGCTGCCAAGGAGGCCCGGGCCAATGTCAGCATCAGGGGCAGGGCCACAGGTGAGGGCACCGAGAGGGGGGTCAAAGGGGCGGGGGGCAGTGCCTGGGCTGTTTCTCCAGCTGTCGGTCTGTGTGTCCAACCACTCATCTGGTTTGATGGCCATCTGTCCATCCATCCATCTATCCATCCATCCACCCACCCATCCATCCACAGATCCACCTGTATGTCCACCTGTCCACCCACCCACCCATCCATCCATCCATTCATCAATCCACCCATTCACCTGTCCATCCATCCATCCATCCATCCATCCATCCATCCATCCCTCCGTCCCTCCCCTTTCCCTCCTCACCCTTCCTGTGCCCCTCCCCACCCTCATCCTCCCCCTCCTCCACCCATCTATTCATCACCTACTCATCCACCCCCTCATTTACTCACCTGCCCTTCCGGCCACTCATGCTCTGCTCATCCACCCCGATCCCTCCAGTCTTTCTGTTCCTCCTCCCATCTGCCCGTCTCTCCAGCACCTCTCGCTCCACCCATCTCTCCACCCACTGTTCATCCACCCACCCATGGACTTGTCTGTCCATCCATGAGCTTGTCTGTCCAACTGTCCACCCACCCAAGGATGTGCGTGTCGGTCCATTCAACTGTGGAGGCACCCATTCATCCATCCGTCCATGGAGTTATCCATCCACCATTCATGGACATACTTGTCCATCTGTCCATCCATCTACCCGCCCATCCACGACTGTGTTTATCCTTCTCTCCATCCATCCATGGACTCCTTCCTCTGTAGGATGTCCATCCATCCATGGAGTCATCCATACATCCACTGTTCCAGTGTCCTCTCTTTGAGGTGTCCCCTCTTTGGTTTGTCCCCCCTCAACCCCTATTTGTGGTGTCCCCTTTTTGGGTGTCCCTTCTTTTGCGTGTCCCCCTGACCTCTGTTATGGGATGTCCCCTCTTTGGGGTGGTGTCCCCCCTGACCTCCCTTTGGGGTGTCTCCTTTTTCTGGCCTCTGTTGGGGTGGTGTCCCCTCTCTGGGGAGGTGTCCCCACTGACCCCCCCATTTGGGGTGTCCCCCAGAGGACCCCGTGCGCCGCGTGGACCTGGTGTCAGCCTCGGTGGTGGTGGTCGGGGTCATCGCCGCCGTCCTGCTCTGTGTCCTTGTTGTCGTCGTTGTTGTCATGACCCTCTACCACAAACGCAAGACCAAGCGCATCTCCGAGAAGTAGTAAGGGAGGGGGGACATGGGGGCAGTTGGGGGACTGGGGGATGGGGGCATGGGGGATGTGAGGGGATGTGGGGATATGGGGGATATTGGGGGTTGGGGGACATGGGGGGACTGTGGAGGGACACGGGGGACCTAGGGGAGTGTGGGGGGACACGGTGGGTGGTGCTGAACATCCCTGTGTCCCCAGTGAGGAGGAGCTGACACTGACACGGGAGAATTCCATCCGCCGGCTGCACTCCAGCCACAGCACGGACACCCGCACACAGGTGGGCACGGCGGGCACGGGAGGCCGTATTGGGGCTGGGGGGGCACCGGGGTGTGAGGAGTGGGGTGATGGGTGTCGGGGTGACCAGGGGAGGGCAGTCTTGGGGTGTCCACGGGGTCTGGGTGATGGGTCTTGGGCACTCAAGGAAGTGGGTTTGGGGTGCCCATGGGGTGCTCGTGGGGTGTCCATGGGGCTGGGCTGTGGGGTGCCTGGAGGGTGGCTGTGGGATCGGATCATGAGGTGCTCAGGGGGTGCCTGTGGGGTGTCTGTGGGGTGCCCGTGGAGTCAGGCCATGGGGTGACCATGGGATTGGGCCATGGGGTGCCCATGGGGCACCCGTGGGCACTGATGGGGCTGTCCCAGCTGGAGGAGACGCTGCAGCTGCGGGCAGAGAGTCGCCAGGGCAGCCTGAGAGGGGACAGCCTGCGAGGGGACAGCCTGCGAGGGGACAGCCTGAGAGGGGACAGCCTGAGGGGCACCAGCATCTGCTCCGCCATGGTGAGAGCTGGGAAGCATGAGGGGGGGGGCGGTGCTTCTGGTGTCCCCATGGTGCCCATGTCCTTGGTGGTATCTGTGTCCCCATTGGTCCCTGTGTCCCCATCAGTCCCCCTGTCCCCATCAATGCCCCTTTGCCCATCAGTCTCCCTGTCCCCACAAACACCCCCGTGCCCAGCAGTGCCCGGGGCCCGTCCCCGTGTCCCGGGGGTGTCCCCGCCCCTCACTGCCCCCGCCTGTCCCTTGTCGCCAGAGCGAGGAGCCCGAGGGCCGCAGTTACTCGACGCTGTCCACGGTGCGGGAGATCGAGACCCAGACGGACGTTCCGGCGGCTCCGCTGCTGCCGCCGCCCCCCGGGAAGGAGCCCAAGGAGGAGGAGGAGGACGGGGGAGGCGGCGGGGGCGGCGGGGGACCCCATCAAGCAGGCCATGACCCACTTCGTGCAGGAGAACGGGATGCTCCAGGCCAAGCCCAGCACCAACGGCATCTACATCAATGGCCGTGGGCACCTCGTGTGAGCCGGGGGGGCGGGGGGACACCCGCGGGACACCCGAGGGACGTCTGAGGATGCCCGGCCCCCACCCTCCCCCCCGGCTCTGCACACCCGCTGCTCTGGTCCCCACATGTCACCTCGCTGCTGGTGTCGGGTCAAGGACATGCACCGTACCCCGTGACGGGGCTCTGGTCCCCAAGTGACACCTCCCTGCTGGCACAGGCTTGGGGACACACGCGGTGCCCCGGGACAGGCTCCGGACCCCACGTGTCACCTTCCTGCTGGGCTGAGGTCAAGGACGGACTCTGTCACTGCTGGCACAAGGTTGGGGACCTGCACTGTGTCCTGGCATGGACTTTGGTCCCCAAGTGCCACCTCCCTGCTGGCACGGGGTCAGGGATGGACTGTGGTCCCCAAGTGTCACCCCCCTGCTGGTGTTGGCTCAAGGACGGACTTTGGTCCCCATCACTGCTGGCACTGCTAGCACACGAAGGCTCTGGTCCCCAAGTGTCACCTCCCTGCTGGAACAGCCTTGGGGACACCACTGAGCCCCAGGATGGGTTTCAGTCCCCAAGTGTCAACCCAATACCAGCACAAGGGTGGGGACAGTGACAGTGGCAGCAGCACCAAGGACTCCCCTGGAGCCACCAGACGCCTTGGGCATGGGGACCCTCCAGGACACAGGGGGACCCCCAAGGACATGGAGACCCCCCGAGGACAAGAGGACGCCCAAGGACAGTCAGAACCCCCTCCTGGGCATGGACACCCCCAAGGACGTGGGGACCCTCCAAGCACAGAGACCCCCAAGGACACAGGGACTCAAGAACATGGGGACCCTCCCAGGCATGGGGACCCCCAAGAACACAGGGAAACCCCCAAGAACAGGGGAGACCCCCAAGGACAGGCTGGGCCAGGAGCCCCCCGGGGGTCGTTCCCCCCTCCCCTCCCCAAATCCCCCTTCGGACTCTGGTGGCACTTGGGACGCTTGTGGCCCCTCCCCCTCCCGCCCCTGGCACCCCCCAAACAGCCTTGGGCCCCCCAGGGTGGGTGGGGGTCCTCGGGCCGGTCGTGTACAGTCGTGTATAGACGGGGGTCCCCCCAACCACCCTGCTGTAAATAAACCCCCCGCGGGCGCTGGGGACGTGTCGAGTGTGTTGGGGCTGGGGAGGACACGGCTGTCACACATGGGGGCAGTGGGGGGGCACCTGGGGGGGACACATGTGTGACACATGTGGGCAAGTGGGGGACTCATCTGGGTGAGTGTGTGTGTCTGACCCCAAAGCCCCCCAGACCCACCACCCCACACACATGTGCGTGTCTGTGACCCCCCAGCACCCCAGACCCGCAGTCCCACACACATGTGCATGTCTGTGACCCCCCAGCACCCCAGACCCCCGCCCCACCCCAGTGTGCGCACGCGTGGCCACCGCGCCCCGCCTGTGGTTTCAAGGCCCCGGGGAGAGGAAGCGCCTCGAGCGCAGCCACCCCTTCCTGCCACCCCCGCAGGGCTGGGGCCGGGGCTGGGGCCAGCACCCCCTCGGGGTCCCCGTGTCCCTGCCGGTGTCCCCAGGCCCGGGGCACCGTCCCCATGTCGCGGGCGCTCAAGGCTCGGCAGCGGGCGAGGCGCAAGGGCGGGGCCCGCGAGCGGCTCTTCGGCTGTGACCTGCGGGAGCACCTGCAGGGCTCGGGGCACGATGGTGAGTGTGGGGGCACCAACCCCTCGGGGGGTCCCCCGTGGTCCCCCCATCACTGCCGCCAGCTGGGAGGGGACACGGGGGACATTTCTGGGGGTTGGGGGGGTGTTGCACCATGTGGTTGCGTCACCGTCACCGGTGGGGGGGTTCAGGAAGCGTCGTGGCCGCGGGGCCTCAACGGCGGATCTGCCGGGATTTGGGGGGGTCAGAGCCATGGCCCGGCTCCAATCTCAGGAGGACACTGCAGGATTGGAGGGGCCAGGGCATGCGGGGAGTCCCCATCCCTGGGGAATCGGTGGCTCCATCCCTGGGGATTTGGTGGCCCTATCTATGGGGATTTGGTGGTTCCATCCCTGTGGAGTTGGTGGTTCCACCCATTGGGATTTGGGAGCCTCATCCCTGTGGATTCAGGGGTCCCACTGTGGAGTTGGTGACTCCATCCCTGAGGAATCAGTGGCCCCATCCCTGTGCAGTTGGTGGCCCCACGACTGGAGCAGGGACCCTGTGGGGACACCTTGGGGGGTGGCCAAGGTTCTCCCTGTCCTCTGGCTCTGGTGGGGCTGGGGCCGGGCTCAGGTGGGCACTGTGGGATCTGGGATCTGGATCCATGTCCCTCTGGGCTCTGTGGGATCCGGGATCTGGATCCACACCCCACTGGGCTCTGGCAGAGCAGGATCCCTGTCCCGCAGTGCCACAGGTGCTCCAGAGCTGCTCAGAGTTCGTGGAGCAGCACGGTGTGGTGGACGGGATCTACCGGCTCTCCGGGGTCTCCTCCAACATCCAACGGCTGCGGTGAGCGGGAATGGGATCAGGATGGGATGGGATGGATGGGATGTGTATCCGGGGTGGAGTGATCGACTTCAGAGATGGGCAGGAACGGGTGTCCGATATGGGTGTCCGGGATGGGGGGGATGGGTCCCATTCCCAGCTGGCCCAGGACATATCCCCTATATCCCATATCCCGATCCTCATCAGGAGTTTAAGGCCAAGGGTGTCCTGGACCTGGCCCGGGTCATATCCCCCGTATCCCATACATCCCCTATATCCCCTATATCCCAAAGCTCCCCTGTCCCATTTCCAGGCAGGAGTTCGAGGCCGGGGGGGTCCCGGAGCTGGCCCGGGACATTTACCTGCAGGACGTGCACTGCGTGAGCTCCCTGGCCAAGGCCTATTGCCGGGAGCTGCCCAACCCCCTCCTCACCTACCAGCTCTACGACAAGTTCGCCGTGAGTGCCACCCCCGAGCATACCCTGAGTGTCCCCTGAGTGTCCCCTGAGTGTCCCCAAAGCGTCCCCGAGTGTCCCCAAGCCCCGCTGTGCCCCCCCAGGACGCTGTGGCCACCCAGACGGAGGAGGCGCGGCTGGTCAAGATCAGGGAGGTGCTCAAGGAGCTGCCGGAGCCCCACTACAGGTGACACGGGGGTCCCCTCATTCCCTGCTGCTGTCCCCGTGTCCCCAAGGCGATGGCAGTCCCTGATGGTGTCTCCCCGGAGTGGTGGCTGTCCCCTGAGCTGTCCCTGGCAGTGTCCCACCGGAGTGGTGGCTGCCCCCTGACCTGTCCCCGTGTCCCCAGGACGCTGGAGTTCCTGATGCGGCACCTGCTGCGCATGGCGGGGCACAGCGCCCGCACCAACATGCACGCGCGGAACTTGGCCATCGTGTGGGCTCCCAACCTGCTGCGGTGAGGGGACACAGTGGTGACGTCCCCCAAGTCCCCTTGATCCCATCCCCCTGTGCCCAACAACCCCCCGATCCCTCCCACCGTCCCCACCACCTGCAGCGTCCCCGCCATCCCTGCCACTTCCCTGGTCCCATCCCCCTGTCCCCAGTGTCCCCGATCCCACTACCCCCCGTGTCCCCTCGTGTCTCCCCCACCCTGAGGTGACCCCGGGGGCTGCCCCATGCCTCCCCAGCTCGAGGGACATCGAGGCCTCAGGGTTCAACGGCACAGCCGCGTTCATGGAGGTTCGTGTCCAGTCCATCGTGGTCGAGTTCATCCTCACCCACGTGGAGCAGCTCTTTGGGGATGCCCCCCTCGCAGGTACCCCCGGGGGGGACACTGGGGGACGTGGGGGGACACCCACAGCCCACCCTGGGGGTGCCAAGGGGGAGAATCCCCCCACCCATCCCTGCTTTGGGTGGGGGGGACACTGGGGGTCCCGGGGTGACCCTGACCCCCCCCGGTGGTCCCCAGGGTCAGAGTCACCCCGCCGGTCCCTGCTCGTGCCCGGGGGGTCTCTGGGGGCCGAGAAGCCCCCCCAGCTCCACGTGCCAGGGACACTGAGCCAGGGGGATGGACCCCCCCAGATCCGGCCCTACCACACCATCATCGACCTGGGCGAGCACAGGTACGTCGTGAGGGGGCACGGGGGGGCACAGGTGACACCCCATCCCCATCCTCGGGACACCCGGGGATACCCCTCCTCCCCCTGAGGTGGGTATGGCACAAGTGATCCCACCTGGGCACGATCCTGGGACATGGAAAGGGTGGGATCCCATGGGTGGGAGCTCTACAGGTGTGGGAAGGCACCTGTGGGTGTGCCCAGGTGTGCCCAGGTGTGCCCCTAGGTGTGCCCAGGTGTGCCCCCAGGTGCCCCAGTTGCCCCCAGGTGTGCCCAGGTGTGCCCAGGTGTGCCCCCACAGGAGGAAGGGCTCCCTGAAGGCCAAGAAGTGGAGATCCATCTTCAACCTGGGCCGCTCCGGCCACGAGGCCAAGCGGAAGCAGGGAAAGGCCGAGGAGAAAGGTGGGAATTCCGTGGGTGGTCTGGGGGGGGAGGGGCAGTTTGTGTCCCCAAATCCCACCTCGTATCCCTTGTGGTGCCAGAGGAGAAGGGGGGGAAGGTCCCACTGCGCCCGGCCAAGAGCATGGACTCGCTGAGCTCCGGCGGACACGGTGAGGGGGCAGAACCGGGAACTGGCACTGCCTGGCCCTGGCCCTTGTCCCACTCCCTGGCCCTTGTCCCTCCCCCTGGGACCCCCGTCCCTCTGTCCTGACCCCCTCTCTGGCACAGCCGCCCCAGGGCTGCTCCCGAACTGCCCAGGGAAGGTCCCCCAGCGCCAGCAGAGCCTCGACCGCCCTCTGGAATCCCCCCCGGAATTCCCCCTGGAGCCGGAGGAGCCCCCGGAGGAGCCCCCAGCAGGCGAGAGCAGCACCAAGTCGGAGCCCACCACCCCCAAAGCCCCCCGGGCGGGGCCTGGGGGGACCCCCGGGCGCTCCCGGGCCGAGAAGTGTGCGGGGGTCCACATTTCGGGTCCCTTCTCGGTCACCGTCCCCTTCCACATCACCTGCAACCTGTCCCGCCTGACGAGGGGGTTGCCCTGCCCCGCGTTGCACCGGGACCCCCCCGCCATCCCCTCAGGACCCCTCCGCGACCCCCAGAGCCACAGCGGTGAGAGGCGGGACCGGGGGGATGGCGGGACCCCCCCGGGAGGGACCATCGGGCTGGAATGAGGCTCAAACCCCCCGTGTTCCCCCCAAACAGGGGATGCGGAGGAGACGCGGCTCTCCCGGGAGCTCCGCGATTCCTTCGCCTTCCTGGATAGTCCCGAGGCCTGGGATGTGGGAACAGCGGCCGAGACCCCCGGGATCGGAGATGGGACCCCCGGGATGAGCCCCGAGGGGCTCCCGGCCCTGGAGGAGGGGCTGGAGAGCGGGTTCATGAACGTGAGATAACGGCGGCATTCCCGGGATTTTGGGGGGAGGAGGGAGGGCTGGGGGAGGGGGGAAAGGTGTGGAGTGGGATGGGATGGGATGGGATGGGATGGGATGGGATGGGATGGGATGGGATGGGATGGGATGGGATGGGATGGGATGGGATGGAGAGCACAGGGACAAGATGGGAACAGAGAGGTCTGGCTGGGATGGAGGGGCCACGATGAGGCCAGAGGGGCTCCTCCCTGTTCCCACCCCTGTTCCCACTGCCTTTCCCAGCCAGGCGAGCCCCCCTCGGAGCAGCCGGACAGTTTCCTGTCCATCGAGGAGTGCACGGACGAGGGGATGGACGAGCTGTTCTTCCTGGCTCCCGCCGGCTCCGAGCGCGACAGCGACTCCGACGACCTGTTCCTGAGCGCCCACGACGAGCTCAGCCCCCTGGGGGCTTCCCTGGAGACCCCTGGGGGGCCCCCGGAGATTCCAGAGATCCGAGAGATTCCAGGGACCCGGGAGATTCCGGGGGTCCCGGCTCCCCCCGGTGCCGCGGCCCCTGACACGCCCACGGAGGAGGATCCTCCGGGGGAAGGGAACCCCCCCCGAGACCCCCCCGGGGATGGGGGGCGAGGGGAGGGGGCTGCGGGCGGCGCTTCCAGCCCCAGGACGGACTCCGAGGTGTGGGAGGAGGATGGAACAGCCCGGGAAGGGGTCGTGGTTCCTGGGGCTGAATCCCGCCCTCCCATCCCGGAGGAGCCCCGGAGGGGCGAATCCCAGGCTTTAAGGGCGTCCCCACAGGGATTGTCAGCGGAGGAGCCCCCCTGGGCACCTCTGGAGCCCCCCCGGGAGCCCCCGGAGCCCCCAGTTCCCGGGTCCGTTCCCGGGGGGCCCCTCGGGGTCACCCCGAGCTCTCCCTCTCTCTCCACCTCGGCCCCGGAGCTCCACAGGGACCCCCCCAAATCCCTGGAGCCGAGGGGGGATGAGCTCCCCAAAAACCGGGAGCTGAGCCAAGGCGAGCCCCCCAAAAACCTGAAGCCAGTGCGGGATGAGCCCCCCAAGAACCCAGAGCTGAGTCAGCACAAGCCCCCAGAAATCCTGGAGTGGGTCCAGGATGAGCCCCCCGGAGCCCCAGAGCCCCCTAAACCCCTGGATCTGATCGAAGATGAGCCCCCCAAAATCCCGGAGGTCCCCAGACTCTCAGAGCCGATCTGGGATGAGTCCCCCAAAAACCCAGGGCTGAGCCAGGATGAGCCCCCCAAAAACGTGGCTCTGATCCATGGTGGACCCCCCAGCCCCTCGGGGACCCCCAGCTCCCTGGAGCCGACCCAGGATGAACTCCCCAAAAGCCTGGAGCCCCCCCAAAACCTGGATTTGATCCATGGTGGTCCCCCCAGCCCCCCAGTGACCCCCAGCCCCCTGGAGCCAATCCAGGACGAGCCCCCAAACCCCTCGACCTGATCCATGGTGACCCCTCCAAAACCCTGGAGCCCCCAAACCCCTCAACCTGATCCATGGTGACCCCCCCAAACCCCTGGAGCCCCCCAAACCCCTCAACCTGATCCATGGTGAGCCCCCAAACCCCTGGAGCCCTCCAGCCCCTGGATCTGATCCATGGTGACCCCCCAAACCCCTGGAGACCCCCAGCCCCTGGATCTGATCCATGGTGACCCCCAAACCCCTGGAGACCCTCAGCCCCCTGGATCTGATCCATGGTGACCCCCCCAAACCCCTGGAGACCCCCAGCCCGCTGGATCTGATCCATGGTGACCCCCCAAACCCCTGGAGACCCCCAGCCCCCTGGATTCCAGCCAAGATAATCCCCCCAACCCATTGGATCCACCCCATGCCATCCCCCCCAGCCCCCCGCTGTACCTCCCGGGTGGTGCCCGTGCCCACCTGAGCCCCCTCCCCGTGCAGGTCCATTGCGCCCGCTCTGTGCCCGTCGTGCCCCCCAAGCCCCAGTTTGCCCGGACCCCCCTGGGCCCCGCCCTGGGACCCACAACCCCAGTGGAGGGGGACCCCCAGCCCCTCCCCGGGCCCCCCAAAGCGCTGCCCTTCCATCGGGCCCCGCTGCGCCCCCGGAGACCCCTCAGTTATTTGGGGACCCCCGAGGGGCTCACAGGGGGGGCAGGGGGGGAACGGTGAAGTTTGGGAATGTTCTGCCGACCCCCCCAAAAATTCATGCTAATAATTAATAAAAAATAATAACAAGCCCATAATTCCATGCAAGAGACGTTGCTTACTTATTTTTATCTGTATTTTATACAGTTTTCCTGGTTTTATATCTTTATAATAATGTTATCTATTTACATAAATTAATTTGTCTTTACTAGCTTCATTTATTTCCTAATTAGTTTTTATTTTATTTCTTTTTTATTTGGTTTCTATTTTTATTTTTTTAATTTTTATTAATTTATTCCTTTATTTGTGGTCACTTCCATGGGGACAGGGGGACATGGGGATTTGGGGACAAGGGGCCATGGGGACAAGGGGATATGAGGATGGGACATTTGGACATGACAATTTGAGGACATGGGGGCATAGCGACAAGGGGATATGGGGACAAGTGGATATGGGGATACTGGGACACTGGGACATTGGGGACAAGGGGACAGGGGGACATTGGGATATGGGGACATGGGGACATGGTGATATGGGGACATGTGGACATTGGGGACAAGGGGACAGGGGGACGTTTGGATATGGGGACATGGGGACATGGTGATATGGGGACATGTGGACATTGGGGACAAGGGGACAGGGGGACATCGGGCCCTCAATAAAGCCAGACCTTTGTTTATATTGACACCATCTTTGGCACAACATGGCAGCGCCCTCAGTGGCCTCGGGGCTCTGCTGGGGAGGGGGTGTCCAACGCAGCCCCCCGACCCAGCCCGGGGGGTCGGGCAGAACGGGGGGTTCCCCGCTCCGTGAGGGGGTCGGGGGGGCTGGGCTGCGCCTCGCGCGTGGGGTCTGACCCCGGGGGGGGCCGCCCTCTTCCAAAATGGCACCGCCCTCACTCAATATGGCGGTAGGCGGAAGCGGCACGCTTCGCCGTCTAAGATGGCGCTGCGCTGCGGCCTCACGCACTAAGATGGCGCGTGCCGGAGGGGGCGCCGTGCCCGCAGTCAAGATGGCGGCGCGCAGCGCCCCTACCCAAAATGGCGAGACACAGCACGCTGCAAGCAGCCGCCTTGACGAGCCACAGGCCGCCACAGCCGGGCGGTGAAGCGGCACAGCGGCCACCACGATGAGAAAGTAATGCGACAGCGATGCGACAGCGGCTGGGGCGGCAGCGCCGCGGCCACCACAGAGGGGCGGTGCCATCTCTGTCGGGGTGAGAGCGCGCGGTGCCCTCAGTTAGGATGGCGATGGGCGCCGTTTCCCCCTATGCCCAAGATGGCGGCGTGAAGCCGCGCAGGGGGTGGGAGAGGCGGCAGCTTCCGCCCGGTGCCAAGATGGCAGCGCGGCGGCGCCGTGCGCATGTGCGGGGCCCATGGCGAGACAAGGGGCCGAGCGCGCGCAGGGCCCGAGGCCGAGAGGTACCGGGGGGGCCTGAGGGGCCCGGGGGGGCCCGCGGGGAGACCCTCCCTCCAACGGGGTCACCGCCAGCCGGGGGGGCACCCCCGACCGGCCCCCGCCGCCCCCACGCCACGGAGACGCGGTGGCCGCGGGTGGGGGATGGGGAGTGGGGGAGAGTGGGGGAGGGGCGCGGGTGTCACTCGCACATCCCCCCGTGAAGGGGAGGGGGGCGCGGGTCCCTCGGGATGGGGGTGTCACCCCGCTGGTTGGCCCCCCCCCGCTCTGGGAGGCCCCCGGGGTGTCGCTGTCCCCCCGTTCGTGCGTGTCCCCCCGCGTCTGTCACTGTCACCCCCCTGCGTGTCCTCCCCACTGTGTCACTGTCGCTTCCCCTCCATGTTCCCCCTAGTCTGTCACTGTCACCCCCTTCGTGTGTCCCCTTCGTGTTCCTCCCCCTTTGCCATCCCCTGCGTGTCCCCCCCACTCTGTCACTGTCACCTCCCCCCGTGTCGCCCCCGATCTGTCGCCTCTCTGTGTGTCCCTCTCGTGTGTCCTCCTCCCAGTCTGTCACTGTCACCCCGTTCCTGTCCCCCCCACCCCTGTCTCTCATCTCCCCCCGTGTCTACCCCCAGATCTGTCACTGTCACCCCCCGTCTCTCTGTCCCCCCTACTTTGTGTCCCCCACCAGCTCTGTCACCCCCTTTTTGTGTGTCCCCCCCACACTCTGTCAATGTTCTCCCCCTTCGTGTTCCCCCCTCTTTGTGTCCCTTTGGTGTCACTCCCTTCGTGTGTGCCCCCCTCTTCCCCAGGTTTGAGCCCCTCTTTGTGCCCTCCTAGCCTGTCACTGTCACTCCCCTGGGCCCCCAGACCTGTCACCTCCCCCCCATGTCCCCCTTCCCCCCATTTAACCCCCCAGAGGGGGTGACATGGGACAACTTCCGCCCAGGACACCCCAGTTTTGGGGTGCGGGGTCCCTGACCCAGGTGACAGCTGGGGACACTGTGGGAGGGGGTCACCATGGAGGGGAGGCACGGCCACCTCGGGGTCACCAGGGACCCCCCAAAGTGTCACCAGCTGGGCTAAACTGTGTGGGGGAGAGGTTTGGGGACAAATTGTGTGGGACTGGGGAGGGGAGAGGGGACAGGGAGGTACTTGAAAATGGGGCTAGGGCTGGTCACCGGTGTCCCCCCTTGGTGGCCACTGTCCCACGGTGGTGGCCACTGTCCCACGGTGGTGACCAGTGTCTGGTGGCAGTAGCCGCTGTGCCATGGTGGTGGCCAGTGTCTGGTCATGGTGGCCGGTGTCCTGCTGTGGTGGCCCAGTGTCCCACTGTGGTGCCTGATGTCCCATGGTGGTGGCTGGTGTCCCATGGTGGCCAATGTCCCCCCATGTCTGTTCACAGTGGGACAAGGCTGGGCCCTGGCCCTGACCCCACATGTCCCTGTGTCCCTCCCTGTCCCTTATCCCTGGCCCTGACCCCCACATCCCCATCCCCGTGTCCCTCTCCCACCCCTGACCCCGTGTGTCCCTGTCCCCGTGTCCCCTCTCCTGACTCTGCCGTGTCCATGTCTCTGTCCCTGACCCTGTGTGACCCTCCGTGTCCCCATCCCTGTCCTCGTGTCCCCCCATGACCCCCCTGTCCCCATGTCCCCTTGTGACTCTCCAGTGTCCCCCCTGACCCCTGTGTCCCCCCAGGGCTCTGAAGGCCGAGAGGCTCCTCCGCTCCTGCCCCACCTGATGCCCGAGGGAGCGGAGCCATGAAGGGGTGAGTGGGGACCCCCAAAACAGAGCTGAGACCCCCATACCCTCCTGGGACCCCCAGAACTGACCTGGGACCCCCAACGTGCCAGTTTTGAGGTGAGGGGGGGTCTGGGAGGGCTCAGGGACCGCCAAAAAACTCTGCGTGTCCCCCCCAGGCAGCAAAAAGCAGCCGAGACGGAGGAGGGGACGGTGCAGATCCAGGAAGGTGAGGGGGGACCCCCAGGCTGGGGGGGCTGGGGGAAGTTGGGAGGGTTAAGGGGGTGTTGTGAGGGGTTATGGGGGTTATGGGAGGGTCTGGGAGGGGATATGGGGAATATGAAGGAGATTTGGTGGGGTTATGGGGGGCTGGGAGGGTCTGTGGGAGGGTTATGGGGGGTTGGGGTGTTTATGGAGGGATATGGGGGCAACAGGGGGTATATGGGGGGATTTGGGGGCTGGGGTTTTATGGGCAGTTATGGGGGACTATGGGAGGGTCTATGGAGGCTTATAGGGGGTAAGGGGAGATTTGGGGCATTATGGGGGAGATCTGTGGGGGTTGTGGGGGCTGGGAGGTTCTTGGGGGGCTATGGGAGTGTGATACTCCCTCTCTCCCCACATTGCCCCTCCCACATTGCCCCCTCCCACATTGCCCCCTCCCCAGTGTCCCCCCACTTTGGGTGCCCCCCCTCACTGGTTGCCCCCCCAGGGTCGGTGGCTACCGGGGAGGACCCCACGAGCGTGGCCATCGCCAGCATCCAATCGGCCGCCACCTTCCCCGACCCCGGCGTCAAGTATGTGTTCAGGACCGAGGGCGGGGGCACGCAGGTGAGGGCACCTGGGCACTGCGGTGGGGGGCACTGAGGGGGGGGCACTGGGAGGGGGGCACGCAGCTATGGCACAACTGGGCACACCTGTGCCAAGTGCTGCACGGGGTGGTGCAGGCGGTGATGGACACCTGGGGCGGGGCTGTGTCTCACCTGTCTCAGCTGGGGCAGGTGATGTCCCGGGCGATGCAGGTGGTGATGGAGGGTTGGGGGGGCTGTGTCTCACCTGTCTCACCTGGGGCAGGTGATGTACCGGGTGATCCAGGTGGCTGATGGGCAGCTGGACGCGCAGACCGAGGGCACCAGCGCCATCAGCGGGTACCCGGCGGCTCAGTCCATGACACAGGTGAGCCCTGGCCACACCCAGGCACCCCCTGCTCACCTGTGCCACCCATGTCCTGCTGTGTCACCCATCTGTTCCACCTGTGTTCTCTCTGTGTCCCACCTGTGTCCCATCTGTGTCCCACCTGTCCTACCCATGTCCCCACTGTGTCCCACTTCCCTCAGGTGTCTCCCCTGGCTCCCACCTGCCTCATCTGGGGCTCTTGTCCCACCTGTGCTCTGCCTGTCTCGCCTGTGTCCCACCTTTGTCCCCTGTGTGCTCCCCCTGCCCCTCACCTGTGTCACCTGTCCCCAGGCCGTGATCCAGGGCGCCTTCACGAGCGAGGAGGGGGTGGAGACGGAGGCCACGCCCACCGAGACCCACTACACCTACTTCCCTGCGGGCGTGGCCGACGGGGGCTCGGGGGGCACCGCGGCCACCGCGGCCACCGCCGTGGTCACCACCCAGAGCTCCGAGGGGCTGCTGGGGCAGCCCACGCCCACAGGTAAGAGGGGCACCTGCAGGGGGTTTGGGGTCACCTGGAAGGGGTTTGGGGACACCCGGAGGAGGTTTGGGGTCACCTGGAAGGGGTTGGGATCACCTGAGTGGAGTTTGGGGCTCCATTTTTGGGTCTCACCTGTCCCATTTTGGTCTCACCTGTCCATTTTGGGTCCCCAGGACAGTTTTTTGTGATGATGTCACCACAGGAAGTGCTCCCGGGGGGAGCCCAACGTTCCATCGCCCCCCGTGCCCACCCCTACTCCCCGTGAGTACCTGGGACACACCTGGGCACATCTGGGCACACCTGGGGACGTGTGGGGCACATCTGGGCATACCTAGGACACATCTGGATATACCTGGAGACACTTGGGGCACATCTGGAAACACCTGGATACACCTGGGATGTACCTGAGGACATCTGGGATACAGCTGGGGACACACCTGGAACACACCCAGGCACACCTGGCCCCATGTGACCCCTTCCCCCCCCTTTTCCCACAGGAAATCGGAGGCTCCAAGAGCCACCCGGGATGAGAAACGTCGAGCACAGCACAATGAAGGTACCGGGGAGGGACCCCAAATCTGGAGATCCCAAATTCAGGGGGATCCCAAATCCAGGGGACTGATCGCAAATCCTGTTGTTTTTCCCCCATTCCCAGTGGAGCGCCGGCGCCGGGACAAGATCAACAACTGGATCGTCCAACTCTCCAAGATCATTCCCGACTGTTCCATGGAAAACACCAAATCCGGGCAGGTCTGTGCCCCTCCCTCTCCCCCAGGGGGGCAGTTTTGGGCCCCCTCCGGCCCCCGCTGACCCCTGCAATTCCCGAATTCCCAGAGCAAGGGCGGGATCCTGTCCAAGGCCTGCGACTACATCCAGGAGCTGCGGCAGAGCAACCTCCGGCTCTCCGAGGAGCTGCAGGGCCTGGACCAGCTCCAGCTCGACAACGAGGTGCTGCGGCAGCAGGTCCGACTGGGGGCACTGAGGGGGCACTGGGAGGGACTGGGAACAGTGGGAGGCGCTGGGAGTGGAGCTAGGAGCGGTGGGAGGGCACTGGGAACAGCGGCAGGGCAGGAGCAGCTCCCGGTGCTGTGGCAACAGGTCGGACTGGGGGCACTGGGGGAGACTGGGAGGGGTCTGGGGGGTATTTTGGGGTGGGAGGATTATTCTGGGGATCCAGGGGGGTATTTTGGGATCTCTGACCCCCCCTAGACCCCTCCCAAATTCAGGTGGAGGACCTGAAGAACAAGAACCTGCTGCTACGGGCGCAGCTGCGCCAGCACGGGCTGGAGATCGTCATCAAGAATGACTCCCACTGACGAGGGGGAGACCCCAGACCCCCCCTCACACCCCTAAACCCCTCCCTGGGCCCCCAAGCCTCCTCGACCCTGAAATCCCTCCCGACCTCCCCCGCAGCCACAACCCCCAGCGCGACTTCAGGACCCTCTGCTCGGTTTGTGCCCCTTTCCCCCGAAAATCATGACCGTGACCCCTGCGTGGTCTCAGGGGGCTCCACGACCCCCAAATCCCTCCAAGTCCCTCCGAGTGTCCCCAAGTGTCGCCCCCTCCCCAAAATCACACCCCTCCCCCATCCTGCACACGCTCTCGGCCTGATGGGCGCCGGCCCTGCCCCTCCCCCACTGCCTGCGCCCCTCCCCCACACTGGGGACCCCCCTCGGGACCCCTCACCCACAGGGGACCCCCCTCCACTCGGGAACACCCCCTCCACCCCAAATTTTGGGGGCTCCCCTCCCATGGGGAGGGACGTTGTGGTGCCTCCCACCCCTCCCTGCCCCTCCCCCGCAGGGAGTGGGGGTTTGGGGTGAGGGGGAGGGGTTTGAGGGGGTTTGGGGGCCTCTCACCACCCTCACCACCCCCGGAGCCCCCCCTGTGGGGTTTGGGTTTTTTTTTTAAACTCGGAATTGAAAGGAAAAAAAAAGGAAAAAAAAAAAAAAAACAAAAAAAAGAAAAAAGCGGAAAATAAATAAAAATAGTGATTTGTTTTTTTAGGTCCTACAGTTTATTCCCCTCCTTCCCCGGGACCCCCAAACTCCTCTGACCATCCCCCTGGGGACCCCCAAAACAGCTCTGACCACTCTGGTCTCTCTGGGGTCACTGGTTGGTACTGGGGGTCAGTTTGGGGTCACTGGTTTGTACTGGGGGGTCCCTTTGTGTCCCTTTTGTTTCCCTGCACTGGTTTGAACTGGGGGTACTGGGCTGGCACCTGGCGCCCCCTGTCGGCCGCCTCACCGCCGGGTTGCTATGGCAACGTTCAGTTCTCCGCCCACTCCTCTGCGCTCACTCCAATTGGTCAAAAGTTGAACCGCGAGCTCTGATTGGTCGCCGTGCCCGGCCTCCCCACACCTGTCCCTTTCACCAATCACCGCGGAGGGGCGGGAACGCCCCAACCAATCAGCGAGCTGCTTTTTAAACAAACAGGGGCGGCCACCAATGGCGTGGCGGAGGGGACGGGGCTTTTTGGCGGCACCTGGCGGTGGGCGTGGCTCAGGCACACGGTGGGCGGGGCGTGGTTGGGCGTGGTGGGGGGCGGGGCTCACCTGGCGCGGGGCGCGGAGCAATGGCGGGAGCGGAGCGGGGGGGCCCCGACCGGGACCGGGGGGTCCGGGGGGCCCTCGCTGTCCTGCTGCTGCTGGCGGAGAGCGGTGAGTCGGGGGCGCCGGGGGGGCTCGGTGGGAGCGTCCCGGGAGGGTCCCGGGGGATCGGGAGGGGTGGGTTAGGCGGTGAGTGCGGGGGGGATACGGGGGTCCCGTACCGGGCACGGGGGTGTCTGAGGGTCCTGCTGCTGCTGGGGAAGCGCAGTGAGTGAGGAGGGGGCACGGGGAAAGGGGCGGGGGGCTCAGGCGGGGGCGTCCCGAGGGGTTTCAGGGGGCTCGGGCTGGGGGACAAAGGGGCTCGGGCTCAGGGAGGGGACACGGAGGGCAGTGAGTCGGGGGACACTGGGGAGGCTGGGGAAGAGGGGGAGCACGGTGAGGAGGGCACGGGGGGCTCTGGCGGGAGAGATTTGGGGAGGGCGGGGGAGTGCCGGGGGGCTCGGGCGGGGGGCGGTGAGTGAGAGGGGGCACGAGGGGGACACGGGAGTCACCCCACAGAGGGAAAGGGGGCGGCCCCGGGACCCCCGAAAGTTCCCCGGCGACCCCGTTGAGCTCCAGGACCGGGACGAGCCCACCCCGCTGCCACCGAGCCCGTCCCGGAGCCCCCCCGAGCCCGGGGATTTGGGGGGTCCCGGGGGGGGGCTCGGTGGGGCCGGACGCGCTTCCCGCGGCCGGAGGGACCGGGAGGGACCGGGAATGGCGATGGCAGGGCCGGGGGTGGCCTTCCTGTCCCCTCCATTGTGCTCTGACAATGCCGGCATTAACCCGATCTCGCCGGGTTTGGACCTGGAGCAGGGCGGGATTAACCTGAGCTCGCCTGGTTTGGACCTAAAATGAGTCGGGATTAACCCGATCCCACTTGATTTGGACCCAAAACGGGTCGGGATTAACTCGATCCCGGCTGATCTGGACCCAGATTGGGTCGGGACTAACCCGATCCCAGATGTAGTCCTGGCTCAGGTCAGGCTTAACCCGATCCTGGATGGTTTAGACCCAAAACAGGTCGGAATGAACCCAATTCCAGCTGATTTGGACCCATTTCTGCAGACGGGGCTCCCTCAACATTCCCAGACCCCAAACACCCCGTTTTTCCCCCTAAATCCCGTTTTTTCCGCCCGGGTTTCGCTTGGCAGCGGCTCGGGGAGCAAAGGTGGCGCAGGAGGGTGGGGGACGAGGCCCTTCCCGGTCACATTCCCGCTGGGAATGAGTCACCGCGGCCGAACCCGGCATTTGGGGGGTCCCAGCGGGGTCCTCCCGCCCCCAGGGATGGACACGGGGATGACACGGGGGTGTCGCTGTGTCCAAACACAGGGAATTGCGGGAATTGCGACATTCCCGGGCCGGTTTCCTGCGAAACTGGGCAGAAACTGGGCAGGGCGGGAGGTGCCCGGACGGGATTTTCCGGCTCTGGGGAGGGACCGGGGACCGTCCCTGCGGCCTCGAGGCTCGCGGTGGCCTCCTGACCCTGCCGGGAGCCCGCCGGGATCGCTCGGCCGGGATTTCAGCCGGGAATTCCCTCGGCAGTTGCGCTGGTGGGAGCCCAGGTGACCTCGGAGAGCAAGGAGGTGCCGGAGCACGAACGTGAGTGCCAGGAACATCCCCTCGGAGCCCCCGGCCCGTTATCCCATGGGATCGTGGGCAAACCGGGACCCATCCCATGGCCAGGGGTGAGGTTTGCATGGGGGGAGGCTCGGGGTGATCCCACTTTGGGGTGATCCCACTTTGGGGTGATTTCATTTTGGGATCCTGCTTTTGGGATGATCCCAGTTTGGGGGATGCTCCCATTCCGGGGTGATCCCATTGTGGGATGATCTCATTCTGGGGTGATCCCCGTTTGGATGATCCCAGTGTGGGATGATCCCATTCTGGGGTGATTCCTATTTGGATAATCCCACTGTGGAGTGATCCCATTCCGTGGCGATCCCATTGTGGGATGATCCCATTGTGGGGTGACCCCATTCTGGGGTGATCCCACGTGGTGTCCGTGTCCCGCAGCCGTGGACATCCCGTGCTCCGCATTCCGCTCGGGCTGGAGCGACTACCGCATCGAGTGGAAGTTCCAGAAAGGCTCCTCCCTGCAGCTCTTCTACTACGGGAAGGAACTCACAGGTACCGGGGGGTCCTGGGGGTGCCCTGGGGGTCCCTTTGAGGGGGTCCCAGCTCCGTGTCCCCACAGAGCCGTACCGGAACCGCGTGCGGTTCTCGCCCACCTCCATCCACTTCGATTCGGTGACGCGGGAGGACTCCGGGAAGTACATCTGCGAGGTGGTGGGGGACAGCAGCCACATCGCCAAGTCCGAGGTCACCCTCACGGTCCAAGGTGGGGACGCTGTCCCTTGTCACCCTCCCCGGGGTTCCCTCCCTTCCCCTCCCCGGGATTTGGTGTCCCCGGGGGTCCCTGGGGACAGGGAGGGCTGTGCCAGCCTTGGGAGGGACTCTGGGACCACCATTCCCTGGGATCACTGGGATGGGGATGGATGGACACTGTTCCTGTGGGTGGGATGGGATGGGATGGGATGGGATGGGATGGGATGGGATGGGACGGGACAGACACCGTCCCTGCGGGTCGGCCCTGGCCCCGGTGGCCCCGGGAGGTGCCAGCCCCACTCCGTGCCCGCAGTGCCCCCCGGGAAGCCTGTGGCCCACGTGCCCAGCTCTGCCACCATCGGCTCCCGGGCGGTTCTGCGCTGCTCCGAGGGCCAGGGCTCCCCCCCGCCCACCTTCCGCTGGTACAAGGACGGCTCGGTGCTGCCCCAGGACCCCAAATCCAGCCCCACCTTCCGCAACTCCTCCTACAGCCTCGACCCCCGCACAGGGGAGCTGGTCAGTGGGGGAAACGAGGGGGGGGCTTTTCCCTGCCCTTTTTTCCTACCTTTCTCTCCCTTTTTCCCCCTCCTTTTTCCCTACCCTTTTCTTCCCCTTTTTCCCCTTCCCTCCATCCCCCTTCTTTTTTCCCCTATTTCCCTCCATTCCCATTTCCCCTCCAGTTTTTCCCCCTTTTTCCCCCCCCCTTTTCCCTCATTCTCTCTCTCGTTCCAGATCTTTGAGCCCGTGGGGGGCTCAGACACGGGGGATTATCACTGTGAGGCCTTCAACAATGTGGGATCCCCCCAGAAATCCGACGTTTTCCGCATGGAAGCGAGTAAGGCTGGAGCAGCTCCCAATCCCACCCCATTCCCACCCGGCCCTGCCCTTTTCCAGCCCCTTTTCCAGGTGGTTTTGAGGTTCCCCTGCCCGTTATCACCTCCCGTGGGCGTTAATTGCGTTAATGAGCCCGCTGTGGTCTCCTGGGATAGCGGGAATGCCGCCCTTGGGAACGCTAAACCTCACCCGCTTGGAGTTAAGAGCCAGGCTTGATCCCAGCCCTCCCTGGAGCCCAGAATTCCCAGGATTCCTGCTGGGATCCCCTGCACCCCCATGCTGGGATCTGTCCAACCCTCCTGCTCCGGCTGGATTTAACCCCATTCCCGATGGATCCAACCTCGATCCCGGCCCCATCTGGAGCTGGGAATTCCAGGATTCCCTCCAGGATCCCCCTCCCTGCCAGGATCCAACCCCTCCAGCTTCATTCCATCTCCATCCCAGCCCCTTTTTGAGCCAGGAACTCCAGTATTCCCACTTTCCTGCGAGATCCAGCCCCCCTCTGTCTGAACCCATCACTCCCCATCCGCATCCCACCTCCATCCCAGCCCCGATTTGAGCCCACTGGAATTCCCCCTGCCCAGGGTTGGGATCCACCCCCCACCCCACTGGGCTCTCTCTGATCCCGGTTTTCCAGGCGAGGTGAACGTGGGTGGGATCGTGGCCGCCGTGGTGCTGCTCCTGCTGGTCCTGGCCCTCGCTGCCTTCGGGCTCTGGTTCGCCCACAGGCGTGGCTACTTCAGCAGTGAGTGTCCCCAAGTGTCCCCGAGCATGCCCTCCCCCTGTCCCCCCCCCGTGGTGCTCCCCCTGATCCCACTTTTTCCCTTTATTCCAGAGAAAACAGAGTAAGTGATGCCGGAGCCGCTGCCCCCTCCTCTTTGGGATAGTCCTGCCCCCCTCCAGGTGTCCCCAAAGTGTCCCCTCCCTGCCCCGGTCCCCTGGGTGTCCCCAGGTGGTGACTGGGGTGGGGTAGGGGGGGAGGGCACGTCCTGATCCTGATATTCCCACAGTTCTGGTGGGAAGAAGGTGATTTACAGCCAACCCTCAAGGCGCAGCGAGGTGGGTGTGGGGGTACTGGACACCCTGTTGATGTCCCCTGTCCCCACTATGTCCCCATGTCCCCATTGATGTCCCCATCAATGTCCCCATTTAATGTTCTTCATGTCCCCATTAGTGTCCCCTTGATGTCCCTTCAGTGTCCCCATTAATGTCCCCCCTCTGGTGTCCCCATCCTTGTCCCCATAATGTTCCCTGGTGTCCCCATCAATGTCCCCACAATGTCTCCTCTCTTGTCCCCATCAATGTCCCCATAATGTCTCCTCTCCTGTCCCCATTGATGTCCCCATAATGTCCCCCGATGTCCCCATTGATGTCCCTATAATGTTTCCATAATGTCCCCATGATGTCCCCATTGATGTCCCCATTGATGTCCCCACGGTGTCCCCTGACGTCCCCTCTGTCCCTGCAGGGCGAGTTCAAACAAACCTCCTCGTTCCTGGTGTGACGCCGCCGCCCCTTTCCCCCCCCCCGGCCCCTCCCCCGGACCGGTTTTTCCCAATTCCCGGAATTCCCACGCGATTTTAAAGGGTTATTTTTGTAAAGCCTCGCCTGGTGCCTTCACAGCTGCCCCTGAATTTTGGGGGCTGTCCCTTGTCCCCCTTTGTGTCCCCCCTCCTCGTGTGCCTTTGGCCCCCTCCTTGTCCCCCTTCATGTCCCCCTTTGCCCCCCTCATCCCCCTTTGTCCCCCAGAGGGCTTAGGGGGCCCAAGCTGCTGTAACTGGTCCCAGTTGCCCTCCCTGACTGGGAGGGGCCTGGAAATAAAACCCCTGTCCTTTACTAGTGCTGCTCACCTGGGGGTGTCTCGGGGGATATTGGGGAGTCCCTGGGAGCTGGGGGATATAGGGGTGTCTCAGGGGACATTGGGGGTGTGTCAGGGGACACTGGGGGTCTCTGAGGATGTTGGGGGTCCCTGGGGGCTGAGGGGGTATACTGGGGGTCCCTGGGGACTGGGGGGGACATCGGGGGTCCCTGTGGGCATGGGGGATCCCTGGTGACATCGGGGACACCCAGGAGACATCAGCCCCCTCCCCGACAGGAGCAGCCCCTCCCCACCATCAGCATCTCCTTTATTTAGTACCGACCCCCTTTGCTCCCCCAGACCGAGGATGAGCCCCGGGGTGTCTCCCAGCCGCGGGGAAGGGAAGGGGGGCAGTTTGAGGGGCGGGGTCTTCCCTCCTTGTTGACATCTGTAATTAGTGGCTCTAATGACCCGCGGGCGTGGCCGGGCCTCGTTAATTGCGGGGTCTAAGTTAAACAGCAGCGACGGGCGGGGGACCCCGGCCCAGGGGGACACACGATTATCGGTGACACCCGGGGGACCCCGAGCCCGCCCGGAGTGGGGGCAGCACGGGGAGGGGCTCCAGCGTTTGAGGGGGAAAGGGGTGGGGATGAGGGGGGATCTCCTGCCTCAGTTTCCCCTCTGGATGAGGGGAGGGGTCCTGCGGCCCCCCCGGGCTGGTGGCACCTCCAGGGGCTGGGGACACCTCTAGATGTTGGGGACACCTCAGGGCTGGTGGCATCTTGGGGCTGGTGACACTTCCAGGTGTTGGTGGCACCTCCAAGGACTGGTGTCACCTCTGAGCTGGTGGCACCTCCAGGTGTTGGTGGCACTTCCAAGTGTCGGTGACACCTTGAAACTGGTGACACCTCAGGGGACTTGTGGCATCTCCAGTGTTGGTGGCAACTTCAAGTGTTGGTGACGCCTCCAGGACCTGGTGGCAGTTCCAGGCATTGGTGGCACCTCCAGGTGCTGGTGACATCTCCAGGGGCTGGAGGCACTTCCAGGAGTTGGTGGCACCTCCAGGCTGGTGACACCCCCAGTTGTCAGTGTCACCTTAGGGCTGGTGGAACCTCCAGTCCTTGGTGACAGCTCCAGACTTGGTGACATCTCCAGCTGTGGTGACACCTCCAGGTGCTGGTGCCACCTCCAGCCGTCAGTGCCACCTCCATCAGTGTCACCTCCAGATATCAGTGTCACCTTCAGCTGTCCATGTCACCTCCAGTTCCTGGTGTCACCTCCAGCTGCCAGTGCCACCCTGGGACCAGTGTTCCCTCCAGTTCCTGGGGTCACCTCCATCCACCAGTGTCACCTCCATCCACCAGTGTCACCTCCAGCCATCAGTGCCATGCCAGGACTGGTGTCACCTCCAGTTGCTGGTGCCACCTCCATCCGTCGGTGCCACCCCGGGGCCGGTGCCCCCTCCCTGGGCCGGTGTCCCCGTCAGACGTTGCTGATGCGGACGCTGAGCGGGGCCCCCTCCCCTTCCCGCTCCGCCTCCCGCAGCGACTCCTCCAGCTTCACCTTCTCGGGGTCCCCGAACCGCACGGCCTCGTGGTGGCACCGCGGCGGCGCCGCCACCTTCACCACACGGTCGAAGAGGCTGAAGTCGGCCACGTACTTGCCGCTGGCCGAGAGCGAGATGGCCGGCGTGAACTCGTAGCCCCACAGGATCTCCTCGGGCAGGTAGGACGTGCGAACCTGGCACGTGGCGCTGGTGGACTCCACGGTGCCGCTGAGGATCACCACGAGCTCGAAGTCCCCGTCCCCCGAGCGCAGGGACACGTCCCGCAGCGGGCTGGCCTCGTCCACCACGTGGTAGAAGGTGAGCGGGAGGATGAGGAAGGGGCTGTCGGATGACGTGTCCACCTGGAAGTCCACGTTGAGCTGGTTGAGCCGCACGCTCTCGCCCTCCTTGGTGAGATGGGTCTGCAGCAGCTTCCCCGTGACCTGGCAGCCGATGAGGAGGCTCTTCCTCATGTTGGCCACGCGGATCATCAGGCAGGTCTTGCCGTCGTGCTGGGCCACCACGGCGTTCTGGCTGAACTTGATGGTCTCGGCGCGCTTCTTGGGCCGCGCGATCTTGGCCAGGAAGGTGCCGGTGATGAAGATCTCGAGGATGGTGGTGAGGACGAGCTGGGTGATGAGCAGCACGATGGCCAGGGGGCACTCCTCGCTGATGTAGCGGAACCCATAGCCGATGGTGGTCTGGGACTCCAGGGAGAACAGGAAGGCCCCGGTCAGGGTGTGGACCTGCAGGGGGCACAGACAGCAGGGTTGGAGGGGGGGTTGTGGGGTAAAGGGGGTCTTGTCGCTGCCACCGACAGCATGGAGGGCACGGCCAACCCCCCTCGGCATTGCCATGGCTACTGGAGGGGGTCCTGCTACTGCCACTGTGGGGGTCCCGTCACCACCATGGCCACCATGCATGTCCCAGAGGGGTCCTGCCACTGCCATGGTCACCATGGGGGGCCCAGAGGGGTCCTGCCACTGCCACTGGGGGGGTCCCATCACTGCCACAGCCACCATGGGGGTTTTGGGGTGTTCCGCCACCGTGGGGGTCCCAGAGGGGTCCTGCCACTGCCGCCACGCGTGGGGGGTCCCCGGTGAGCACCTGCATGACGCACGGCGTGTGGTTGGCGGGGGGGTCGAACTCCAGCAGGTCTCCGTGGGCCACGGCCACCAGGTACCACACGACGCCGAAGGCAAACCAGGTGCCGGCGAAGGTGGCGGAGAAGAGGAGCAGCTTGTAGCGCCACTGCATGTCAATGAAGGTGGTCCACAGGTCCTTGAGGTACAGGAAGCGCTTGTCCGAGATGTGCTCCATGCGCACATTGCTCCGCCCGTCCTTGGTCAGCACCCGGCGCCGCCGCAGCCCCGGCCCCATCAGCGGGCGGCCCTCGGTCTGCGTCGTCTGGCTGTAGTACACCTTGGTGGAGGACGTCATCTGGGGGGCACAGGTGAGGGGACAGAGGTGACAGGGCGGAGGGTGGCATTAGAGGGATGGGGGAGGGCTTGGAGGGTGTCAGTGGGGGGACATGGGGAGAGGTGAGGGGTGGAGGGTGTCACTGGGGGGACAGGGGGACAGGTGAGGGGGAGGAGGGTGACGGTGGAGGACATTGTCCCAGGGAACATGGGGGACACCTGAGGGCTGGAGAATGTCATCCTACCCTCCATCCCCACGTCCCTGTGCCCACCCCTCTATCCCTCCCTCCATCCCTGTATCCCTGTCCCCATATCCCTACCTCCACCCTTCTATCCCTCCCTCTGTCCCATATCCCTCCCTTTGCGCCCAGATCTTTCCCTCTAGCCCTGTATCCCCCCATCCCAATTTCCCCCCTCCACCCCTGTGTCCCGCCCCCGTGCCCTCCCCCATCCCTTGGCAGCCCCGGTGGCCGGGAAGGCCCCCGGGACGTCCGGGAGGAAGAGGAAGGGGATGAATGGGAGGTGACAGGGACAAATGGCCGGTGGCAGCGCCAGGCACTGTGGCGGTGCCCGCGGTGTCCCCGTGTCCCCATCCCAAAAGGGCCCTTTCAGCCCCCGCCAGCCCCTGGCCCTGCCGCCGTTTCCGCCGCGGAAGGGCAGCGTGCCGGGGACATGGGGACACCGCGGGGACACCGCGGGGACACCGTGGGGACACCGGGACACCACGGGGGTGGGGGCACCATGGGGGGTCTCCTTGGAGCCCGGTGTGCCTGTGCCAGAGCACGGGGACACGGGTGGCACTGCCACTGTCGCTGTCCTGGCCAGGCCGTGTCCCCTCATGGAGAGAGGTCCTGGAGGTGGCACGGGGGACAGGGGGGACAGAGGGGACAGAGGGGACAACAGTGGGCCTGGAGAGGGGACAGGGGGATGGCCCTTCCCAGCCAGGCTGCTGAGGGTCCCCAGAGCCACTGTGTCCCCACAGAGCCCCCCATGTCCCCACAGAGCCACTCTGTCCCAAAAGCCACTGTGCCCCCCCCCGCTCCCTGCTTTGGGGGTCTCTGCAACCCCTCATTATCCCCTGCACCCCTCTGGGGGGGTCCCAACCCCTCCCTTTGGGGTCCTGACCCATCTCTTTAGGGTCTCAACCCCTCTTCAGTGTCCTGACCCCTCTCTTCACATTCCCCACCCCCTCTCTTTGGTACCCCTACCCTCTCCCCCCACCCCATTTTTGGGGTCACCGCCTCCCACGTGCCCCCCTCGTCTGCCCCCGCCCATGCTCCACCCCCCTGTGCCCCCTGTGCCCCCGGCCCCGCTCCGGTGCCCGGACACGGGTTGGGACAAGCCGGCGCTTGTTCCTGGTGCCTGCGGCGATACCAGTTACCCATTAACCCCCAGCCCCCTCCCAGTGCCTCAGTTTCCCCCCTCCCCAGGGGGCTTCTGGGCACTTCAGGGGCTCCAGAAGGGGGTCAGGGCCCAGGCAGGGGCCCCCCAGGGACATGTCCCCCTTCTCGGCGTCTCACTGGCACCGCCAGCCCGGGCAGCGCTCCCGGGGCCGGGCGTGACCGGGCGCCCCGCCAGCCCCCCCGTCCGCCCCCCAGCTGGGGTGTAACTGGGATGACTGGGATAACTGGGAAATGGGGCCACGAGCTCCCGGCCCCCAGCCCTGTGCCAGGGTCCTAAATGGGGGCGTGGGGGGCGGGGAGGGCGGTGCGGGGTTGGAGTGCGAGGCGGCTGGCGGGGGGACGGGGATGGGGACAGGGGACAGTGGGGCCTTTGTGCGGCCGGAGCCGAGCCCTCAATGGGGCTGGCGGGGGACAAAAGGGGACAAAGGCGCTTTCACGGAGCCCTCGTTAACATGCAGAGCCCCGCGCGCCCGCCACCGCCACCACGGGGGTCCCGGGGGGGTCCCGGGGGGGTCCTGCCACGGCCATGGGCACGGCTGGGGGCACAGGGACCCCCCAGTGCCACTGCCACGGCCACAAAGGGGGACACAGACACCCCCAGCACCCCCGTGGGGGTCCTGCCACCACCATGGCCACGAAGGGGGGCACAGACATCCCATCACCCACCCCAGTGTGGGTCTCAGGAGTCCCGGGAGGGTCCTGCCACTGCCACAATGGGGGTTCCAGGGAGACCACGGGCTCCGTGGGGGGCACAGGCACCCCCTCTGCCACCACCAAAGCCACCATGGGGGACCCCACGGCCACGGTCACTGTGGGGGGCACAGGCCCCCATCACCACCCCAGTGTGGCCCTTAGGGGTCCCTGTCACGGCCACGGGGTGGGGGGCACAGACATCCCCACTGTCACCACCATCCTCACCACCAGACATCCTCACTGTCACCACCACGGCCACCATGGGGGTCCCAGCCCCCCCCTCCATGGTCCCACTGTGGGTTCTGGGACCACCCCCCCCGGTGATCGCAGGGGTCCCTGGGGGGTCCCACCTCGTCCATGGACACCAAGGGGGTCCCAGGGCCCCCATCACAGCCCAGAATGATTCCTTAACTCACACCTGGGATAAACCATGACTGGATAACCCACAGCCAGAATAATCCATGCCTGGGATAACCCACAGCCCAGATAATCCACACCTGGGATAACCCACAGCCCGGATAATCCACACCTGGGATAACCCACAGCCCGGATAACTGATTCCTGGATAAACCACATCCAGGATAATCCCCACCTGGAACAAACCACATCCAGAATAATCCATGCCTGGGATAACCCACATCCAGGATAACCCACAGCCGGGATAACCCATGCCTAGTAAAATCCACACCTGGGATAACCCACATATGGAGGACATGGACATGGGGGTACAGGGATGGGGGGACATGGGGGCACAGGGACGTGGGATACAGGGATGGGGGAATGTGGGGACATGGGATACAGGGATGGGGGGACATGGGGACATAGGATACAGGGATGGAGAGATATGGGGATAAAGGAACATGGGATACAGGGATGGAGGGACATGGGGACACAGGGACAGGGCCTTGGGGACACAGGACCTGGGGATATGGGACATGGGGACATGGGGATGGGGGATGTGGGGCACAGGGTGATGGGGACACAGGAGAGGGGGTCGTGGGGACACAGGGAAGTGAGGATGTGGGAACACAGGGATATGAGGGTCCAGGGACGTGGCAATAGGGGGACACAGGGCTAAGGTGACCCTGGGACACAGGGACAGGGGGACATGGGGCACAAGGGAACTTGGGGACATGGGGACCCAGAGATGTGATACATGACATGGGGACTAGGGGACATGGGGATGGGGACACAGGGATTTGGGGACACAGATATGGGAATATGGGGACACAGGGATGTGGTGATATGTGACGTGGGGTATGGGGACATGGGGACACAGGGACATGAGGCTATGGGAATATGGGGACATAGGGGCATTGAGATGGGGGACATGGGGTATGGGGATGCGGGGATTTGGGGACACAGGGATGTGGTGATACGTGACACAGGGTATGGGGACATGGGGATACAGGGACATGAGGATATGGGAATATGGGGACATAGGGGCATTGAGATAGGGGACATGGGGACACAGGACATGGGGACAGGGACTGAGGGTGTCACAGGACATGGGGATGGGGACACAGGGATTTGGGGACACAGGGATGGGGGCTGACGGTGTCACGGGACACGGGGATGGGGTGATGGCAACACAGGGGACACAGGGATGTGGGGACACAGGAGCGGTGCCAGGGGGGACAAGGGAGACATTGGGGGGGCTCCAGGATCTTCCCTCCCGTGCCGGTGCCATCCCAACACCACCGGCCAGTGCCCACGGCCCTGGTGACCCCCCGGAGGGGGTGAGGGACCCCCGGGCCCCCTCCCCCAGCCACCCTTACCTTGCTGGGGGGGTCGCGGGTGCCGCCGAGCTCAGCCCGCCCGCCGCCGGCTCCCCATGGGCTTTATGGCTCGGCGGGGCCGGTGGTGGCGGGACGGGCCCCCCCAGCCCGGCCGGGGGGGGCCCGGGGCGGGGAGGAGCCGCCGGGGGCGGGACAGGGGTTAATGGGGTGGAAAAGGAGCCGCTCGGCACCGGGTCACGTTACCGGGCACGGGGGGGGGCGAGGGGACCCCGCCCGAGGGCACCAGCACTGGCAACGAGGGTCCCTGAACAGACACCGGACCCGGGGGGGGCCCGGTGGGGACACCGGGGGGTCCAGGGAGGGTCTCCCGGCCACCGTTACCTGCACTGGGGGGTCCCTGAACTGGCACCAGCACTGAGGGGTCACGGGGGGGGCACCGGGGGGGCCTGGTGGAGTCCCGACAGACCCGTCCAGGCACTGTCACCGTCCCCGGGACCCCCCCGGCCCCACGCAGCCCCCCCCGGTCATGACAGCACCCACCCACGAACCCGGGTGGTCTCCGGGGATGTAACACCCTCCTATCCCCACGTGGGGTGACACGGGGGGGTGACATGGGGCCAGGGGGTCACGCGTGTGCACAGACACTCCCCCCAATCGAGTGACACGCACACCGCAGGCTGGGGGGTGGGCGCAGGGCCACGGGGCTGTGGGGTCGGGACTGGGGGGTGTGAGACTGGGGGGTCCGTGGGGGTGTGGGATGTGTGTCTGTGGGATGGGGGGGTCGGTGGGTCCGTGTCCGGGTGTCCATATATAATAATGTGTCCATATGTCCATGTGTCCATAACCATGTCCGTGTGTCCCTGTCCGAGTACCACTGTGTCCCTGTCTGTGTGTCCCTGTCTGTGTGTCCATGTCTGTGTATCCCTTCCATGTGTCTGTGTATCCATATCTCCGTGTCTATCCATGTATCCCCGTGTCCATGTGCCCGAATGTCCGTGTGTCCATGTGTGTCCATGTGTCCATACATCCATCTGTCTGTGTCCCCATGTCCCCGTATTGGTGTGTTCATGTCCATGTCCGTGTCCCCGTGTCCCTGTCCCTGTGTCCGTGTGTCCCCCCAGGCGGCCCCGTTGTCCCGATCCCGATCCCGATCCTGTTCCCGCCGCACAAAGAGTCTTTGTCCGCCCGGGGGGGACAGGGGGAGGCGCGGGGGAGTGCAGGGGTGGCCACGGGCACCGGGGGAGGGGTGGGCGAGTGACGGCGGGGCCCGGGCTAGAGAAGGGGGGGGGCTGGGCCAGCAAGGGGGACCCCAGGCTGATGGGGGCGGGGGCTGGGCTAGTGAGAGGGGGCACTGGGCTAGTGATAGAGGGATGGCTGAGATGGGGGGAGAGCTCTGGGCTAGTGGAAGGGGGGGCTGGGCTAGTGATGGAGACCCCCGGGCTAGTGAGGGGAGGCCTGGGCTAGTGGGGCCTGGGCTGGTAAGGGGGTCTGATAATGATGGGGGGTCTGAGCCAGGGCCGGGAATGTGGGGGTTCTGGGCTAGTGAGGGGGACCCCTGGGCTAGGGAAGGGAGATCTGAATTAGTGGGGAGGGGCACTGGGCATGTGGGGGCCTGGGCTAGGAAGGGGGCTTTGGGCTAATGATGGGGGAGCCGGGCTAGTGATGGGGGCCAGAGCCAGTGAGGGGGAGGGGTAGTGGGCTAGTGGGGGGCTGGGCTACTGGAGGGCCTTGGCTAATGATGGGGACCCCGGGACAGTGATGGGGGCTGGGCTAATGAGGAGGGGGTCGGGCCTGGGGGTGGGATCCGCTCTTGACGGGGACCCTGTGCCGGGGCTGGGGGCTGGGCCAGCGCAGGGCACCCTCGGGCCAGCGGGCCGGGGCGGGGGCGGGGGTGGCTCCCGGTATTTTTATCCGCGCGCGGCCGTTGCCGGGGAACGGGGCGGGGGGCGCGGGGGCCCCGGGACCGAGCGCGCGCGGCGAGCGGGCTGCGCCATGAGGGAGCGGTGAGAGGGGCGGGGGCGGGGGCGCGGGGGGCGCAGGGGGCGGGGGAGAACGGGGGGGTGTGTGGGGGTCCCTGACCCCCCCCGCCACAGCGATACCGGGGGTCCTCCCCCATCTCCGGGCGTGGGGATACGCGGGGACCCCCCCAAATGGGCCTCCCCTCCTCCCCGAGGGCGTTCTTTCTCATCTGCGGGGGTGGGGACCCCCAAAATGGGCATCACCGCCCCCGGGGGGGTTTCTCCCCATCTCTGGGCTTGGGGACACACAGAGACCCCCCAAATGAGCATCACCGCCCCCGGGGGGGTCTCTCCCCATCTCTGGCCCTGGGGACACGCAGGGATCCCCCAAAATGGGCATCGGCTCCCCCAGCCCGGCGTGGCGGGGGTGAGGAGGGTCCGGCCCCACAGGGGGAAGAGGGGGACGGAGGATGAGCGGGGAGAGGGGATGGTGGCACAGGGATCCACGGGAGGACACGAGTAGGGACACGAGTGTGTGTGTGTGTGTGTGTGTGTGTGTGTGATTGTGTGTGCAAGGGGGGCGCACACGCATGTGGGAGTGCATACGTGTGACCCTGCTGCCTGTGGACATGGGTGTGCAAGGCCCAGTAGGGTGTACACGCCTGTGTGTGTTCCCCAGCTGCCTGTGCACACGCGTGTGTGTGCGTGTGCACAGCCCAGCGGGGTGTGCATATGCATGTACATGTGTGTGTGTGTGTGCATGTGGGAGGCCCCGTGGGGGTCACATGCATGTGTGTGACCCAGTTGCATGTGCACATGCGTGTGTGTGCGTGTGCAAGGCCCAGCGGGGTGTACACACGTGTGTGTGACCCACGTGCCTTTGCACACGTGTGTGCACCTCCCTCCCAGTCCCCCCAGTCCCCCAGTTTGGGGGTGCAATCTCCCCCCCAGTGCCCCCCGTGTGAGGTGCCACCCCCCTGTCCCCGCAGCCGCTGACCCCGATGGCTCAGGACAACGCTGCCTTCTGTGGGGTCCCCGAGGGGGTCCTGGGGGGGGTCCCCAGTGAGACCAAACCCCCTCCCCCCGCCCCTCCCGCCCCCCCCAAGCGCCGCCCGTGGGGGGCCGGGGGGGGTCCCGCGGCCCGGAAGCGCCAGCGGTACGTGGAGAAGGACGGGAAGTGCAACGTCCAGCACGGGAACGTGCGCGAGACCTACCGGTACCTCACCGACATCTTCACCACCCTGGTGGACCTCAAGTGGCGCTTCAGCCTCCTCATCTTCATCCTGGCCTACGCCCTCACCTGGCTCTTCTTCGGCCTCATCTGGTGGGTCATCGCCTACAGCCGGGGGGACCTGGAGCACCTGGGTGACCACGCCTGGACCCCCTGCGTCAACAACCTCAATGGTTTCGTGTCCGCCTTCCTCTTCTCCATCGAGACCGAGACCACCATCGGCTACGGCCACCGGGTCATCACCGACACCTGCCCCGAGGGCATCGTGCTGCTGCTGCTGCAGGTGACCCCCGAGGCTGCTTTCGGGCAGGTTGGGGCACCCCTAGAGGGGTGCAGGGGATGCTGGGTGGGGCAAAGAACCCCGAAGTGGGGGGTCAAGACCCCTTTAGAGGGGCGCGGGGGACCGCGGGGCACCTCGCCTCCCTGGGGGACACCCGACATACGGAGCTCCCCCGGGTCCCCCTGAGCGCGGTTGTCGCGGCCCCCGCAGGCCATCCTGGGCTCCATGGTCAACGCCTTCATGGTGGGCTGCATGTTCGTGAAGATCTCGCAGCCCAACAAGCGCGCCGAGACCTTGGTGTTCTCCTCGCACGCCGTGGTCTCGCTGCGCGACGACCGCCTGTGCCTCATGTTCCGCGTGGGAGACCTGCGTGACTCGCACATCGTGGAGGCCTCGATCCGCGCCAAGCTCATCCAGTCCAAGCAGACCCAGGAGGGCGAGTTCATCCCGCTGGACCAGACCGACCTGAGCGTGGGCTTCGAGACGGGCGACGACCGCCTCTTCCTCGTGTCCCCCCTCATCATCAGCCACGAGATCGATGAGAGGAGCCCCTTCTGGGACGTGTCGCGGGGGCAGCTGGAGAGAGACGACTTCGAGATCGTCGTCATCCTCGAGGGGATGGTGGAGGCCACAGGTAACGGGGTGTGGGGGGTGAAACAGGTCATTGATGTGGGGGTCACCTCATCTCCATGGGGACAATTCCATGGGAACATCCCACCTCCGAGGGGACACCTCACCTCCATGGGGATACCGCGAGTGGGAACACCTCGTCCTCGTCTCCATGGCAACATCTTCGTGGGGACATCTCACCTGCATGGGGACACCTCTGTGGGGACATCCCACCTCCAAGGGAGGGAACGCCTCATCCCCATGGGAATATTCTTCAGGTATTGGGGTGCCCCAAATCAGGGTGCAGCGCAGATTGGGGTCCCCATGCCCCCCCCGATCCCCTGGTGCCCCCTCCCGCTGCCCCCCAGGGATGACGTGCCAGGCACGCAGCTCGTACCTGGCGGACGAGGTGCTGTGGGGTCACCGCTTCACACCGCTGCTCAGCCTCGAGGAGGGGTTCTATGAGGTGGACTACGGGGGCTTCCACCACACGGTGCCCGTGCCCACCCCAGCTTGCAGCGCCCGCCAGCTCGCCGCCGCCGCCGCCCGCCGCGACGCCCACCTCTACTGGTCCATCCCCAGCCGCCTGGATGAGGCGGCGGCCGCGGGGGGTGAGGGGGACCCCGAAATCCCCCGCGAGAGCAACGGCACCTTGGCTGGCCCCGAGAAGCGGTGATGGGCTCCAGAGCACCCCCGTGTACAATAAATGTCCCGTCCCCCCCCCACTCTGGTGGTGCTGGTGGTTTTAGGGTAAGGGGGCTGGGTTTAGGGCGCCCCAGGGTTTGGGAGGGGAGGGGGACCCTGAAATCCCCCTGCAGAGCAACGTCAGCTTCTCCAGCCCCAAGGTGGGTGATGGGTTACAAATCCCCCCTAATTCTGATGGTGGAGGAGGTTTTGGGGTGCGGGGGATGGATTTGGGGTGTCCCCGGGCTCGGGGGGTAACAGTCCGGTGGACCAACGAGGAATTTGGGGTGAAAGAGTGGTGGGCAGAGCCCCCCAACCCCAGTTCCTGCAGGGATCAGTGTCGAGGTGGGGGAGGACACACATTACCCCCTTCTTATCCCCCCGTGTCCCCACGGGACCCCCCGGCTGTTGGGGGGGGGGCTCTGGGGGAAGGAAAGCCGAGAGGGGCCGAGAGGAGCCGAAAAGGCCGAAAAAGCCGAAGGGAGACGACAAGAGCCGAGCGAAGCCGAAAAAAGCCGAACGGAGCCCAGCAGAGCCCAGCGGGGGCCGAGCGTCTCTCTGGCCCCGCCCAGCCCTCTGGCTCCACCCCCGGCCCCGCCCCCGTCTCACGTTCAGGGCTTCGGGGTTGCAAGAGCTGCTCCGCTCCCCCCAAAAAACGGGACACGGGGGTCCCCTCGACCCCCCACGACCCCTCCCGAGCTCCCACACGCGTGTTATGTGTTGACATGTGTGTTGTGTGTTCACACGCGTGTTGTGTGTTCACACGCGTGTTGTCCCCCCCGTGTCCCCCCTTTGTCCCCCCGGTGTCACATTCCTGCCGCCCACGGGCAGCAGCTGCGCGGGGCGGGGGGCGGCTGGACACGGGCAGGGGACTGGGGGCACTGGGAGGGACTGGGAGGGCTGGGAGGAGAGGGGGAGTGGAGGGACTGAGGGAACTGGGGGGGACTGGTGGAACTGGGGGGAACTGGGAGAAATAGGGAACTAGGGGGACTGGGGAACTGGGGGAATTGAGAGGACTGGGGAACTGGGGGAACTGGGAGGACTGGGGCGTGGGCGGGTCCGCGGGACCCCTGTGGGGCTGGGCCTGTCACGGAGCCCCCGAACCCGCGTCATCTGTTTGTTCAGCTTGGGGGCAGCGGGGGGACAGCGGGGGGACAGCGGGGGGACGGGGGGGACAGCGGGGAATGGGGTGGGACAAGGGGGGCATGAGGGGGACGGAGGGGACAAGGGGGCCACGGCCGAGTAAACACCCACCCCCCAACCCAGCTCGGCTGTGGGCACGGCTGGGATGGACTGGGGGGACTGGGATGCACTGGGGACACTGGGAGGGACTGGGAGAACTGGGAAGGAGTGGGGGTACTGGGATGACTGGGACAGAGTGGGGGACTGGGACAGACTGGGGTAATTGGGAGGACTGGGGAATATTGGGACAGACTGGGAGAGACGGGGACATACTGGGACGGACAGGGAGGTGCTGGGGAAGATGGGTAGACTAGGTAGTACTGGGACAGACTGGGATGGGAGGTACTGGGAGGACCGGGAGGTATTGGGAGGACTGGGAGGTAGTGGAACAGACTAGGAGGTACTGGGACAGACTGGGAGGTAGTGGGAAAGACTGGGAGATACTGGGACAGCTGAGGCACTGGCACGGACTGGGGGGACTGGTCCAGACTGGGACTGCTGGTCTGCATGGGGGTGCAGGGCTGGCCGGGGGGTGACTGCGTCCATACTGGGCATACTGGGCTGCACTGGGAGGGTGAGGCCGGCTCAGAGGAGGGGTGCTGGGCTGGGGGGAGCTGATAACACTGGGGCAAACTGGTGGCACTGGTGAGGGGCCCCCCCGCCCTTGAGGCGCCCTTGGCGGTTGCCGTGGAGATAAGCCGGGCCCTGGGGGGGTACTGGGAGGGGACCTTGGCGCGGGACTGGGGGCACTGGGGGAGGGGGTGGGACAGGCATAGCCGGAGCCGGGAACAGCCAAATCCTGGGAACAGCCAAATGCCAGGAACAGCCGGAACTGGGAACAACCAGAGCTGGGAACAGCTGGAGATGGGAACAACCCAGTCCTGGGAACAGCCAGAGCTGGGAACAACCAATCCCGGGAACAGCCGGAGCTGGGAACAGTCACAGTGTCCATGGAAACAACCACAACCCTGGGAACAGTTGGACACTGGGAATAACCCTGTCCCCAGGAACAGCCTCCATGGGTACAACCAGATCCTGGGAACAGCCACGACGTCCATGGAAACGGCCACAGCCCCTGGAACAATCGGACACTGGGAATGATTGTGTCCCTGGGAACAGCTTCCATGGGCTGAGCCAGAGCCTGGGAACAGTCAGATCCCTGGGAACAACTGGATCCTTGGGAACAGTCAGATCCTTGGGAACAGTCGGATCCCTGGGAATAGCTGGACCCTGGGAACAGTCAGATCCCTGGGAACAGTGGGATCCCTGGGAACAGTCGGATCCCTGGGAACAGTCGGATCCCTCGGAACAGTCGGATCCCTCGAGCAGCTCCCCTGGGCACAGCCGTGTCCCCACACACCATGGATCCCGTGGGAACAGTCAGTCCCTGGGCACTGCTGGACCCCTGGGAGCAACCCCATCCCTGGGCACCATGGATCCTGGGAACAGTCATTCCACGGGAACAGCCAACCCTGGGGAGCAATCCCGGGCACAGCCATTCCTTGGAAACAGCCGGTCCCTGGCACAGCCCCCCCAGATCCCCTTCGTGGTGCCCCCATTTCCCCCTTCAGTGTCCCCCTTGTCCCCCCCCCCCGTGTCCCCCCATCTGCTGCCCATTCCCGGCTAATTTTAGCCCCCCCCGGCCGCATTCCCGGTCTCTTCCCGAAGCCTCCACCGTCCCCAGCCGGGCTCACACTGGGAGAACTGGGGACACGCTGGTTTGGGGACGCCCCCCCACCGAAAAACGCCCCCCAGCTCCGGTGGGGGTGAGGGACGGACCGAGGCTCTCGGGCAGCCCCGGAGCCCCCCCGGCCGCGCCGCGGGCGGTCCGGATGTTCGGGGTCTCCTCGGGGTTGGGGGGTCAGGAGGGGTCGCCCCCCCCCGCACACACCTGCGTTCCCAGCGCTCCGCCGGGACCCCCCAGACCCCCCCGCGCCGCTCCCACGGGGGTGGGACGGGCAGGAGCCCCCAGAGCGGGTTGGGGGTGGGGGCGGGCTGGGGCGGGGGCCGTCCCGGGCGGGGCCCGGCGGGTTTTCTCGACCGCTGTCGCCGCCCCCAAAGTGCCCGGGGGCCGGAGCAGCGACGACAGCGCCATGGGCAGAGGGTGAGTAGGGCGGCCCGGGGCGCCCACGCGGGGCACCCACACACCCCCACACCCCAAAGCACCCCCTCTCGAGAGCCCACCCCACGAGAGCCCACCCCCACGGGCGCCCACCCTGGGACATCCCTCAGGTCACCCACCCACGCGGGACACCCACACTCAACTCCCCGGAGCGCCCATCCCCTTGGGCACCCATCTGAGACCACCCTGCGCCTGCCCCTGGCACCCCCCACGCAGGACCTCACCCCGACACCCCCACGCTCCCCCAGGGCGCCCACCCGTGTGACACCGGATGGGACTGACCCACGCGGGGCCCCCAGAGCCCCCCAGCTCCCGGACAGCCCCCAGGAGCAACCCCCACGAGAGACCCCCACGCCCTGGACTCTCCCTCCCTCCCTCCACGCGGGACCCCCACCCCGGGGACAATCCCCCTGAGGCCCCCCCACGGGAGACGCTCCCCCGTGGGCTACTTTCCCTTCGGGCTTTGCCCCCCCATACACACCCACGGGGGTCCCCCAGCCCCCATAACCTGTCCCGCAGGCCCCCACCTCGAGTGACCCCTGACACGCGTGTGGGGGAAGAAATTTGGGACCGGGGAGACACACAGGACCCCTTTGCGGTGGGAAACGGAGCCCCGCGGCCACGGAGCCCCTCGGAGCCCCCTGTGCCCACCGCGGGGCCCCCGCACCCACCCCCGTGGCCGCGTGCCCGTGGCTGCCCAGAGCCCCTGTCCCGCTGCCCCGGCAACGCCCGCGGGGGCCCTGAGCCGGGACTGGCCCCAAGCCCGACCCCCGGGGCCCGCCGGGACCCCCGATCCGCCTGGCACGGGCGGGACTTCCCCAACCGTGGGCACCCACCCAAAAGTGGGGGCACCCCGCAGGATGTGGGTTCCCCCGTGGGTGTCTCCCTGCCCTCCCCGCCGCGGGTGTCCCCGTGTCACCCTGTCCCCAAGGGGGGAGGGGGACACACCTGACACTCGATACCCCCGCTGCTCCCCCACCCCCATAAAACCCGGGGCCCCTTCAAGTGGATCCCGCAATGTGGAGCCACAACTGGGGTCCCAGTGACGAGGGGGGCAGTGGAGCCCTCCCGGGGTGCCTGGGGAAGGGGGTGGGGACCCCTCGGTCCCCCTCGGTAACTCGACCCCCCCGCTCCCGGTGTTGGTTTTGGCACCGGGAGGTTTTCCATGACATCGGCCCCCGCCCCCCGGCCGTGCCAGCGGCCCCCGGGGACCCCAGTGGTGGGGGGGGTGACACAGCCCCTCCCCAAGGAAACGACCCGGCCCTGCCCCCTCCCTGGGGGTGGGGGGTCTTCTTCTGCTCTGCTGGTGGGGACCCCCCTCATGGACATGGGGACCCCCTGGTCACAGTGACTCCCCGTGTCCCAGAGGACCCCCCCGAACCACAGTGACCCCCCTACGGCCCCAAGACAGTGACACTCCCAGAGCCACAGTGACCCTCCCGGTGACCTTGGGGACACCCCTGCGACCACAATGACCCCTCCTCGCCCTGTGGTGACAGTGACCTCCCCTCACATGACCACAATGTCACTTCTGTGGCCACAGTGACCCCCCCGTGACTGCAGTGCCACCGCTGCCACCACAGTGACCCCACACACACTCACAGTAATCCCCACACCCCCTGTGACCCCTCACACCCACAGTGACCCACACACACCCACAGTGACCCCCCCACGCCCACAATGACACCCCCACACCCACAATGACACCCCCGGTGCCCACAGTAC